CCCCCCCCTCCCCCCCCCCCCCCCCCCCGTGGTGCCACCGATGTTTAGGACAAGGCTGCCGGTGATGACGAGGCTCAGGACATCGATGAGGGCTTTATCAAGGCTCTTGAGCATGGTCTGCCCCCCACCGCTGGTTGGGGCATTGGTCTGGATCGTCTTGCCATGTTCTTGACCGACTCAAACAACATCAAGGTTTGTTGGTCGGCCTTGACGACGAGGATCGAAGCACATGTTGATTCTGATGGTTGTTACTCGCTCGGCTTGATTAGGAGGTGCTTCTGTTCCCGGCCATGCGCCCCGAGAGTGCAACCGAGGCGGCAGCCGCCGCGGCCAACGTGGCGGCTCAGGTGGCCACGCAGGCCAAGCCTGAGAAGAAGCAGGAGAAGAAGCAGGAGAAGAAGCAAGAGAAGAAGCAGGAGAAGAAGCCGGCCGCGGCTGACGGCAAGGACTCTGCCGAGGCCAAGGCTGCCAAGAAGGAGGGTGGCAAGAAGGCCCAGGACATCGCTGGTCTCAGTGATATGGGTGGTGTCAAGTTTTTCCACGTTGTGATGGAGAAGTGTGAGGGCTCTCCCGAACTGCTGCAGATTGCCATGGATGGCATGAACCGTGAGGTTGACGAAGCGGCCGATGATCGCAAGGGTGGCGCCGGCCACCTGGGCAAGATGCTTCTCAGCGGTATGTCACGAGGATGCATCAAGCGAGGCAGGGTCTCAGCCTGATGGGGGGGTTTTCTTTTTGGTTTTAATTTCGTTTTTGCTGGTGCTTTATCGGTGCACGCGCTCTCATTGACGTTTTGTGTATCATGTCCATGGGTGACGCGTTGACAGCCAACGATAAGCACGTGGCCATCAACCTGCACGTGCCCAAGCAGATCCAGTCCTCGCTGACCCTGGATGCTTGGATTGCGGGTACCGTGGGCAAGTTTGATCCGGAGATTCTGAGCAAGACCGAGGAAACCGCCTCAATCCTGGTGCACGGTGATGCGGCCAAGGAGCGCTTCCCTTTGAAGATGCGCGACGAGATTACCAACATGGGCTTTTCCCTTCTGCGCGACAACAGCCTCGTGCCTGATGATGATTCGGATGACGATGTGAACCTCGGTGACTTTGCTGAGGAGGCAGGCATTGAATGGTAAAGGACCTTAGTTTGAATGTGATCATTGTTGTTGCGCATGATGTGGACCTTGTGCGGTGTGTCTGCCCTTTGAAATTGTCTGGAGAGCGTGCGCATGCTCTTGTGGTGCTGGACCTCGCTCGTCCTCGTAGGGGTTTTCCTACCTTTCGCCTTTTGTTGGTAATTGATGTCGAAGTTTGTGTCAGCATCACCCGTCCAGTACCTGTGCGTGTTTGGTGGTGATGGGTGTAACCTAACCACGGCTGCCTGATATGGCGAGTCAGGTGTCAATCGATTGCCTTTCTTGAATGCATTCATCGCTGTCCTCCTCACTTGCCAAGGAGCGAGCCCAGTTGAAGACTGGAGGCAGATGCCAGACACCCAAAACATTATGAGTTTTATGATTCTTATAATTTTTTTGTCATGGTAACTCACGTGTCAATGGGAAGGTGCAGGGTCAAGGCGCGGGGTTTAGAAAGCGGGTAGGTAAGAAGTTGTGTCAAAGTCTTGTCAGGTACTCGATTAAGAACTGCCATGAGGAGGCAGGTCGGGTTGACAAGGGTCAGGCAATGTTGCCAACACGCGGGATGGCAAGCAAAATCTCCAGCAAGGTAACCAGGGCACGCTAGATACAGATCAAACCCAAAGGAGGCAACACAAATCACAGACATGATGGACCAGGGATCAGGCTGGCCAAATTTTCGAATCAGGGTCGGGGGAGAAGGAACGACACGCGCGTGTATTTGAGTGGAAAGGGGCAGGGTAGGGAACTCTCTGGGCATGCTTGGTATGTTTATGTGCATGTGCTTGTGTGTAAGTGTGGACAGTGGTGATGGGGGAGGGCTCGTGCATTCTCTCATACCAGTGGAAACGTTAGAAACAAGTGACGGTGCGCACGGACACACATGCACAGGCACAGACAGACAGCACCTCGATGGAGGTCAAGGGAAAAAATGGAAAGCCCAGGCTATAGGACAAGAAACGCTTTGCGTTGACGTCTGAGCTTGAAAAAGGGAGGTGGCCTGCTGTTGGTACCGGATAACTTAGCGTTCAGCTTCCGAGTCATGACCAGAGCTGATGCTGCGTGGGGAGAGTGGGGTCTTGCCAGCAAGCTGGGCTAGCGAGGGGCGGTTGAAGGTGGTGCCTAGTCGCTCGGTGGCGGTGGTTGCGAGCAGGGCGAGAGGGTTGAGCACGTCGACGCTCGGGCGAACGTCAGAGTGCTGGGGAATGGGACTGCGTTGACGATTGAGGTTGCGGGTGGGGGTGGGAGTTGATGAGGGCACCGCGTTGGCGTCGTCCTCATTGTCCTCGACGTCTGAGGGGTGACCAGCAGCATCCATGTCTTCGCTGTCACCGGCCTCGCTCGAAGTGCCAAGCATTTCGCTGCTGGGAAGGGCAACGGTGACTTCTTCGGGCATGAGGGCAGCGAGTTCGGGGTGTGATTCCAACAGCTTGTCATGAAAACTAATGTGCTGGGTTAAACGAGCAACGGCCAGTTCAAGGACTTGAGCCTGTTCCTCTCGTTTGAGGCCGAGCAGTTCGCGGAAGCCTTGGACGGCACTGGTGATGCGTTGGCGGCGCACAAGCTCTGTTTGCTTGTGTTTACGGCGGCGCAGGTCGAGGGTGGCGGTGGAGATTGTTTTGCGTCGTGAGCTGGGGGCTGAGCCAGTCATGATGACGGTGTGGGTCCGTGGACGCAAAAATAACTCTTGGGGCAACAACGGCGGTATATGTGTGTGTGTGTGTGTGTGTACCACGAGGAACGGCGAGGCACGGGCCAAAAATTTGAACCAATACCACGCGGGTAGCAAAGCCGGGAAAATCAAGAGAGTGTTCAAACGGCAGTCGTGCCGTTGAGGAAAGTTTTAGCGAGATGCACGTGGAAGTGGAGCAGACCGTGGTCAAAAAGAAAAGCGATAGAACCAAGCAGAGAGCGGCGGGGCAGCAGAAGACTGGTGGTGGTGCTGGCTGGAGTTGGGGTTGGGGTTTGTCGTGTTCGGCAGCGTCAACAGCAAGAAAGTGAAGCTTGTGGATCTCAAAGTCACAAAGTGTGGCACGGGGGCAAGCTGTTCACAGTAACAACAACAACAACAACAACAACAGCAGCAGCAGTAGTAGCAGGAGCAGGTGGTAAGTGGTCGTAAAGGTGGTATTGGTAAAGTGGGTGCTGATGTGGCACGGGGCACGTTCTTCTCAAAACCTCATCGTCCAAGCCCTTTTGCTTTTGTCATGTGTTTGGGTGGATGTGAGGGATGGGTGGGTCGGTGTCCGTCACCAGGGTCAATGTGGTTGGTCTGTGGTTTGTGGGTGAGGGAAGTGGCAGCGGAAGTGGCGGTGGCTCTTTGGCGGGAATGGCGGCGCGACGGTCAACTGGAGGGCTGGAGCAAGAGCTTGATCAGTCCCTCGGTGGGGTCTACAGCAGCAAAGGGCCCTAGGCCGCAAGACAGCATGGGAGCCAAGTCGTCGAAAGCGTGAAGGGGGAGGGGGTTGTGAGGTGGCGTGATAATCTTCGATAGCCCGTAGGTGCACATGTACAACGTAATGAAGTAGTGGTGGTGATGACAACGACAAAAAACCCGCCAAAATCAGATGGACCCTTTTTGACTTCACATCATCAAAGAGAGAGAGAGAGAGAGAGAGTGTGTGTGTGGTGTGTGTGACGCACGAGCACTCAGCGTGTGTGTGCTTTTGTGCTTGTTTCACTGTAAGCGTGTGTGGTAATGAATGGTTTGGGTATATCCATACAGCTTCATCATCGGGTGATCGCGCGGGTTGTGGACGTCATCATCAAGAAAACATGCAGAGCTCCCCTCCTTCTCAGAACGGTCCAAGCACGCAGGGATCGGAGAACTGACACGTCGACCCTTGCTGCGATCGTTCGATTCAGACACGCCTTTGCGCCATGCTCCATGTTCATAGAATGCTTGCACGACGCCAGGACTTCGTTCTACTACAGTTACAGAAACGGAGTTTGGCTATCTATGATGCCATGCCGTCACAACACATCTCACATCGATTGATGTGACTGGCCGGCTTTCCCTCGTAAGTCTGGCCCGAGCTGGAACGGCGCACGGGCCATATCCATCGCCAGACTAGGAAGGAAGCCCAAGTACTCCTCCTCCTAAACTGTGCCAGCTTGTGACCTGCTTGCTTCGCGTTTCTGCCCGCTTGCTTTGGCATTCCGTCTTTCTCCCCTCACACACACCCTGGTCCACAGCGTCGTGCGCACCACGAGCAAGATGATGGCCCGTGCCACAACTCATGCGCCCTGATTTGGGCTCGACCACGCAATTGCACCACGGGGCGAGTTTTGAGGAACCGAGGTCCCGAACCGGCCAACGAGGGAAACCCCACACCTGCATGCTTGACTCCAAGCCCAACGATATGCCAAATCCCACACCTTCCTACTCAGGACACAAAAGACACACATCGGGCGGTGAAGTTTGCCGCAATTGTCAGCATGGTGGAAGGGTGGTACTCGGCAAAGCGTGATTATGGTTACACTTGGAATCAAATCACCTGATTCGCGGATGGGTGGCTCGATCCACTCCATCATGCGCGTGGAGTTCAGAAGCGTCCAGGATTACATGTGCGTACCCGCGTGGCATTTGTCAGAAGTTATTATCACTGACTTCGACTGAAAATTATTTTAATTTTTCCTCACTAGGTTCGTGGTTATTACCGATGGTTGCAGTTCCAGTCGACGGTCGCGTTCCAGTCGACGGTCGCTGCTGTGGCAGAACATCAAATTACTAAAGTCAATCAATTATGAAGCTGATGAAGACGCCGAGGCAACAGGAGAAGAAAAAAAAAAAAAAAGAAGGGGCAAGGGCCGACACAAGGACGGAGCTAGGCGATGGTCGCGGGCTGCTGGTCAAATTGCACCATCTTGTACGAATCGAAACAGGCAACTCGGATATCTCCCGCCGCGTTAAAGGCCACGCCCGTTAAAAACCGATCCTTGATCCTAAAAAAATCCAATGCATGTCGTTAAAACACCATGCCAAGATTCAACATCAGCTGCTGCAGGCAGACCATGGCGCCAAGGTCTTCGACGTCGCGGACGTTGGCCATTGGAGATGGGCAGCGAGGAGGCATGCGATAAACATACGTGGCCGAAAATACAGCGCGAAGCCCTGCGATACCCTGACCCGAGAGGGGCGGTGGCAGCTGGTACACAATGGCTTTGCTGTCCAGCCCCACCGTAACCAACTACATGTGTCAGGCGAGGGTGATAAAGCCAATCAGCCGCGACCCTGCACCCGTGGGAGGTCACCTCGAGGACCTGCTGGGTGGCCACACGGGGAAAAAGGCACGACACAGCACAAACGCACCAAACGTTGGGCCGGAGACGTCGCCATCGCAAACAGTGTCCGCGCATGGGCATTGAGCATGGCCACCCGCTCATATGTCGAGCTATAAGGACCGGCGCGATCGGAATCCATGACGAGGCGCGTTTCCTGCTCGCTTCAGACATAAAAAAAAAAAATAAAAAAAAAATAAAAAAAAAATAAACAAACAGGCTGCATGCATACCTGGTGTAGACATGAATGCTGCCGTTGGCCTGACCCACAAACACAAACTTATCCAACACCTGCAGCGCGTGCACGGGCTGCGCGTCCTCTGGGCCAGCCCCCGCAAGCCCCCACCCCACGCACACAATCACCACAGCCAGACATATCAAGTCAGTTGACCACGCCTCACCCGTTCCAATCCAAAACAATCAAAGTGGCTCATGCGCACACTTACCAGCCTCCAAATGAGAAAGCAGGCGCAACCCATGCCCTTCAACCTGCCAGAAGGACACGCGTCGCTCCTCATCACCCACGACCAGCTACGTTTCGATGCATCCCCGGCATCCGGGGGAGGGGGCGCAGGGTCACCGCATGGCAGGCACATCAGCAATAGCATGTTGTGATGTACACGAAGCAAAGTACCAGCGCCTACCACTCCCGCAACAAACCAGGAGTCCTACCTGTGTTGCCCCTTCATCTGCGGCCATGCAGGTGATAGGGCCCGCATGGGGGGTGGCCAAGACGGCACCGGGGCGCATCTGGCCCAAGTCAATCAGGTGCAGCTGTCCGACTGAGTCGCCTAAGCCAAGACCAGGGCCAGGATGGCAAAATTATGCAAGAGCGTGCATGGCTGTGATTTCTGGCTCGGAGTCGGCCGGACCAGGGCGAGTTCAGGAGGGCAAGCAAAAGCATCGCTCGTCATCAGCGGGCCGGACTGCGCACCTAACACGAGAAGATCAGAGCCCACTCGCGCAATCCCACGGCAAAAGTAGTCTTCTAACGAATCAAATGGTCCAGCAAATGCAATGGTGTCGGCGTTACCAAGACGCACTCTACAGGTGACCACAAGCAGCCAACCCAGCCACGGGTGTTGATCGGTTGCCCATGCGTGGCGCTGCGCTCACCGTCCTCGGGCTGATGGGCGGGCGGGGAAATCTTGTGCGTCAGTAGGCAACGTCCGTTCAAGCCAAATATGCGCTGTACCAGCGTGCCGACCACAACTAAGAGTGCTTGTGCGCCATGCAAGACAAACTTTGCCTGACACCCGTGCCATGCCACACGAGATCAGTCAGCGATGATATCATGCAGACTGGAAACCGACAGTGCGCGACCCACCTGATGAATGGCGCCCGTGCCTTCAGAGGCACAAAATTGCCGATGCTCATCCTCGGCCCCCTGGACTGCCTTGGTCATCCACACACTAGAACTGAATCCGACGGTATCAAACTCGAATGAGTTGGGCTGGCGCCTGGCTGGTTTACCTGTTGTGTGCAAAGCCGACCCAGCGACCACCTTACCCAGACACGTAGCAATAATATGTGGTTCCATCCCCTGCACTGTACGCATCCAGGTTGTTAATCTGCAAGGAGGCACTGGCAGCCAAGGAGCATTGCTCTGCCATTGGGTTGAAGCGCGCCATTGTGCTTTGAGATTTTGAAAAAAAAAAATGATTTTTCATGGTTTCGATTTAGAATTTTGGCCACCAAAATCGTATTTCTCGCGATAATTGCTCAAAGGAGAAGAGGCGCTGGATCTTGGGCTTGGTCCTTTGCAACATTTGAAGACAACGTGCGCTTTGAATTGAATTCACATGTAAAGTGCTTTTCACTCACAGACACGAATACACTGACGCACAAGGACTCGGCTTCGCACACAGACACAGGCGCGCGCACACTCACCCACAAATACACAGGCACAAAGACACGGAGGCAGCGTTGATCGCCCTCCTGCTCAAAAACGATGATGGTGAAGCAAGCACACGAGAAAAGATACAAACCAAGCACAGCCGGACAACTCCACAATGGGGCAAACCAAAAACCCCAGAGGTTTAAGATCAACAAACATCTATCGACGTCAGGTCGGGACCCAGAAACAAGACACGGTAGAGGCGGGCCCCCAGCCAACAATAACCTGGGCGATGGCGACGCTCAGACACGCCTCGCCCAAGCACAGGCCCCTCAGCAACCAGGATGGGCGATGAAAAAGTTTTTGTGCTTTTTAGAGTTCAGAAAACTCGCCGTCACGCCATGCACTGGTCAGCTTGATCTTGAACTCGGCCATGGGCTTGCTAAAAAGTTTCTGTGACGAACAAATCGAGACGAGGCTCAGTGAAAAGGCGAGCATAGACACGGCGAGCGTGGGAGGGAGCAGCACATGGTTGCAGCCCCGGTCACGAGTTGCATGGTACAGCAAACAGTAGCGCACGTACGAGAATGCGCGCTTGCTCAGGCGAAAGGGAATCACCCTTGTTGCAGACCAAGTAGTCGTTGTCCAGCGTGACGATGCCCCGCTTCAGCGAGGTGGGCAGGCCCAGGGCGCGCAGCTGGGGCTCCATCGTGTGCGCAAACTCCGTCAAGGGACCTAAAAGGCACAGACAAGAAACATGAGACTTGGACCTCTGGTCTTGCTGACACCCCGCGTCCCATGAGGAGCTCCTAAAGAGCCAAAGGGACGACGCACCGGCAGTCAGCTTGACGGTGTCGGTAGCCGGGTTGCCGGAGCGAGCATAATCCAGCTCGGCAAAAGTTTCAAACCAGCTAACACAAAGGTCAAGAACTTGGGTGAGAACACAGAGGCAATCAGAATACGGCCGAGCAAGGCTGCGCGTCGGACCTGACAACATCCTCGTGCTTCTTGTTGGTAAAAAGGATGCCAACATTGCCCTTGAGGTGCTGTGACAAACGACCACAACACCAGCAGTCACAATGGAAAGGAAGCAACAGGAATCGATCAGTTCGCGCACCATGAAGGGAGCGGTCAAGGCGCCACCATCATCAATGACTAGACTGAATCGGAGGTCAAGGGTGGATACCTCGGAGATCAGGTGGGTGTTAGGCTTGTACTCATCCTGTGCACTGAAGCCAAAAGCACGCTGCATAACCCGGTTCTTGCCGAAGAAGAAGCTACAAGAGTCACCCAGGCGGTGAAAAAAAGCCGTACGTCTGGTTCCACATTGTGGTCAGCGCTTGAGTCTTGATAACATACCGGCTGTTGCGCCATGCGAGGCGCACATCCTTGAGCTTGGCGTTACGCATGTTGTCGACCGAGAAGATGTACGCGGCCTTGTATTCATCGAGGCATTGTTGAATCTACGCCCACGCCGCATCAACGGCAACAGGGCAGAGATAAGAAGACCATAGATTGCGCACACATGAGGGCAAACAAGGTCTCTCGGCGCACGAGGCTAGCGGCAGGCAGCACCAACCTGCTCCACCAGCTGCGTCTTGGTCTCCAGACCCTTCTTGTCCGTCTGAGTCAGAGAGACCACCTTGGCGCGCTTGCTCTTGGGCATCTTGGCGGACTTGAGACTCAACGGAGGATGAAATAGGCACGATGAAGGGAAGTGTGCCCGGCTGACCACAGAGAGCAGCGCACACGCAAAAAAAAGAGAGAGAGAGAGAGAGAGAGAGAGAGAGAGAGAGAGAGAACGAGCACGTGTAGACCTGTGGTCCATAACCTGTTCACACAGGATAATTTGATGACATTTCTGTATCGCTGTTGCAGAGAAAACCGTTGTCAGCTGGTTACCTTTTCCATCGGCCCTTGGCAACGCATTTGGACTGAAGGGCCCCAGATCGCCAAGCAGTCATGAGCAAAAAGCGACAAAAGTCCGCCCGGATCGGCGGGGCGGCCAAGGGCGGCGACGACAGCGCTCCCAACGAGCTCAGTCTTCTGAGTGATGTCCGTGATTCTGAATGACTCTTGTTCTGTCTGTCTGTCTGTCTGTCTCTCTTCCTCTCGTGATTTCTTAGCTGAGGCATGTCCCCAAGCTCGCTTCCGCACTCGGACCACCTCATTGCTCGCTCGCGCTGTGTATTCCAAAATTCCTCCTACAGGACAGCTGGCAGTGCCACCTGGCCTTGGTGCACAGTGCACAATATTATGCTGAAAAATATAGCCATGAGGCGTTGGCGCTGGCCCGTCGCGGTGTTCGACCCCGTTTTATGGTCATCTCTTACGCCACCATGAAGGCGGAGGCGGACGAGCTGGCCAAAGCCAAGGGCAAAGCCAAGAACGCTGATATCCAGGCGCGTGCCGAACAGCTTAGCGTCCTCAGTGCAGCCTTGGAGAGTGATGCTGACGGCGAGGTGGCATCTGCCATGGCCGCGGTCATTCGGGCCATGCTCCAGCAGCGCAAGACCCAGTTCTTGACTGCTCGTGATGCAGAAGGCGAGGGAAGGCTGGCGGCAGAGAGCGGTGAAAGCACCGTAGCGGCGGGTCGTGTCAGCAAAACACCCAAGCGTGGTACCAAACCTGCCAATTCACCCAGCTCCGCGCCTGGCAAACGTGCCGCAAGCATGAAAACCCGAGCCGAGGAACTGGCCCACGTCGATGTCACGGCAGATGAGCCCGAGAATGGCCCTCGGCTCTACTGCCTCCTCGAGGGCTTTCATGATCCCCAGCTCCTCCCAGCACTGGCCACGCAAGGCATTCCCATTCAAACCGTTGTGCAGGTCACGTCCGATGATGATGATGCACCTGATGAGCAACCGCCTGCTTCGACCGAGGCTGACACGGCATCAGAGGGATTGGCCGATCCCACCGCTTTCATTCCGCCGGTAGGTGAGCGGCTCGAGGCCGTCTGCCACACCCGACCTCTTTGCGCCTGTTTCTGACCTTGGCGCTTGCTCATACACCTTTGACTCGCTTGTCCCTCATCAAAACTTGCATTCCTGCCTGCCCGGCCTTTTTTCTTGGTAGCCTCGGGCCGATGCCGTCCTCAACTTTGTGAGCCACGCTCGCCAGCTTGTCCGTCAAGCAGACGAGGCCTCCGTTTTACGTGATATTGCTTGGCAGGTACGTGGTTGTGTTTGCTGCTTGCGAGCTGTCAGGGGCATGCCAATGTCGTCTGCGGTTCGACGCCAAGGCTCAGCGCCTCATGCTGTCTCATACTGATTCACGCCGACGCGTTATTTTTCTTCCGATGGTTGACAGGAGTTGGCTGTGGGCCAGCATCCAGACGCAGCCGCCACTTTTGACAGCATGGCACACCTCTTGTACAAGCTACTGGATCTCTTTCAAGACTACCGAGTCTTTTCGTCTTCCCTTGAACTCGTCACGGTTCCTGCCGTTCGAGGCCCAATCGACACTCGGCTCTACGACCAGCTCGTGGACAGGCTTTCGCCACGCGACCGTGTCGTTCCCGTGCTCTTGGACTGCATGCTTCAACACGTAGCGGCCACCGTGGAGCACACAGAAGCCCCCGTCTCCCTCGCCAAGCGTCTCATTTCGGATATGGAATCTGAGCCGCGCTCAGCCTCGGGCGAGCGCCCGCGCTCCAAATCGTCGCAACGGTCCGTGTCCGCAACTTCCCGGCCCACCACAGGTGCCGTAGAGGCTCGGAATGCCCGCAGCGCCATGGAGGCAGCCCGCCGCCTGGTGGAGCAACAGCTGGACACATTGATGGCCCCCTTTGATGAATTGGACCAGGATGAGGGTGTTGACACCGGGTCCACCGAGCCGCTCATCATTCGTCACAACGATGAGGTCCTGCAAACCCTGTCCTCTGACTTGCCGCACTCAGAATACGCCCCCTTGTCAGGGGCTCGTCGTATCTTCCAGGCGGCGCTGGCACACCAGCTCTCCGAGAGCATCACAGAGCGAGCAGTACTCTCGCAAATGGAGCGCGACTTTTTTTTCCAACAGCTCCTCGAACACAGCAGCCTCACCCGATCTGAAAGCGAGGTCATTATGCACCACCTCAAATTTGCGCAGCTTTTGGCACATGCCACCGGTACGCGTTTTTGTTCGTCAAAACCAAACGGGGGAAAAATGGAAAAAGAGAAAGAAAAAAAAAAAAAAAAAGAAAAAACCAAAACCAAAACCAAAAACCGTTCGCCCTCTGGGGTGAGTCGTTGCTCGTCCCTGGTCTGTGTGCTCATGTGGTATATGCCGCTCACTTTTACCAGGCTCTCAACCCCAAGACTGGGATCTGTCATCCTTTTGTTTTTCAGAGCGCTATGACGCCCAGACCACCCAGCAGGTCTTACACGACGCCACGGCCGGGAGCACGCAGCGCTTGTTGACGCGCTATGACCCCAGTAAGTCATGTCGAGACAACCACGGCTCGCACATCATGGGGGACAGCTGCCATCCGCACACCACTGGGCTCTTTTTATGATTTAATTCGGCGCCAATGCTTCTCACCGTCACGCTCCTCATCGGCCATTTCTATAGACTTGCATGCCATGGTTGCGTGTGTTGTCTCCGAGGCCACGCTGCCCAATGCTCAATGGTCATCATTTGCTCCAGGACCGGTTGGATTTTCCGATTACCTGGAGCATGTGCGTAGTGTGATTGGCGGCGGACCTCCTTACAACATGACTCCAGCCTGTAACGTTCGCCATCCTGTCCTCTCCGTGACGGGAAATTGCGAGGCGGCCGCCTACAATGACGTTGTGCTGCAGCGTAACACGTACCACTTCTACGACCAACCACAACGTGTACGCCTACTTTTAGAGCACGCCACACTTCCCTGCCAGGCCTTCTTGACTGCCTACCCCGAGGCGCTGCTGCCAGGCGAGGATGAGACGCCACAAACTTCGCTGCGCGTCGTCTTTGGAAACACAGCAATGGTACTGGATCGACACACACTTCGCCGCTGTGCGACGCGGGGCAAGTGTGACTGGGTGCCCCCTTCGGCGCCCACTGGCATCACTGAACCGGCCAATAGCGATGGTGTGACGCCAACGCCAGCAGATGACAAGCGCCAGCGTAGCGGTGGCCCGCGTCCGCGCTCTAGCACAAAAAACAAGCGTGCGCCCAAGCCCAGTGGCGGCACGGTTACTCCTGCCGCACCCGCCGGGGAGGATGCGCCTGCCACCACCGAGGAGACCGCAGTTGTTTCCGTCTTTGAGCCCGTGGATCCGGCCACGATCCTAGCAGCAAGTGTTTTGGTGAGCGATCGCCTGAATGTTCATTTGAGTCCAAACGGTGCCATCACCCTGGTTGATCATGCGACTTCAGTTGGCGTTGAGCAGTCTTCATTTGGTGTGCAGGCGGAGCGCTACCGTAGCTACCTACCGGGAGGCACTGTGGTGCGCGTCCTGCTGAGCGGTGACGTTGAAGTATTGCATGCAGACGGTCGTTCGTGGTATCTCAAGGGCGGGGAGTGGAGGATGAAAAGCTTTGAGGGTCAGTGCGTCCGATACGATGCACACGGCGTCGAGATTGAGACGATCGATCTGGCGACCGTAAGCATGCACAGCGTACCTGAAGGCGTCGAAGTGCTGGGCAGGGAGGATGGCGCTGTTTTGGTGCGCCCCACCTCAGACAGCCACGCCCTTGAATTTCCGGATGGCACCCAGTTTCACCGCGATATGCACGGGCGCCTCCGCATCTGTTTTGCCGGCCTACCGGACGTGGTGCAAATGGAGGATGCCGTGCAGCTGCTTGTTGTGGAGGACGATTTAACGCTGACCCATCGCTACCATGCCGGTGAGCTCATAGCCGAATCTGACTATTGTACCGTCAGCATTACGGCCACCGGCGAGGCCCGTTTTGACTGGCAAGGCCAGGAGGCAAGCTTGAATCTGTTTACCGGCGAGGCGGCGTGCTTGGAGGATGGGGAGGAGATGGCGCAAATCGCGACATTTGAAGCGGTGGACGCACACAGCACGGGCCATGCAAACGCCGGCGCCGCGGATGCGCGTGAAAGCGTGCTGCCCAGCCTCTTTGTGTTGTATCCGGATGGAAGCAGCGTTCAGTACCTGCGAAATTTGGAGCAAGAGCTCGAGGAGTTGGTCGAGGCCGACGATCACATTGAGTTGATTCGGCACCGCCTGGCCTCGGACAGTACCTCGGAGAGCGTCACCTTGATTCAGCGCGAGGAGTGGCCACCGAATCCGCATAAAGCTTTGCCCTCCATCATCCCGCCGTCGCTGCAGCGCCACGGTGGACCAGTCAAGAATCCCCAGAGCAAGCAAGCTCTACTTTTGCGGTACGAATCGTTCGGGGTCAACACGGCAGGAATGCAGGATGTTGTAATTGGGCAAGCCGTGTGTATGTCGGTTGAATAGTCGACGCTCACGACGAAGCAGGATGGGAATTGTTGAGCCGGCTTTGTGGAGCCAGCTCGATGAAGCACATTTGCATGAGGTTGCAATCGCTGTCTTATTCCGGCCGACAATGACGTGGTATTTTTCTCTTAGACAATTTGTCAAGCATGAGGCAGTGACGGCTGAAAAGCTTCAACAGCTGGGTTCAGCCTTGATGGCAGCGCGCCAGGCCAAAAAGGAACAGGTGTGTTCTAAAAAGTCTTGACGATCTGTTTGTTATGAAGAGAGACGGGTGGCTACTCGCTTGGGCATGGGACAGCAGGAACCGGCAGGGACGATCCGAGGCGACCCTTGCCATTGTGACCCGCCCCCTCAAATTGTCATACTCAAAATTCTGTGGCGCATGCAGGAGGCCCAAGTCGCAGCAGTGACTCTGCGGGATCAGCGTCGGTCAAGCACGGCTGCTCAAGCGGCGGCGTTGCGGGCGCAGGTCATGCAGAAGCTCGTCACGCTTCAAGACCAGGAAATCGAGGCAGCGTACGTGCAGTTGTTCCGGTCGGTCCGCGTGACCTCTGGGTGGACCTCATCCATGGACCTCATTCATGGTGTTCTGCATGATGTGGTGCGTTGGTGATACAGGTGGGATGAGCTTAAACAAGATGAAGACCAGGATGCTGATTCACTGGCTGGCTCGCCAAAACTCGAGTCCCGTGACAAGGCTGAGCCTGCGGCCGCTCCACCAAACATTCGCCGCGGCCTCTCCGTGCGAGAACTCATGGTTCGTCAAAGACAGGCTGTGCGCGCGGGGAGATTTGTTGTGTCTTTTCAGCGGCCCCATTGTGTGTAACGCACGCGGTGAGCTCATGCGGTTTTGTCTTTGCTTTGATAGAAGGATGCGGCACAACCGACCATCCCTGGCTACTTTTCGTCTCCCGAAGGCTCACAGGTTGCAGCGGACATCAGTGCTCGTCGCCGGGCCGCTCGGCTGGCCGAGGTGGAGGCGCAGCGAGCCCAGACTCGGGCTGTGCAGGAAGCCCTGGCTCAGGGCCAAGCCTCCGCTCCGCCAAAGTCCAAGCCCCAAGGGGCTGGTGGTGTGAATCAGAAAAATCCTACGCCGGCATCGATTGGGGAAAGCCAGGTACCGGCGGCAGCGGCAGCAAGCGCAACCATCACCGCGGCTCCCTCGCCACCAAGAACACCAAAATCTGCCCCAGTCGGCGCAGCCTTGATTCCCGAGGCTACAAACGACCTGTTCTTGGCGGGCCCTCAAGAGGAGCCCAGCCGTCGACCGACCCAGGACCCACATTCTTTGGGACAGCCTCGTTTCCGCGACATTCATTCTGCAACGGTGGATAGCGCTCAGGTGCTGGGCGCTGAGGTACCAGGACCGGGTAGCCTCCGTTCGACATTGCGTGGCGAATCTGAGAGTACCCCCCGTGGCGGCGCGCTGAGCACTGACGAGGCCATTGCAGATGCCGAAGCGAGTGCGGCGACGACATTGGTGGGCACGCCACTGCAGACCTCACAAGATCAGGTTTGTTCACGACATTAGCAAGCGCTTCTAATCCTGGTTTATTTTTATTTATTTTTAATCTTTATGAGTTTTTTACTTCTTGGTTCCCTTCCTGCCCCCTCCCCCCTGGTATTCAAACTCGCGTGCATGCCCTCTTCCTCGCAGATTGAGTTTGGTTGCCTGAAGGAGGATTCTGCCTACTGTATGGCGTTTCGGATCGAAAACACGGGAACAGAGGCACGTCAGTTCTCTGTCACACCGGTCACGGACGATCGTTTACTTGTGTTGGCGCCTTTTACCAAGGTCGAGCCCGGTGCTGCGGTGCGGTGCGAGGTGCAAGTCAATGCCACCCGGGCTGGGGACCTGGACACCGCACTAGTACTTGTGGACGCCGCTGGTGGTGAGCTGCGCTTGCCCTTGTCGGCTTCCATCTTGAGCAAACAGGCCTTTGAGCATCAGCGACTCTCGGCCCGGCATCGCGGCAAGGGCGTGCGATTGCTCTCCACGCGTCCCTTGTCGTCCCGATAAACGATGGTATCACAGCTCCATATGGGCTTTGTTCGTGCTAAAGCGCCGCCGCGCACCAAGCAATACTTGTTGTCTTGTGCCGTGCCGAAAGGCTATGGTGGCGGTTGGTCTTGTCCTAATCGAAGTTTTTTTTGAATTTGCCTTGCACCACGACTACATGTACATCCATAAACATCGGGGTTATAAAAAGAACAAACTCGCCAACACCACCAGAAAACAGCAAAGTGAAAACACGATGAAATCGTTCAGCCAGTTTAATGTAACGAAGAACACACTTCACTTCCGTCGCTCTTGTTCTCTCTTTTTCTTTTTCCTAGCAGAAGACGGTCGTCGGTCAGTCCCGTGAACCTCGTGCCACGCTTCACGCTCGCATGCGCGCTTGTGAGACGGCTGTACCCGCAACAGTCGATGCAATTTGTGAAGTTTGATCATTCCTCATCCTGCTTGGCTCACCATTGTTTTGACATGCCGTGGCTTGTCTCGGGACGCCAAGCTTTTCCAGGTACGTACGAGAGACGTGTGCCCACTCAGAGCGGCAGCGGCGCAAGCGCCTGACACAAACCGGTCGCTTCTCCCAGCGTCGACTAACTCTCGGACAGGCCTCACATCCTGTTGTATCGGCCCTGTGATTGTGAAAGCCCAGCCGAGACCATACAGAATGGATGACATTGCCAGTGTGCCTTGTGCCGAATTCAACCAATTTAAGCAGGTCATTGGCGAGCTGCGCACGCTCGACGATCGTTTGACCCACAAGCTGAACACCACCGTGCCCACGGCCAGCAACGTGGACGATGTGGATGCTCGAGCCAACTGCACCAAGCTGTGGGAGCAGGTATGCCTGAATGCATTCGTTTGTTGCACTCGAGTCTTGACCTTGAGCGCTGAATTTGTGCCAGCCCGGCTGTGGGGCGCTGCGCTAAGAGCTGATGAGCTGGGCATGGTTCAACTTAAATCCCTGTAGATGACTCAAGCTCACGACCGCCGTACTGCGGCCCTGGAGCGCTGCCTCACCGAGATCAACGCGGACATTATCAACCTGAAGCAAGCCTTGGTTCGAGTCGATTTCAGCTCAACCGTCCGACACGCATGGCAGAGCACCTCTCATTCAACAACTTTTGGCCGATTTGTGTGGCGTTGGTGTAGGGAACCGAGGACCGCGACATGCGCGCTAGCCAGGGCAAGGTATGTAGCACAACCATTGCTCGAAATGCTCCTGCAGATGTTTGGACACGTGTGTGTGTGTGTGTGTGTGTGTGTGTGTGTGTGTGTGTGTGCGCGCGCGTGATAACTGCAATGTACACCTCACCACAATCACGAGGATAGGGCAAGACGGATGTGCGTGGCCGCAGTTTGCGCGAGAAGCAAGGTCTAGCCCGCGAGATTAAGCGTGAACTCGTGGCAGAGGAAATTTTGCAGGAACAAACGACCAAGGTATGTATGTGGTTGCAGGCCTGCAACTTTATTCGTGGTGTTGAGCATGGTCCCGCTCATGTGGTGGCTTTTTGCTTCCCGTTTCTTTTGTTGTTCTTTAGGTCTTCAAGGACCGCTGCGGTCGCTATTACACCCCACCACGATAAACCGGACGGATGGATGTCAAGTGCCGCGTTGCCCCCAGCTATCTTTTCTTTGCCGGGCATGAATTGATTCGTATCGCGGCCTGTGTTCATATTGCCATGCCTTTGTGACAGTGGATTGAGTGACAAGCTTAATTTTTTTCAATTTTTTGCAAGTCTTGAAAGTGTGGGGCTGTGGCAAGTCTTGTGTCAGCCGGAAGCGTCGCGAAGTATTCTATGCCATACGTCATGCCAAAGCTTTACTCAATGTTGCTGAGGGCATCCGTCGCACCCTTGCCAGTCTATGAAAGCGGAGAAAATGCGTGAGCACGAGGCAATAGATAAAATGTTCAAAAAAAAAAGGAAGCAATGGTATCAAAATCAGCACACTCGTTTCAGAATTGAATGCAAATGGGGAGCACCAAGTGCGTACCTCGACGGCCTTGAGCTCGTGCTGGAAGGGGGGCAGAGAGCGGAACACCTTGATGTGCACAAACTCGTTGGAGCCCACGTCCACCTTGATCAGATAGTTGGTGCCAGCCACAACCTGTTGTGGGGCGAGAACCACGCATGTGAGTTTGCCCTCCAAACCGGCACTGCGTCGCACGAGGTTCAAGGCACAAGCGCCAAGAATTCCCAATCAAACAACAAAAACGACAAAAAAAAGAAAAAAAAAAATGGCAGCAGCCGTTTGCTTCTAGATGCAGATGTGCAGATGTTTATGTCTCACCTGGGTGGAGACCTGAATGGCCTTGAACTGCTCAACATCCTTGCCAATCTTGGCAACGACATCCGACTTGACAGCGTCGGCAACTTGCTGAATCTCTTCGTCGGCGTCGCGAGGAGCACCAAATCCACCAACCATGGCCATGTTTGCGGTTTTGGAGTAGTGGGGTCCAGCAAAAGCAGTAGCAAGAAGAAGGCTGAAGATGGCAAGTCGGACTGTTCGACCGTAAGGGAGCTAGAAAACGAGGGAAAGTCACGGCCACAGATGAGCAAGTAAACATGCCAGCACACGCCACTGTACCGATGAGTATACGTGAGCCAGCGCGGCTGACCTCCAGGATGAACGGTTGACGTACAAAACAACAGCAAGGGAGGAGTTGAAAATGCCACTGAACCAACAAACGCCTCCACAACGACCAACACGACAACAACAACAACAACAACAGCAAGGCAGAGAGAGAACAAAAAAACAGTGGGTCTAAAATTAGATGATATCGTTACGTGTGCGGGGCGGGTTTCGCGTGCGCTTCTGGGCCGAGTCGGGCGCTGCGGCGGCGAAGAGGAGGAGAGGAGTTGGGATTCAACGGCTGAATCATCGAAGTAAAGGGTGAGCAGCAATGGCAAAAAGGGAAATCTAAAGACTCTTTCGATTATCGTGCACATGTTGACACATCACACCAAAATATGGCTTGGTTTCACAAGTGTTGATGACCTCCAGGTGCCACGGGCAGGTGCAGCGCCTGGTTGCTTCGGTCCAAAAGTCGGCTCAGCCCACACAAGACACTTGAGAAAAATTCGGGTGGGTGCCCGTTTACACAATGAGGCGTATGCAGGCACGGGCGTCGGCACACACGATGTAACACGGTCACCATGTGGCCATGATCCGATGTAAAATTGACTCAGGTCGAGGGTGCCTTGAGCGCAGCCAGTCGCCGCATCAAATCATCCTCGCCAACATCCTCGGCTTCAAATGTAGCAGCAGGCCGCTGCCGCACTGGGGCGGCCAACTACAAGACCATGAAAACAGTGATGAGCTGAAGATCCCGCTGGGTCGCAAACGCGCGTGCCAATTCGCACCTGAGCGCCAACACCGAGTCCAATTTCATCCAGGACTGCGTTGACCAGCTCGCTGCTTTCCTCCTCCACATCTGAATCGTCAAATGCCGCATCCAGCGCATCGTCCACTATATTTCCGGGCAAGGGGCAAGATGTGGTCAGACGAGCTAGATGTGCAACATGCAACTGCCTTTCCTCGCAAGTCACGTACTGGTGGATTGGGCCATGTCCATGCGCATGCTCTCCTGCTCAAATTGCTGCATGGTAGCGGCTAGCTCCTCTGGCTTGAGTTGCGCATTCATCGTGCCCATCGTCTACACCACCAGTAGGCCACAGGCCGACACATGCCAGGTAACTTTAGCGCGAGGGCAAGGCTGGCCAAGCAACGCCTTGTAGCCAAGGAGAAGCTGCAAACAAGCAAGAGCACACACCTTGGCGGCCGTGCCCATGGCCTTGGCGGTAGCAGCATGCGTTTGCATGATCTGGCATCACATCGATAGTCAGGTAGGTTGATTGCACGAAGAAAAGGCGCATCGCAAGCCCGAGGAATAGCTGCATGAAGCTTCCCAAGAAGAGGCTCATGCCTGAAACCTACCGACATGGTGTTGCGGGCAGAGGAAATCTGGCCCTTGGCCTTGAGCTGGCGTGTACGGGCACCACGCAATTGCACCAGCTGCTTTGCCAGCATCTTGGCCTGTGCATTGTCGCCTGCCTTGGCCGCGCGCTTAATGTCAGCCTCCTACCAGTATGGAGGCCGCCGGGTGTGAGTGGGTGTGTGAACCTGTGTGAGTGTGTACATGCGCATGCGCGTGTGCACGGACAGGCACGAAAAAGCCATCAGGATTGATAGCGAGCAGTCGACCAACAGGCCTCGCTTCATACGCACCAGTTGCCGTTCTTGACGTTGGCTGGCATTGACTTCGCGCTGAATCTCACGCTCATGCCGCTGCATTTCGCGCTTCTGCGCCCGGGCCTGCTCCCTCGGGTCGGGTTTCTTCGCAAAGAAAGACATGGTGTCTCGAATCCCACGATGGCAAGCTGCGAGCCGTGCGTTTCAAAGCTAAAATCGAAAATGCCTGGTGTCCTCGATGGCAGTGTTAGTCGCCTGGCCAAGCTGACAGCGGGACATGTACCGCCACCCCTGCCTGTTTCTGCTTCGTCGTCGCTGTCGTCTACGTGTGCTGTCTGTGGGCTGCGATCAAATGCCCTTCACTCCTGTCGGGGAAACGTTTGCTGACATATCTGTTACATCACCTGGAAAAGTTCCAATCACTATTTCATGACTTTTACCCGTGAAAGCCTTTACAATTCAGCAAGTTGATCGGAATGAGGACGAGCTTGCGAGAGACAGAGAGAGAGACAAAAGAGAGAGAGAGACAAAAGAGAGAGACGGTGAGAGAGAAAGACAAAAGAGAGAGAGGGATCGTACACGTTGCTGTTGTTCACTGCCACACACACACTCTCTCTGTGTGTGTCTCTTGCCTTTCTCAACTCGACAGCTCACGCGCACAGAGCAGCTCGTCGTTGGCCAACAACGCGAGGCCATCGTGGTGGGGCAACCGTGTGATCTGGTCGTTTTGTGGATCGCCATTCGGGCGCTGTTTGGTTTGCTGACGGCAGGGATCTTGCTATCGTACCCGGCTGTGGCTGGTCGGAACCATAAAACGAGGCCAGCCGCACGCTGGGCGGGGTCTGCATGCGCTTCTCAAACCTCACGCTTGGGAGCTGGAATTGTGGCTGAGCTGAGGTGGCCCACTAGCCACACCACCGTACGTCATGAGCGAGAGCAACCCCATCCCTGACTTTGACGCCGAGGTACAGAAACCACGCTTGCATGCAAATGGCTGCTGCCTCGCGGCCAGCCCTCAAGAGCCTGGCCGTGCTCGCTGTCGTCGCCTCACGCTGCTGGTACGCCTCCTCTTCATCCGATGCACTTGCAGCTCGCAGGTATATCCCGAGCCCCCTTGCCCATCTCTGGCAAGAAAATTGCCGCTGCCACCAAGCTGGCTTTGAAAAACCTGCGCGTGAGTCTTTGCGCTCGGCTTGTTCAAATCACTTGGGTGCTGCTGTCCACGTTCCAGGCCTCACAGCCGCCATCGCTTCGCTTTTGCCAGTACTACAAGCATGTGGTCTATGCTGTTGAGCGATTTATTGCCAAGGTGTGTGGCCCGACTTGCCAAGTTTGAGGACATTGGCCCTCACCCCGCCCAATCCTTGCATGCGTCAGGTCAAACTTGAGTACAAGTTGCCGGGTCTTTATGTCATTGACTCAATCATGAACAACTCTCAACACACGGTGCGGCATTTGAATTATGTCTTCACACTACACCTCCTTTTTTTTTAAAAAAAAACACCCTTCGATTCTAGTCCCGCTTTGCCATGTCAATCTCTACCATTACCGACATGAGCAGTCGCTGCACTCATTGGGGCTTGCGACGATGTCGCTTCCGTTCCTGCAGAATAAAGAAAAGGACCCCTTTGTCGAGCGATTTGCCAAAAATATCCAAGTTACCATAGATCACCTAGCGCGTGCCAGTGCCAAAGATCGCAAAGCTGCCGCGCACGTTGTTGGTCTCTGGCGCAAGAAGGAATTTTTTGGCGAAACGGTATGAGAGCCAGCTTGTTCTCTTTGAGCCATCCTTCTTTTCTTCTCCCTTCCCTTGGATATCTTTGTCTTCCTTACTCCTGCCACACCCCCCTCCCCCCCGCTTTGATGGTCCATTCCTCTTTTGTCCTTCATCATCTCATCCGATCTTTGTCACCCGCTTTTCGCAACACGCATTTTAGATCTGCGATGCCATGCTGGCCAAACTGGAGACCGGTGTTGACGAGTCAGCAGGCAATTCGCCTGCCTCCACTCCTGCGAATGACCCTCGCGCCGGCGCTGATCCGCGCCTGGCTGCTGCCAATGGCACCGATCCGCGCCGAGTTGCTCAAGACCCGCGCACCTCAACAACTACCCCTGCCGACCCGCGCGCAGCCAAGGTATGCACCTCGTACACTTTTGCTGTGCAATGGGGGGTTGGATCCTTCTTGCTCTGACATTTTCTGACACCCCTGCTTTGCATCTTGTGCCACCTCCCAATGCGCGCAGACGGATGATCTGTTGTATGAGATGCCGAACACAGCTGGAGCGTCATCAAACTCTTCTGCAGCCACAGGCCCGGGCGCATCTACAAGCTCCGCTGGCACGACCGACTCGGCAAGCGACTTGCTGAATAATCTCTCTGCCGATACCAATGTTCTCGCTGCCCTCTCAAGCCTGCTGGCTCAGGTGCAGCAAACCAAGGAGCAGCCAGCTAGCGCTGATGTCACCATGGACTCCACATCAGCCACGGCGCTACCGCAGGCCCCACCAGCTGCAGCCCACGAACTACGTTATGGTGCTCCTCCCGAGCATACCTACCCGCCTGCTCAAGCTCCTCGCGGTCAGGGCATGGGTGAGAGTGCCTTGCCACAGCACGGAAACTTTTTGCCACCCGGTGGTCAGTTTGCACCACCACTTGATGGTCCCCCACAACAGATGCAGTCTTCCTACCCGCAGCAGGGGCAACAGTTCTTGCCTCAGAACCAGGCCCAGTCGCAGCCACCGCGATCTCCGACTCAAGCCCATTCGCAACAGCAACAGCAACAGCAACAACAACAACAGCAGCAGCATTCGTTTTTACCGCCAGCCATGGGATCGCATGGCCCAAACCCATCATTTCAGCCGCCGGGCCCAGGCGCACCCGACCACGATCCCAACCCAGGCCACCCCGGGCAGGGATTTCCTGACGCAAAACCATCGGCACCGCATGGCTCAGACAATCGGCACCCCGGTGAAGCCCCTCCGAATGGTGCTGGCTGGAACGAGGGCCACCACCTCCCAGCTCACCAGAATTTCGGAGCACCAGGGCAGCAGCCACATCAGCCACCGCACAATTTTGGACCGCCCATGGGCCAGATGGGCATGCCTCACATGGGCTTTGCCCCGCCAGGCGGACCCGTGCCTGGTATGAACATGATGGGTCCGGGTTTCAATTCGACCAGCATGGGCATGATGCCTGGTCCAGGTGCTATGATGGCTCAACCAGGCATGCACTCCATGGGGGGCCTGCCGCCTTTCAAAGAAGGAGACCCCTTTGATGATTGTCCAAAGAATACTGTGCGCTGTATGTTAGCGCCTTGCAACATGCTTGCTTGCCGAGTTCGGTCCAAAATGACTTGCCAGCCAAATTTTGACATCGTTTTGCGCTTCAGTTGGACCGTTCATGCGCCATCTGTATCCTCTCATTTTCTGGTCCTGACTGCCTTTACTTAGTGGTGAGTAGCACGCTGTGGATTGGCTCACTTCCACCAGATGCCACTGAGCATGAAGTTGAACGCCTCTGCGAACCGTATGGCTGCCTCGATTCGAAGGTACGCGCGGGGATAAAGTCTCGTGTCGGGGCTCGTACGCAAGGCAGGCAAGGGCGGGCAAGGTGGTTGGTGGATGGGCACACGTGGCTCACCAGGCCACCGTGCATGGTCTGTGTACCTTGACTTGGGAACACTTTGTGTTAGTTTATGGGGAGCAAGCAGCAAGCGTTTGTAATTCTCGAGTCACGCCAGGCGGCTGAAGCAGCAGTCAAGGTGCTGGATGGGGCACGTTTTCGACAGGCGCGTCTCAAGGTCAACTTTGCCAAAGGCTTCATTCAAAAAAACTCGCAGGATTGGAACCAGCACAACGGCGTCTCCTACCTCGAGCTGTCGCGTATCAGTCCCAAGAACCTGAAACAGTTGGTCGACGGCTGTGTAGTGGACCGGTGTACTGCACCGCCAGCGTTGCTCAACGATCTAGCTGCCTTCCCACATAAATTTTATTCTAGCGAAAACATTGGTGGCGTGAAAGGTATCACCGATCGTCGGGAGGGCAAGATTCCACTGGAACAGGAATACCCTGTGCCAGACTTGATTGCTTTGGCACCAGACGACCCACCCGCACGATCACGATCGCGAGACCGCCACGATACCCGCCGTGATGAACGTTGGGAAAGGGGCGGTGGGCACCGTGATGGGCGCGACTATCGCCGTGATTACCCACGTCGCGAAGATCGTTACCCAGACCGCCGGGAGCGCGACTTTGATCGCGATGGCGACCGCCATAGCCATCACTCGGACCGCGACAGTCGGAGCCGCGACCGGGGTTACGGCCATCCTGACCGGTATGCCGATGACGGTCGGCGGAGTCGTGACAGAGAGCCTCACGGCCGGGAGCATCGTTCCTCGAGCCGGGATCGTGGTCATGGCCGTAGCTACGGCCAGGATCACGAGAGTAGCTATCGTGACCAGACACGCGAAGATAATTACAGCGCGAATGCGGGAGACCAAACCATGTCGACGTTTGCTCCACCAGAGCCTCGAAACACGCGATGGCAATAAAAGCCATGGCCGTGTTCTTGGTGCCCCTGCTCTATCAACACTATACTTCCTGGCTTGACGGACCAGCGACGTTGTGTCGCGCCTTGTTTGTGCCCCCCTTTCAGTGCCTTTTACGCGTGCTTGCGCGCTTGTATGTGCTTGATTTGTTTTTCCTTTCCTTTCCGGTTGCGTAGCTTCCTTTTGCGCTTCGGGCTGTGCCCGTCATCGCTCATGGCTACAACGAAGAATGAACGCCGACACTGTCGGCACTGTCATGAATGTTGCGCCAATCTTTCTTTCGCTAGCTAGAGGAGTGCGAGCTCCTGCCTTCGATCCTGATAAGAGCTCGGCTGTTGTTTGCATAGATGTGTTGACTCATGTCTAACCTGATTTGAGATTGACTTTCAACCTCCTCTCTATTTTCACGCTCTCATCGCCTCTTGCCTTCAGCATCATCCGCGACACGAGTGCTGAAGGTGCCGTTCTCTTGGTCATATGGGCAAAGGTGCGGTGTGACATCTGTGTGACAAGAAAGTTCACTGATTTGAAAACCAGATTACAATTGCTTTGACAACAAAATTGATGGCAAAACTATAGCGTCTTTACTTCATTGGGTCAATTTTTGGATGGCCGCCTTCTGGCTTTGCTGCCCTGGACGATTGGTAGTCCACCCGACACATCTTTGACGAGCGCAAAAGGCAGCCGGTCGGAGTCTGTGGTGCCATGTTTTGTCCCCTTCCTCAGCGCCAGTGATCCCAGGGATGTATCACTCGAAACGCCTCATGAGGTCGTCAACAACGACAAACTTTGAGAGACAGAGGGCCCAGCCTGCACAAAAACACGCACACAAAGCGTCGACTATATCACACTTTGTGTATAAAATAGCATGACACAAGCTACACTTTAAAGTAAACCAGACACCCCTTTAGCCAAACCCTTACCCGTGTGTGCAAGAGAGAGAGAGAGAGAGAGAGAGAGAGAGAGAGAGAGAGAGAGAGAGAGAGAGAGAGAGCAAGCTCAGAACAAAAGACCAAAGACACATCCACATTGAGGGAACCAAAGGAGTGTAGTTTACGCCCGCTGCTGCCGCTGCCACCACCGTCAGGAGAAGAGGGACGGGTGTGGTGCTTCTCCGGTCCCCCTCGGGCAGACCAACCTGGTCCTTCGAGTCTTTTCTGTTGCGTTGGGACAGGAGGATCTTGGCCTTTGTTGGCAAGGACGCCGCTGCCGTGGGTGGCAGTCTGTGGTGCGTTGGCCGTTTTTGCTTGCCTTCTCTTCGAACCGATCGTGAACAGCCATCCGGGTGCTGTTGGTTTGACGCCTCCAACGGCCGCTGCACACGTTCAATACGACCCCTTTGTGGCCCAAGCGCATGCTTGTTTGAATCTCTGATCTACCGTGTGCATGCACTGTCTGTATTCGCCCTTGCAGTCCAAGTCTGCGGTTGTAGTGCGGCAAGTGTTGGCAAAAGTCCTCCAGCCGTGACCGAGAATGGCGGATCTTGTCGTCCAGGTCAGTCAGTGTTGTCTAGATGGTAATTCTAGAACGGAGTTTAATTTTCGGCACAGGCCAGCTAGATGCTGCGCCCACCGCGCCTTGCTACTTGCCGTGTGTTGATTTGCTGATTGGCAAGAATGCGGAATGGCCATCACTTCAGCATGGTTTACCCTACGTGCTCGCTGCTCACGACTCACCCAAACCTACCTTCGTTCTGTTACCACCACTTGTCCAATTGCACCAACCTGTAGCCATTGCGCTGGGCCGGAACGGAGCTGAACACGGAGGATGGCCCATACCGTGAGGTCTTTGAGCTCGTGGCCATCGAAATTGCCGAGGGCGATAAGCTTGGCCTTGTAATTGTCGGCGGCTCGGACGATCCCGATGCCGAGCAACCCGGCCTCGTGGTGACCGACGTGGTCGAAGAAACCGCCGCTTATCGTGATGGACGCATCCAAGCCAATGACGAGATTCTCATGGTTAATGAGCAAGCCGTCGACCCCAACGCCACGCACTCTGCTCATGCCGATCTACTGCGCAACGCCGTCATGTCGGGGCGCGTGGAACTTAAGCTCCGTCGTGTCATCCCCGCCGACCAGGTGGACCTGACCACCATCTTTGCCATGCGCCATGGCGTTGAGTTGCCCGATGGCAGTGCCTACCCGGGTACCGTCGAGTATATGGCGGAAGGCGTGGTCCTGGAGACACTCGAGCTGGACGATCTCGATCGCGACTTTGGCCTCGCTTTGATTGGGCCCCGAGATGAGGATGATATGATGAGTCCTCCCGGCGTGTACATCGCTGCCATTCTGGCCACCGGTGCCGCCGCTCGCTCGAGTCGTCTGCACAATGGCATGCAAATACTTGAGGTTAATGGTTGGAATGTCTCCAATGCCTCTGTGGCTGAGGTGGAGGCCATCCTCAATGTCGTGCCCGTGGCCGTCATTGTCGCCACCAGTAACCCAGAGGGCTACATGCCGTATGCCAACGCTGCCTACAACCGTTATTGGTCTCCGGTTGGCGCCACGGACGATGCCATTGAGCCTCGCAAGGTGGTGCTCACCACCACCGAGGAGAATCGCCGCCTGGGCATGACCATCGCCGGTCCTCGGTCCGACTTTGACATGACAGCTGCAGGGACCTTTGTCACCGATATCTTGCCAGGTGGCGCTGCTGAGCGCTGCGGCTCCCTGCAAGTGGGCGATCAGATCCTTGGTACGAGCCGACAGCGGAAGTGAATGACTTCTCAGTGTCCTTTCCCTTGGCTGGGAACCTTGTCTCATGTCCCTACTCCGTCGCTCGCCGTTTGTCTTTCTCATCGCCACCACTGTGCTCCCTCCTGATGCAGATGTCAACGGTGTTTGCCTCTATAGTGCATCACATGAGCATGCCAAGCGCGCTCTGTTGGACGCTGGTACTTCGATCAAGCTGCTAGTCATGTTCAATCCTCAGGGTCGAGATGCCTTCACCTTTGAGACGGAGAAGATTGAGGCCTTTGAAGCCAAAGAGACACTGCCTCCCATGCCTCCTCGCCCCGTGGCGAAGCAGCTAGAGGTCACTGACAAGGACTGGCGTACGGTGACTGATACCGTCAAGCTTCATCTTGCCAAGACCATGCCTTCTGAACGTCTGGGCATGAGTGTGTACGTGTGCGAGACACCATCACGCACCGCTGTTTTGGTCTCAAATGTTTTCAAGGGCAGCGTCGCCGCCGTGGCTGGCCTTGTCGTAGGTCAGGAGCTCAAGGAAGTCAATGGCACTTTGCTCGCGGGCATGGAGCAGAGTGAGGTCGTGGCTCTTCTCAAGACCTCTGAGCTGGATGTGGTCGTGTCAGCAGCGCCCGTCGTGGATCGTCGCCTGCTGCTGCAAAGCACCATCGTTCATCACACCACCGACGCCATCATGCAAGACGTGCCCCAGCTCGTGACCATTGATGCCCGTGACGGCCTCGGTTTTGCCTACACAGGCCCGGCTTCAATTCACGGGGCCCACCCGAATGGCGTATTTGTGACTCGCCTACTGCCCGGCGCCCCGGCAAACTTGGAAGCCGGTGACCGCATTCTTGCCATTTTTGATCCCGTGGCAAAGAAGTTTCAATCGGTGGCTTTTGCCACCCAGGAGGAGGTGGGCTCCAAGATGCTCGCCGCCCTGGCCGCGCACAATGAATGTCACATTGTGGTCGTGCCCCACCCAGAGGCCTTTGTGTTTAGTTCCAGCACCGAAATTCTTGGTGCACGTCTTGATGAGCTGTACAAGCCTGCAAATCAGGCCGCTATTGACTCGGCCAAGACCATCATGCGCCGCGCTGCGAAGCGCTTGGCGACGCTCGACCACACTCAGCTGACCATTTCAGGCAATCTTGAGTCAGATGCAGGCAGCCTTCGCGTACCCTTTCATGTCCAGGCTTGCTTCGCCCACATGCCGGATGACGAGAATGAATTGCACTTTCGCAAGGGTGATATTCTGGAAGTGACGGATTTGACCAGCATTGATCAGTGGACTGCCACGCTGTTGACGGATGAACATGGCGAGCTCGCCACCGGTTTGATTCCCAGCCCCAGTGCTTACGAAGGCTCTTTCCGCCAAACGCGCCGCTACGCCGAGCAAGAGCGTGCGGCCCGCGAACTAGTGGCCACCATTCCGGCCCATGACGTCATGGTAAGGTTCACCAGAGTTGCTCAAGCTCTGCTGTCCCGTGCCAACCGTGCTCATCCACTCACCTGCCTCACCGCTCGCGCTCATGTCCACAGACGCGTCGCGAAACCATGCAAGAACTGATGGCGGTGCACTCGTACGTTGTGGTGGAGCGCCGCGAACAAGTCATTGGTCTGCGTCCCGTGGCCGTATACGGGCCTGGGGCCGACTACCTGGCTCTTCGTGCTGTTCGCCAGCTACGCGATGTTCAGGTCACCCAGCCCCTCCGCTGTACCAGCCGCCCTCGTCGAGAGAACGAGCGTCAGGGCCGCGAATACGAGTTTGTCAGCCAACAAGTGATGGAGGAACGTCTCAAGTCCAAGCAGCTGGTCGAGGTTGGCCGTTACAAGGTAGGCAAAGATGCCTTGGGCTACCACTGCCATGTGTCTGCGCTCGTGCTATTTCCCAACCTGGCGCTTTGCTCACCCCACACGCATCATAGGATAACCTCTACGGCACCAGCATCGATTCGATCAAGGGGCCCGCCGAGGCCGGTCGCTTGCTGCTCATGCACTGCCACCCGCCGGCCATTCGCCGGCTGCAGTTTATCGGAGACGTTCATCCATTGGTCATCTTCTTGCATGCGACACCGGAAATGGCCCGAGAGGCACTCGAGCCCCTTGCAAACCGCTTGGACATCAAGGAGGAGATTGATCGCGCGTATCAGATTGATCTGCAATACAGCCACATCTTCACGCATCGCCTGGATTTGGACTCTGATTTGGATGGCGTTGTCAAGCTTCTGGCTGATATTATTGAGGATGAGTGTCGCCTTCCGTTCTGGGCCCCGATCAACAAGAGCCTTCCGCACATGGTACGCCAGTTGATGCCAAGCCATGAGGGCTCGTGATATTTTAATACACCACGCGGCCTCCGTTTGGGCGCGGTTCCTGACCTTTAGTCTAACATTATCTTGTTGCTTGCTCATGCAGCCTGCGGAGGAAATTGACCGGGCGGTGGCAGCGCTCTCCGTCCGCAATGTAACTGTGGCCAAGGGCAGCGACAACAAGTTTGGCTTTGAGACGTTGCAGCCCAAGAATGAGCATTACCACGTTTTGCAAATCAATGCGCCTGGCCCTGAATTTGTGTCCGAGGAGATGGCTCATCACAATGATATCATTCTGGCCATCAACGGTCAAAACATGATCTGCGAGCCCCATTCCAAGGTGGGTCCGCCGTTTAGATCGCAGCCCAAGCGTGCTCTCCAGTGGCACGTGGCGTGTGTTTTGGCTCCTTGGGTCAGGTCTTACAGCCTGCCGCGATGCGCGTGTGAGTAGGTCAAGGACGCGTTGAAGAAGGCCAACGACGTGGTGCACATGGTAACCATGGCACCCGTGCCCGGCATTCGCACCGTCAACCTGCGCAAGCGAGGCGGAGGCTACGGCATGACCATTCAGTCGCACCAAGGTGTCGCAGGCGTCATTGTTGGCGAGGTCACGCCGGGCTCCCCTGCTGCGATGAGCGAGACTATCCAACCGGGTGATCTCATCTTGGCGGTAAGCAGTTGGGTTGCGGGCAGCTCAGCTCTGTCGTGCCGTGCCTCGGTTTTCGTGCCGTGCCTCATTTGTACTCAACCACCTTCGTAGATTAATGGCAAGTCCATGTTGACGGCGAGCCATGATGTCGTGCTCAGCATCTTGCGCACGGAGCGTAATGTTGCCATGCTCGTCGTATCCCTCCGCTACCTGATGAGCATGACGGCCCAAGAACATCTCGTCCCTTTGGTTGGGCTGGATGATCGCGGCCTGGGTGTTATCCTTGACTTTGACGGCCCTTATTCAGTGCCCATCATCAAGGGCGTGGTCCCAGGCTCGCCGGCTGCTGTGGATGGCACCATCCAAACAGGTTGGATTTTGATCGAGGTCAATAACCTCGTCTGTCGGCATGCGACACGGGAGCAGATTGAGCGCGAGCTCAACTACAACGGCCAGGTGGAGCTACTGGTGAGCCCCCCGCCTCGCCCCATCGAAGCCGGTGTCAACATGAAGTTTGTGCGTCTCAAGCGCGAGCGTGATGGAGCCTATGGTTTGACCGTCGTTGCCATGGGCAAGACGCTATACGTCGGCAACGTCGTGCCGGACTCGCCTGCCGCCAAGTCGGGCCAGGTGCAGCCGGGTGATGAACTGCTCGAGGTAAGCCAGCAGTTCGTGTCCTTTCCCTCAGACTGCGTTGATTCTGTTTTGGTGCTTGTCTGGGCGTTGAAGAAGAAATTTTTGCGCCTCCTTCTCTTTCTCGCCCTCTCTCATTTTTGAAATGCACGTTTGAATGCACAGATTAACGGCAAGCCAGTTGCAAAGGTTGGCTACGAAGGAGTGACAAAAATTATGGGAGAAACGAGCAGTGTGGAGCTTCGACTCATGCCCTCAAATCTGGACTTGAAGCGTCTCATCAATGCGACGTATCAAACCCCCGAGTACACCACCATCACTTGCCCGCCCGATTATCAAAACCATCGCCGCGTCATTGTGCAGCGCGATGGTCCGTTTGGTCTCAAACTGGAGGCAGCTGAGGGTCAATTGCCCGTCATTGATGAGCTCACAACTGGAGGGGCTGCAGCCAAGACGGGTCAACTCATGGTCGGAGATACCATTCTGGCGGTATGTAACCTTTGTTCCCATGCCTCTCAAAGTATGATAAGATACGGACAACTGGAATGCTCGACCGGGCCTCTCTTGCACATGTGCCCACACAGCTCTCTTCCTCTCCCCTCTACTCGACCTCTCTCTCTCTCTCCCTCTCACGCTCGTCGGCATCCTGCTTAGGTCAATGGTGAGAAGTGCGATGGACTCACGTTTGAGCAAGTGGTACAGCGACTGGCGGCCCACGACGTGGCATGCTTGGACGTAGCCGTACATCGTCCAATTGTGGAGCCTGAGGCGCCCCTGTCCACTGAAGCCATGTATCAGCGTCGCTTGGCCGTTATTAATCGCCCACCGACCGGCGGGCTCGGCCTTGCGGTTGAGACCAAAGACGATCCGCTGCACACGGACTTTCCGCGCATCACCCAGATCAAGCCCGATTCACCCGCCGGCCAGTGTCCCAACCTCTTTGTCGGTGACTACATTCTCTCCATCAATGGCCGCCGCATGCATGGCGTGTCTCAGGAGCTTCTGATTGAAACGCTCAAGTCGTACAACCGCGTCGAACTTGAAGTGGTGCAAGCTCGCGTTGAGGAGGAGGCACACTCGCTGTCTGGCACGTTGATGCTGACCACCACCCTGCACCGCGGCCCGGCTGGGCTTGGACTCGAGCTGATTACGGTTCAGGGTGAGGCCTTGCCATTGGTCAAGACGGTCTTTCCAGGTAGCGTGGCTGCCGAGGACGCTATCATTGAGCGTGGCGATCGTGTGGTTAAGATCAATGACGTACCCGTGGCCGGCAAGGACCACGACGACGTCATTGAATTGCTCACGAGTGCGGAATCTGTCCGCTTGGAGCTACTCCGCGAGCGCGTGACGCGCCACATTTCGACCAGCATTCCCCGTGGCCCGAGTGGCTATGGCCTTCAGCTCACGTCGGTTGATGATGGCTCCGAGCTCCCGTTTGTGGGTGACATTATTGCGGGAGGTGCCGTGGACCAGAACGGTGTCCTGTGTGTGGGCGACGTTTTGCTGGCCATCAACGGCACAAGCCTGAAAGGCCTCCAATATGATGATGTCCTCAATCTCATCAAGGATTCGCCCTCGGTACTCAGCGTCGATGTTGCACGCGAAGATCTGCCGACTGAAGTGGCACGACTGCTCGACTCGGTACGTTTGACGCACTTGAATTTTATTCTGATATTTTTTTGTTTTTACTTTAAGATTGGCCGTGTGGCTCACTTGCTGGCGGCATCCAACAGAGGGATGACGAGGAGCCACGCCATGTTCGACTGGAGAAGAACGGTCAAGGCTTGGGCATTAAAGTAACGACCGTGGAAGGCTTTGCCTACCCGGTCATTCAAGAAGTCATTCCCGGCGGCACGGCTGACCGTGCTGGTGATGTGCGGGCCAACGATGCCATTGTTTCGGTTCGTTTTCAAACCCCGCCTCAACGGCTCGTGTTATTGTTCCTAGCCCTGTACCGATCCTGCGAATGCGTTTCGGTTCGATGCATTGATGTGCTCACCGCTCGCTCACACTCGGCTGGTCCGATCAGATCAACGGCGCATCCACGCAGGGCAAAGAGCATGATGAGATTATCCAGATGCTCCAAGCCAATGAAGTGGTCGAGCTTGACCTGCTGCAAGTTCGTCGCATGTCCGACGTGGACGATTCGGCCGCGGATGACCATGAGGAGACGAGCGCCACGCAGGAATCGGTCGTGCCCGAGGAGACTCAATCGGCGCCTATGCCTGCTGGCTTGCGCGTGGTCACACTCCACAAGCGCGGTCGGCATCTGGGCATCAAAATTCAGACGCAGGACGAGTTGGAATACCCTTACGTGGGCGAGGTTCTTGAAGGTGGTGTTGCCAAGGAGGAGGGATCCTTGCAGCAGAACGATATCATCCTTGAGGTATGGACGAAGCCTGAAACCTCTAGACTTGTGTTTTTGAGGTCTTCTTCTGACCTTGACCCCGTTGCCCCAATAACAGATCAATGGTCTTGGCACGGGCGCGAGCAACCATGACGCCGTGGTTCAGGGGCTAGTGGGTAGCGATACAGTTGCCTTGACTGTTCGCTATCCCACCGAGGATGAGCTGGTGCGCTATGCCTCCCACATTCCCGTGTAAATTTTTCTAGTGTTTTTTTTTTTATTTTTTTTTTTATTTATTTATTTATTTATTTTTTTTTTATTTTTTTTTTCAAGTCTCACATCTGGCACGCGTTGCGGTTGCGTGTCTTTTGGCGCTTTGGGTCTTTACTTTGGGCTAGGCAATGATCGAAATGGCTCATGAGGAGTCCGAGGCCATTCCCGAAGATGTTGCTTCTGAGCACAGCGAGCATGCTTCTGAACCAGATGATGCAGACGTGGTCGGCCCCTCCTCAACTCGCTCAAGCCTTGCTATTGATCCCGACGTTGTGCGCGTGGTTGAGCTTGATCGCTCGCAGGGCCGCCTGGGTCTGAAGATTGCCACTCCCGAACATCCCGAATCGTACCCTGTCATCACGGATATTCTTGAAGATGGATCGGCGGCGCACGCCCCAAAGCTTCTTCGCTATGACGCCATTTTGAAGGTATGTGATGTTGTCGTGTGTCTTTGATTGTGCTTTCTTTCCAAGCTTTGTCTGTGGCGCGAGAAAGTGTTGACCGCCGTCGCCTGTGCTTACCCAAACCCCGTGCGTCCTCTTTCTCTTATTGATGTCTTGCCTTGATCGATTGTTCCAAGGTCAATGGCACGGACACGTGTGGCTTGCACCACGAGGACATTGTTGCCCTCTTGTCATCGGCTACACAACTCAAGATTGAAGTGCAGCGCAACAAGCTCATGCTTGCGGTGCTGGCAGCCGAGGCGTCCATGTCTTCTGAATTGGAGGCGGAGAGTGCACGTCTCACCAACGCGCGTGTCGTTTCGCTGACGCGCGGTGACGCTGGGCTGGGCATGGAAATTCTGACCCCGCCAGACGACGAATTTCCCTATCCCGTCGTTGGGCAAATTTTCCCCGGTGCCGCAGCCGCCAACAGTCGCGTCATCGAAACTGGTGATCTTTTGGTGGCCATTGGCGACCGTGAAGATCAGCAACTACTCCGAGGTCTGCCTCACGATCATGTCGTCCAACTGCTCACGGCCTCGACCCCCATCATGTTGCGTGTGGCGGAGATCAAACCGGCGCCCAGCGAGCGCAGCGTGCTGATGGCGTTTGACGAGGATGGCAACCATGACCTCAGTCTGAACGTCAGTCAGGCCCATTACCCTTCTGTGCGTTCCGTTGGGCCCATGGCCGCTGCTGGTGGCGTTCAAGAGGGCGATATTATTCTTCGTGTTAACAGCATTACCACCGAAGGCATGTTGGAAGATGAGTTTGACAGTATTGCCAACAAGAGCAACAAGCGGCTGAAACTCTTGGTCACTGCCGCAGCCTCAGCCCCGCCTTCGGTCCTGGCCCCGGCTTCACAAGAAGCCGCCTCTGCTGAAGCTGCCCCTGCTGAGGCTGCCCCTGCTGAGGCTGCCCCTGCTATTGTCGAGGAGCCCGCGACAGGTCCTGCTTCAGACAAGGCGGCCAACGGGCAACCCCAACCAGAAGGCACAGTTCGAGGAGACAGTAAGGCTCAGGCTGAAACTGAAGGTGACGCCGATACTGCCTTTGTGGGTTTCTTTGACATTCGTCGCGTGCCTCTCAACACGTCTGAAGGCCGCTTGGGCATCAAAATCACGACCATGGAGGAGACTGGTTTGACACAAATCTCAGATGTCTTGCCCGAAGGCGTGGTCGCTGCCACACATCAAGTTCGCCCCGGTGATTTTATCTTGAAAGTACGTATTTTCATCCTACACTTGTTGTGACCAATTTGAATGCTTGCTTGCCAGTCTGCCTGCCAGTCTGCCTGCCTGCCTGCCTGCCTGTCTGCCTGCCTGCCTGTCTGCCTGCCTGTCTGCCTGCGAGTCCGTCACGCCGTATGCTGACCTTGTTCCCTCGTCTGCTGTGCCAAAGGTTGATGCACACACAGTGCGCAACTTGAACCATGATCAGGTCTTGCAGCACCTCACGGCGTCGCCAGAGTTCACCTTGACCGTGGGTCGACGCTCGACCGAAGAAGCTGATGTTGATGCAGAGATTGCCGAGGCACCGGCTGGCAGCCAGGATGTGCATATCAAAGCCCATATTGACCGCAGTCAGGGCAATGGCACGCTCGGCATCAAAATCACGACCGAAGACGACACCGAAACGGTCATCGTCGAAGTTCTACCGGGAGGTGCTGTGGCAGAGGAAGGTCAGCTCCAGGCTGGGGACCGCCTCATTGCCATCAATGGTACCAATGTTCAAGGCGCCGATCACGACACCGTTCTCAAGCATCTCTCAAGCGCCAGTGAGCTGGATTTGGAAGTTGTGCGCTCGGCCGGTGGTCCCATCACCGATGCCCTGGCAGTTGCCGCCGCCTCTCTGGGCTCACAGTTTTTGGGCCGTGATCTTCAAACCATCCATCTGACCCGCCCCCACGGCAGCAGTTGGGGTCTGAGCATCATCGCTCTGGGTGAGAATCTGGGCGTTCTGCTGACAGGCAAGGCAGACGACTCGCCCGCCAGCCGATGCAACGACCTGCAACCGTTTTCCACAATTGTCAAGGTGTGTTGTTTTCATTGCGTTTTGGTCTTACTTGCTTCCCCCCTTCATTTCTCTGCGGCCCGGCCTTTTGTTGTTTGTTGTTTCAAAACCTCACGCGCCTTTCCCTGGCTTATGAGTAGATTAACAACGAGAACGTGCTCTCCGCATCACACAGCGAAGTGGTGCAGTTGATTTCGTCGACGGATGACGTGACGCTTGAGGTCTTGCCCCCTGATGGCACCTCGATAGCTTTGCTCGACGCTCGTGAAGGCCCCCTTGGCATCAAGATTGTCTCCAATGAGGACGACAACTGCGTTCGCGTGTCTGAACTCATCGAGGGTGGACAAGCAGATGAAGCTGAGAGCATTAACGTCGGTGATATCATCGTCTCTGTGAATCATGTCGACCTGCGCGGTAAATCCCACCTGGAAGTTGTCGGGGCCCTTCGTGCCTGTCGCGCGCAGATTGTCATCCAGCTGCAACATGATGACTCCCCTCTCCCAGTCCCCGAGTCGGAATCATAAGCCTTCGCCCTGCCTCTCTTTTGCGTTCGCGTGCGCTACGCACGAACCAAAAAAAAAGTGCTGATTCCTCCTCAAGGCTTTGTCTGATGTCGCAGCCGATCAGCCTGCTTCTCTCGCTTGTGGTTGTTCTTTTGAAGCGTGGCATTTGCACAATTGAACCTGGTGTTTTATGCTTCGAACCTGACTGGGTTTGCCTCTGCAGACGTCAGGCCTCTTACTTATGTGTGGGAAAGACAGAAAAAAAAACACATCGCCAGCTCTTTGGAGGAGAAGTATGGCCTTTGTTACGCTTTGATTAATTTGATCTTACAAGCATTCAGATCGGACTGGGTGCTTCATGAGAAACACGATCGCGGACTGGGTGCTTTTATGAGAGGAAGCGTTGACGTTTGTTGGCGGACTACGTGCTTTTCCCCATCATAATGACTCTCAGTTTTTGTTTTTGTTTTTTGAAAGGTTTTGGGGGTTTGCTCACTGGTCTGGTTGTTCGAATCAAGCCTTGAAGGCAAGCAGAAGAACCAGGCAGTATGCCTGCGTCAGAAAATCCGGGTCCGCCCACGCGCCCGTCGGCATCTGGTGCCCCCGCCGATGCAGTCAACGCGTCCGATGCGCCCTCGCTTTTGAGCGAAGTTGTAGGCCCTCTTGTACGATCATACAAGAAAAGCAAGAAAGATGCTTTTCAACCGGCTATTGTGGCACAGCAACTGGCCGAGGGTGCCAATCGTCTGGCGATTCTACAAGCGCAAGGCGCATGGCAGGATCTGACCGATGCTCTTGAAAAGTGGGACGAGAAGCGAACTTCCAACCTGGCTCGGGTAGTAGCCCATTTTTTGAAATCATGGTAAGCCCTCACGCAAGCGCCGTGTTCGAACCGTGTATCAGTTGTAATTGTCCCTACCTGTGAACTAACAGATCTGCGTGGTTGGATGGCTTCTTTCAACAGCCCTCTGGTAGCATTGCAGGCTTTGGAATTTGTCGCAGAGCTTGTCGAAAGTGCTTGGCACGCCAAGCATGAGCTGTGGTTGTATCTCTTTCTATCCCAGCTTAGCTGGCAAAACATTGAGACCGCCAACAACAGCTTGCCAGCCTCCCGGCGCGCTCCTGATTTGGCGGCCCGTATCCTCCATGTGATTTGGAATCTGGATGAGAGGCGCCTGGAAACCAAAGAAGATCAAATCGTTTCGCAGGTCGACAAGGTGAGGTCTTGCGCCTTCTCGCTCGATCATAACTTTATCCTTGTCGGTTCTAATTACACGTGCAACTTAGGCCAATTTGTCCATTATGCGACTAATCAGCCGTGCCAGCCTGCTCCGAGGCGTCAATTTGGTCACTACTCCCCTGTCCCAAGCGTCGTCTGCAGCCGACCTGTCCATGGTGAGTTTTGTGTTAGGCTTGCAGTTACCATGCATGCACCGGCACTTGTTCACGCTCCGGTTTGCATCGATGATGTCGTTCCCACAGGATGATTCGATGCGTATCACTTGGTCACCCTTGGCTTTGTACGAAGATATTCCATCCAAGCTTCACGCACCCATTCTACATCGCCTCACTAATAAATTTGCCGTCTATCAGCCCAAAACAAGTAAGCCACAATTTCAAGGCAGCTATACAAAGTGATGTTTGGAAAGTCAGTCAAGGGCTTGGAAAGAGTAGGGGAGAGGACCAACATGAGACGGGCAGGCGACCTACCTCTCATCCCGAGTGTGCATTTGCAGCCCTAGATTTGATGGGCAAGTTGTTGGACCTTTTACAGTCTGCGCCGGGCCATTGGCCCACGCTATGCCGTGCCCTTGCAGAAGCACTTGAGCAGCTCGAAGAACAAGTTGCAGAGAGCAGTAGCGCCACTGAGGTGTATGGCGGCACGGCCACCACCATTGAATTGGTCTTGGAGCGTTTCCCAGAAGCAGCTCAACCAGTCGCTGACCTCCTCGCAAGTGGCGCCCGCTCGGGGCCAAGCTTGCAGAGCTTTTTTTCGCGTCATCTACACGAACGCAAGCTGCTTCATGCGTGTCTCCAAACGGCTGTTGGCAGTGAGATTGCTGCCATCTTGTTTCAAAAAGGCTGGAATGATCGACAACGCTGGATGTCCTTTGACGTGGCCCTGCAAGGTGTGCACGAAGGCAAGGTGGAACCTCGAGCTGCCTCAAACTTTGTCGCTGTGTTTGTCTCGCCACTTGAGCGCCGCCTGCACAAGCTGGCGCAGGAAGAGCGCCGGCTGGAAACCGGCACGGAGACCAACCACGATGTGCTCACCGAGCTGGACAACCTTGAGGAGGAGGACATTGACGGGGACGTCCATCACAAGCACGAAGCGCCTTCTGCTCTGAAACTGCATGAGCTTGAACCACTTGATGCTCTTGAGCTTGGGTGGGTAAAAGATAGATGGATGCATCAAAACCCGCCAGTGCTGTGCGACCATTGGCTTGCTCTCTTCGCGATTTGCTGCGACGATGAGACGAGATATCTGCCAACCTACCTGTGTCAGCTGTTTCAGGATGATGCAGAGCTTGGCCCCTTGATCCTTACTTCCATTGCCCATCGCTTATCAAAATTGGATCTCCGGGTTGTACATCGCCTGCTGATTGGAGTCAACGAGTCGGCTTCGATTCAGTATCGCGAAGAAATGTCTCGACTTGCTCGCCTCGTGCTAGCACATCTCGCGCGCCCCGACGCACATGCAGACTTTGCAGCAACGGACTTGGCGGTAACAGCCGCAAACTACCTTTACCAAACACACAATGCGCTGAACCTGAAGCCCGAAGCGCTTCTTGCGTTGCAGTCCTGCATCAATTCCGTGCTTCAACAGCGTGAGGAGCTGTCTTATGTTCACTTGGGCATCCTTTTGCTTGCAGAGCGCGTCGAGCAACTAGACGCTACGGAAGCAGCCTTGCTTAAAGCCGCGATTAAGATGTCGACTTGGTCTGGCTCGGACGACATACCCGTACACAAAGCTTTTTTGACAGCCATTGAACGGTTGGGGGTGCACGGCCCCACGAGGGGCATAGCGGATGCTATACAAGCCCTCATCGCACAGCTTCTACACGTTGAAGGTGTCAATACTAACCATCTGCTGTGGCAAGCAATGGAAGTCCTGTGCAAGGCAAACGCTGCTGACATCTACAATGCGCTCAATGCTGACCCGCATTTTCTTCTCCTCCTGTCGCGCCTTGCCTTTGAGGACTGGGCTGGTGTTCGCTCGTCCACTGTCTGCTCTCTTTTCAGTCATCATCTGACCCGCAAGCCCGCTGCAGGACAATCCCCTCCACAAGGTTCTCCTGCCAATTTGGTCAAGAGCATCGCAAACGTGCAATTCGATGATCGGGCTCTCTTGACCCACGCCGGCTGCTTGACCTTTGAGGATGTCGTCAAACCCCTGCAGGGCTTAGGCTGGAACGAAGAGGAGTATGCTTCCTACTGCCGTCGCGCAGGAGTGCAGCTAGAGCCTTTGGAGCGCAGCGAGCTCACTTTGGAACACCTTCGACAGATCGTCTTTGGACTGGCGCACTTTCGACGAGTGCTGCTCGAGGGCGAAACCGGTACAGGCAAAACCCACAAGACACTGCACTGCGCGCACATTGGGCGGCAGGTGATTTTGCGCTTTAATGGATCGCGCAACACGACCGTGGAGGATTTGATGGGACGAATCACGATGAACGATGAAGGAAGCTTCGTGTTTGCTCCAGGCCCAGCGCTCTTGGCCTTTGCGCATGGCTATTGGTTTTATTTTGACGAGGTCAATCTCGTGCCCGAATCAGTTGTCGAAGTGCTGGAGCGCTTGTATGGGAAAGATGTCAACATCGCTACATATACCAAGCATTTTCCTATCGAGCATGCTCCGTCACTCACAACGGGCGCTGCTTTTCCCGTTGACACGGATGGTTGCCTTGAAATGACCAGTCGGCATGCCAAATTCCGCATCATATGCGCTCAAAACCCGGCTGGTGAGCGGTACGCTCGTGAGACGCACAGCCAAAGTCTGCGCAGTCACTTTCATGCGATTGAAATCAATTGGGGTGGAACCGAGGCGCAGCGCAAGTCTGAATTTCGTGCCCTCATTCAACCGACTGTTCAGGCAACGGAGCATCTTGACCTAAACGAGAAACAACAATTCGTCGAAGAGCTTGTTGACTATCATTTCTTTGTGACCAACAGCCGTGACGATCTGCAGCAGCTTGAACTAAAGCATGGGCTTGTGTCTGAGCACCCACACTACATGGAATTCACTGTCCGTGAGTTGAAGCGAGCTGCCGTAGCCTTTCGGGACCTCATTCAGGTAAAAGGCTGGAACGATGGCAGCCGCACCATCTTGCTAGCCGTGGTCAAGACACTGTACGGGGCTCGTCTACAGTCCACCCAGGCTCAAGATCATATTGCCCCAGAACCGTTCTTTGCCCTGTTGACCAACAGCCATAATGCCCAAGAACCTATGCCGGAGCAGCAAGAGAAGTGTGACATTAGCCTCCACGCTGATACGGTCTTGATCGGTGGTATCCCCTTGCCCAGACAGCATCAAACATCAGATCACCTCAGGGATGCGGCCCAATGTGAGCAGGAGCAAGAGCAAGCTGTGCGCTTGGCAAATGCCGCATATCATGTCGTGGCCACTGAATTGCTTCGACCAGAGGTGTGGCAAACCTTTGGCCTTTACGACATTGGCAACTCAAGCGCCAAGCAGGATTTGATCTTGGCAGTCAAGCGACAGTTGGCGAACAAGGCCACCCTAACCTGTGCACTAGCCCATGCGCTGGAGACATCCATTCTGCTCAAGATTCGTCACGGCGCTTTGCGTAACCAGCTCTTTGAGCTCGTGGCAGCGGCCATGAACGACCAGGGTGACTTGCAGCTAATTCGGTGCCCTGGCCTTCAACCTCTTGAGCGCCTCTCCATCCAGGCCCTTGCTCCAATCACTGTCGAGGATATCTACCCAACCTTGCGCACCATGGCAGTTGCCATTTATCTTGATGTGCCCATCCTGCTTTGTGGAAGTGCGGCCGGGAAGCTGACTGCTGTTCGTGCCATGTCTGCGCTTCTTGGTCGCGACTGGACGCAACTGTATCTCACCGCCCAAACGACTGTTGAGGACCTGGTCGGCTTGGCCGTGCCGTCTGGAGACGGACAGGAGATGATTTGGCATCGAGGTCACCTGGTACGAACCCTGGTCCATGGTGGCAATCTAGTCCTCAACAACCTGCTACAAGTGCCAACCACTGTCCTTGAGCGTATGAACCCCGTCTTTGAAGGAAAGGCGAAATCTTTTGTGGAAACCGAACGCGGCTCGACCAGCCCAATTGCATCTCAAGACATGAGCATTCATGCAAGTTTTATCGCCATCGTGGAGCGACGTACTCAAGCATTGACACCGTCGTTTGGCAACCGGTTTTGCCAAATTTGCGTCAGAGACAGCCCCTGCTCGGATCGCATTTTAAGGTTGAGCATGGGTCATGCGCTACATCGCTCCGTTCCAAGTGACCCTGACGTGGTCCAGGCATGCCAAGAGCTCCAAAAGATGCAGTCAAAACTCGGTCTAACTCTTCACCAAACGGTCTTGATTGCGGGAGGGGCCTTGCGCCTGAGCCAGCTGAGCTTGGAAGGTGTTTGTCCCTGGTTGCCCTCATCCGCACTCGAATGCGTCCAGGTTTTGGAGTTCTTGCTTGATCCTGGCCGCATCTCTGAAGACTCGCCCGTTGATGTATTGAAGCCTGTGAGCGCCTGGATGGACACATCTCTTGAGCCCAGCTTTTTTGTGGACGAACGAGAAACACCCATTGTCTATAACAATGCCAATCGTGTTCTTTTGGCCTTTCTGGCTGCACTGCCAAGTATTTTCGAAGGAGATCAAGCCGTCGGCAAGACTGCGACCGTCACTGCACTTATGAGCCGGCTTTACGGAAGCCAAGAGCTACCGCTCCGTCAAACGAACAGCGGCAACACTCATGCCGCAGACTACATGGGTGCATGGGACATTCAAGCTGGCACGCGCTTCTTTTACCGCCCTGGCCCGCTTCTCTCAGCCCTTGCCGAAGGACGCTGCTTCAACAACGACGAGATAAATCTTGCAGACGGGGCAACGCTCTGTCAAATCCTTGTCCCACTTCTGGATGGTGCAAGTGTGGCTCTGTCAGATGGGACCAAGGTCTCAGCCAAACCTGGTTTTGCCTTTTTTGGATGTCAGAACCCCACCTCATTCGAAGGTCGCAAAAAAATTCCATCAAAGTTGGCCGCGCGGCTCTTTACAATTGGCTTTGCGTCCCTGTCTGAGAGCGAGCTGACTGCCATTGCACGCAGCTACAACCGTGATGCCAGTGAGCAGCTGCTCGAAGCGCTTGCCCGGCTGCAGATTATGCTGCGCGAACACCCACAGCTCAGGGGCGACCCGGCGTTCACCGTGCGCGACCAGATTCGACTGCTAAAGCGCAGTGAAATGACGGCAAGCCGCCGCGCAGAGGCATCACACGTCATCCTTGCCACACACACCGCAGCCCTCTTGGCTGCTCGTTCGCGTACCCCCGACAGCGTTTTTCCAGTGGTTGAAGAGGCATTTAGACTCAAGATTGCCAACGAGGTCGTCAGCCTCAAGCCCTATTGGAACGATCTTCAAATGGGAACCCAAACGTGTCACTTTGCATACGAAGGAGCCGAGTTATGCTTGCCTGGCTCGGTCTTGCGCCTACCCATTGAAATGGCCAGCGTGCATCGTGAAAGACCGATTCACAGTGACTACTTTCAGTTGCTTGCTAGCGTGCAAAGTCGAGAAAACCCTTTGCTGTTTGGCCCCACCAGCAACAAGTCGCTTCTCATCGAGCAGTTAGCATCAGACCTGGGCTTGCCGCTGCAGGTGCTCGTGATTTGCAAGGGCACCACGACCGAGGACCTGTTGGGCCGTACCCTTCCAAGTGGATGTGCGGACATGCTTGAGGCCGTCATGTGTGACTTGATTGACACTGGACTCTTTGACTCGGACGATGAAAGGCGCTGGCATCGCCTCAAAGAACTGCTTGACTCCTCAAACCTTTTAGAGGAAGAATTACCCGAGCAGCTGATCAAAGAACTATCTTCATTGAGCATGGCGGCCTCGAATTTGTCAAACGACGCCACCGCACGACGCTCTAGTGCTTCTTCGGCACCATCCTTTGATGGCGAGGCCGAACTTGATGACCTCTCTGAGTCTAACCCGGATTCTGATTCTGATTGGGAATCAAGTTCAGAGTCCAACTCAGAGCCGGGCTTAGATCACTCGCCATCTGAGCCCGACTCTGAAGCAAGCGAGGCTCTTGAGTCCGGTGGTGAGTTAGATGCCACATCCCATCTCTGGGAGGCAGCTTCGGACTCTGCAGGAAGCTTATCATCTGACGACCAACAAACACGCCAAACGCTGTGCATATTGCGCTATCGCGTTTTTGCCAGCCTGTGTACAGAGCTTGATCAGGCCCTCGTCGCATGGCAAGATCAGCCAGTCAGAACTAGGCAACAAAAACTTCTACAATGTGCTCAGCAAGGACTCGCTGCCATCAAGGAGCAAAACATTAGCGCTGCAAGCTTGGACAGCCCTCGGTTCAGGTTTGTGGACGGCCCTGTCATCCACACTCTGCGGCGGGGTGGGGTCCTGCACCTTAAATACATTGATGAGGGTGACTCGGCAGTCATCGAGGGACTCAACTCTCTCTTTTCCCGTGAGCGTGTACTTGAAACCCCTGCTTACGGCCCGTTGAGCATGGACTCGGATGCTTGCATCGTGTGCACGGTCAACACCACTCGCCACATTGCAGACACAACGATCAGTCCTGCCCTTCTTTCACGTCTGTCCCCGATTCGAATTGCGTCACAAACCAGTCACTCGTTGGCTCCGTCGCTGACTCAGCTTGTCATGATGGGGGCCGGTTTGGAAAAGGCTGAAGCAGAGAACATCGTTGATGTTGTTTTTGCCGAACTACATCGGGGCGGAGAGACTGGGCACATTGATAGCCGGCAGGCCCGACGCTTGGTGAGCACATTCCTGGCGTTGCATCATGCCAACAACGGCGGTTGGTCAGCTGCAACGGTGACCAAGGAAGCAGTCGCTGCCATCTGTGATCACAAAAGTGATGATTCACCGCATGGCATGTCTAGCACCGCTGCCCAACTTCGTGCACATCTCGGTGAACCGTGTGATATTGACCCCGCCGCGCTCGACGCACATGTGCTGACCGATCAGGTGGCTTTGAGTCCTAGTGTCGATGGCTATCGCGCCGTGTACCAAGTTTGCATACCAGTTGGACCTGATGCGACTTCTCCGCCGCGCCTACCTCATACCCCGGCAGGTAATGAGCAGACGTATCGCTTGGCTCGGCTGCTTGCTAGCGGCCAAGCACCCTTGCTACTGGGACCCTCGGGTGCCGGTAAGCAAGCTCTCATGCGCGATTTGGCCGGGTTTCTGGGCTATTCTTTTGAGGTGCTAACAATCACACCAGGCACTGCTCCAGACGAACTCTTCGAGTCGTATGAGCAGTCAAACCGTGGGGGCTTTGTCAAACGCCTGGGCCCAGTGCTCTCTTGCCCCAAGCAACGCCATTTTTTGATGCTGAGAAATGTGCATTTGGCTAGCGCCGATGTTGTGGCACGCCTCGTCCACCATGTGGAAAATCTTCCACCAGCTGAGCGCCTGTTGATCTCAGCGAGTGCCTCAAATGTGCGACAAGTACCCAAGGCATTGTTCAAGGCATTTGTGCCGATTGATATTGCACCTGCACTTGACCATTGCACAAGCACAGAAGAAATCGAGCATTTGCTCAATGCACTAACAAATTACAGCAGTGATACCCGTGCTTCGATGGCCCGCAGCTTGCAGGCAATCTTTGCTTTGGCCACTCCCGATGCCGTTAAAGGCCGACGCATGCCCGCCTTCTCTTTTCGTCATGTTCATCAGCTTTTGAGTCTGTTGTCATCGTTGACGCTGAACACTGCTTTTGGAACAGGCGCGCTCAATGAGGGCACCCCGATCGTGTCCCGCGAGCACTTGCGCATGGCTCTCGAAATGGTGTTTGCCAGTGGAGGGCTGGGCACCGCCCTCGTTGCGCCTGTTATTGCTCAGCATTTTCCGGACATAACAACGGAACAACGTCGCCAAGCTTTAAGCGAAATTGGCATTCGACCCGATCCAGACAGCCGGTGTTTGCGTCTGGGGTCAATTTTCTTGCCCAAGGGGCACGGGACAGATAACGTCCCCTCCATGCCTCGTGGCTTGAGCATGACGGCGGATGATGCCATGATTTTGCAAGATTTGGCTTTGGCCGTACAAAGTCAAATTGGTGTCATCTTGAGTGGTGGCGCTGCTGCTGGGAAGGTTCTGATGGTCAAGGCACTGGCACACATGGCTCAGCGCCCCCTCATCGTTGACACCCTGACAAGCGCTACCGAGGCTCAGGATTTATTTGGTCAGCTGCACGCAATTCCCGGTCACCTCCGGCTGGCCCAGCTCATCCAACGCTTCCGACAAAGGCTACAACAATCTTTCGTCGGGCTCTTGAATGAACATGAGCGATTTTCTAACGACGTTGGAATTCTGCAGGAGGCCTTGCGGTCAGTTCAGCGTCTAGAAAGCCTGTCGAAGGCAGTGGCAGACGCCCATGCTCATGCAACCCCTGATCATCAAGCAACCAATTCAACTAAAGCACAGGATGCTATGCCAGAACAAGGCCGCTTGCAAGTTGAGCTCGATGTGTTGGGCCAACAGCTGCTGGCCTTGGAGCACTCGGCCCGTGCCGACCATTTGATGAGCATCGTTGGTGAGATGGAGTCAGCTGTTGCAAACCACACAGAGCTGGTGTTCGTCAAAGTGGAGACCCCACTGGTGCGTGCTGCACGAAATGGCTGGTGGGTTGTATTGAAAAACGCAAACTTTTGTCCCGCTGATGTGCTCGCCCAGTTTGCCTGCTTGTTGGAAGAGCCCCGAACCCTGCCCAACACGGTCGCTGGTAACTTGCGTGACGTTCATCCAAATTTTCGGCTGTTTTTCACCATCGACCCGACGCGCACACACGGGCAACCCGTAAGCCAGGAGATTCGGCAACACTGCATCGAAGTGGTTTGTCCCGGTTTCACTTGGCAAACGACCGCCTCAACTTCACGCATGCCTCCTGCCAACCATGAGGATGGAGCCCGCCTCAGCCTGGCTGTTCAAACGAATATGGTGGCCGCCGGCCTTGACTCACCTCCTGTGGCAGCATTCTTGGTCTGCCTCCATCGAGAGTGCTGCATGAATCAAGCTTCGCAAGAGACAGGGTTGAGCATCAGGACACTTTTCGAGCTAGCCCACTCGATAGCTACCCGTGCAAAAAAGCTTCAAGACGGCTGCGACACTGCAGCGATTGTCATCACACACGTTCGAGAGGCTTATCCAATTCCCGCGGGGGAAGATGCAGCCTTTCAGTTTCTCAAACGAGTTGCGCGAAAAGCAAAGGCAGCAAAGCCTGCTAAAAGTGCTCTGCATGCTTTTGTGCGCAATGATGAAGGCAGAGCAAAGGTCTGGGATGCCATGTTTGCTGCTGTCTTGAGCTTCTGCGAAGCAAAGTTTTCGCAGACCATGTGGCAAAAGTATGCAGGCAAAGCACACGAGGTTTATTTGCCACCACCAACAAGCATAGGTCAGGATGCAACCACAGCACGGCAATTCATAGCTAATGCTCTGCGTGGATGGCTCGGTGAGACCAATCTACAGAAAGTCCCTGAGATGAGTGAGCTTTTACATAGCAAGGTTGTGCCGGCCCTTGAGCAATTGCGCGCATATGTACGGATGACCAAAAGTATGCAGCATCGTGAGCTCCTTGAGTCACTCGTCACTTGCATGTGGAACGTGGCACACTGCATTCAATTCAGCACCCACGAACTCTCGGACGTGCGAGACCAGCTCAAAGCGCGACACTCGGAGCTTGAACACTTGCACGACCACGCCCTCAACTCGTCAGCGCAAGTGTCTGCCGCTATTGTCAATGCCATGCTGGACACGGTGTTGTGTATGCCTTTTTCGCAGCATGAAAGCGATGTAACGGTGCTTGATGCCCTTGCCCAGATGCAGACTTTTGCTCCCTATGTAGAGCAGCTACAAAGAGCTATCAGCAAGGTCAACTTGTATGTTTCATTTGGCATCCAATGCGCCAACGTTGGCTTGAAGATCCCTACTTTTGAAGAAGATGCTTTGGTGGACCAGGGTCAGGCATTGATCAAGCATCTTATTTTTGCAACTCGGGTGCTCAAAGGCCACAGAGTGCTTGCTTTGACTCTGTCGGAATCAGGCATTCAAGAGCGCTGCCAGGAGCTTCGGGAAGAAGAGCGACTGAGCCGCGAATGCAACGAGGATCTGATTCAACTGGAAGGCAGTCTCCAACAGCTATTGAGCAAAATTGGGCATTGCGAGATTCGAGCACACCTTGAAGCAGTAGCCCGTCAGCAACCCAGCTGCCTGCCACTTCACTTTGTCATGGACCAATCTGAGATGTCAGTCATCCAAGAGCAGTTGGCCTCCTTTGATCAGCTGCAAGCCGATTTGGTGCGCGTCACAGGCAACGCTGAAGAAGCGAAGCGTAGACGCGATGATGCCCTGCAAGCTGCACATACAGCTTTGGATCGAACTTTGCAGTGCTATCAAGACGTTGTTGATGAAGTCTCGCAGTGGGACGACACAAGCAGCACCAATGTCACAGAGTGCCTCCAACCCGGCTTTGCACGTGTTTACCACATGCTTGGCCTTTTGCAAGAAGCCATCCTCGGGGTTGAGCGGGCTATCCAAGAGTTGCGTCAGGATGCTCAAGATTCGGACAAGTTCTTGGCCTTTATCCAAGCTCGCAAACGTCATGAGCAAGCCGCCCAAGCCCTGGGTTTACCAAGTACAAGCAGTGTTGCAGTTCTTGAAGAACTTTTGGATGCGGTGCACAGGGAGGCAATTTGCCGATCTGAGTCCTTGTGCCTTCGGGCTAGTTTGGGTTACTGTCCGACGGACGCAGGCATTGGTGAAAAGGCCCTTTTGCAAGAGTGCATCCAACATGTTTGCCTCAGGGACATGCAAGTGGAGTATAGCCTCTTCATTTACGAACTGATCAAACGACCCGTGCCCAGTCTACGAGCAACCAAAGGCATTGAAAATCTATGTGAGTTGCTTGCTGGCGTACCAGAAAATGCGCAACAGATCCAAGACCAGATGAGGGCCTTGGTACAGGTGGACCCTGGTTTTGAGTCCGATATGTTGCATTTGGAGCAGTTGCTGAAACCGCGCCAACAGGAAGACTCGGCAAGCACTGAGGCACACAAAGTCTTTGACAGCGTTGTTGAAGACCTCCAAAAAATGCTGCGCAAAGCACCAAGGGAATCTCCCCTCGCAAAGTTCCTCGAGCACGCGTTGAAAAACTTGAAAGAAGCAAAGAGCACTGACTTGTCCCCTGACATACTGTTGCAGATACAACAAAACGCTCAAGAGTACTCAGCTATTGCGCTTCCCGATTACGAGTTGCCAGCTACAAGCAAAGAATCGATTGAAGCCGCCAGGGACTACTTGTTGTCTTCCTTCTCGCCAACCACATTTGAAGATTATGAAGCCGCTTGTTTCAAGGCCCACAAGGCAGCCCCAGCACCAGACTCGCCTTTGGCAGATTGGGCGGCTTGGCTTGAGCAACGAATTGCGTTCTTTCAAGCACGAACTGCAATGCAAAGCTGCTTTGAAAGGCTTCTGCAGCGCATTCAAACAGCCCCAGCCAACATCGTGATCGGCTGCTTGCATGTGGTGCATGAGATACGCAGCTGCATGGCAAAGCCGCGCCGAGATGTAGCGCCTGCACTGTATGAGCTGGACGCCGCAACCAAAGCAACATTACTCGGGGCTTTACCATTCAGGTCGGCCCCGGATACTTCTGAAGATGCAAATGCAGATGCCTGTACCACGATTTCATCACTGCTGATTGAGCTTGCAAGTTCGGAACAAGTGTTTGATGAGGCGGCCATCCGAGGCCAGCGAGTCAGCGACATCCACAAGGAATTGATCAATTTTTTGGCAGCCGATCAGAATTCTGAAGCAACGCAAAGTGCGCTACAGGAGTTTGTCTCGCGACATGAACAGCTTTTATCATCTCCGTTCAAGCTTTCGTTCCGTGTCTATCAAGCTGTGCAAACTTGGACATCCTTGCCTTTGCCAGAAATGAGCTGGGGTGCGCAAGAGTCCGACGCCATTTCGACTGACAACGAAACTGCCTGTGAGTTGAGACGCGTCATGCGTCTGGGAGGTGGAGTTCAAGCTTTGGTAGCCAAGCTGTCCTCAATCTCCTCCAGAACCGGGCGTGGGTCTTCCATGGCAAAGCGCATTCTGCGGGCATTGCATTTGCAAGACCACTCGATGCACGCCGCTTTTGAGCTCCCAAAGTTCTATGATCACACCGCCGTTTTTGATGCGTGTGATCTCCTGTTGAAGCTGCAGGTGGCAAGCTTGTGGCCAACTCAGACGGCGCACTCCACTGAGCCTGTGACGAGCTTCTTGTGGGCCTTCCTGACCCCATCCCACGTTGAAAGCTTGGCGCCTGTTGCAGAGCCTAGCCCTCACCACGCTGCGCTGAAGGAATGGTCCCCCGTTGAAAAACATTGGTGCCCATCAGCATCTTTGGGAGATTCGGACGAGGCGGCTGAGTGGGGCACGCGCGTGTTCCTGCTGCTCAAGTTGTGGCCCGCATATTTTTCAGCATGTGCGGCGAGCGGCACGTCTTCAGAGTTGGAGCAAGAGGCTCGTCTACTCATGTTGGAACAGTTGCCTGGGCTTGTTCTTAAATACCTGCAGCACATTGTCACCGAGACAGCACACTTGTTTTCCTCTGATTTGTTGACCGCCTATGGTTCGCTCGATTTGACCAGCTGTACCCTCGATAGTCCAATCTTGCACCAGCCACTCAGCGCTGTGCAGCTACTCAACAGCGTCAACGTGCAGCTCCAGAGAGAAAAAAGCACTCTGGGCGAAAAGCTACAAAATGCTCTGCAAGAGGTGAAAGACTTGATGCGTCATACCGGCACCCACATTCGCGGGGGTCGAGCCGAGAAAGCGCGCGAGGAGCTTCAACAGCAGGTGCGGGGCGTAGTGCTCGACGGCTGGGAGTACTCATACGCAAAGAATGAGGCCTTTGCGTGGCTGAAGAAGGAAGAAGCCAATTTTGATGGAGATGTGCCTCGCGAGGTGTACATGTACCGTGTTGTGTTTCATGTGAAACCTTCAAGTGCTGCTTCTGTGCGAGAATCGGTAAATGTCCAGGGTATTGGCTATTCTCCTGTTCATTTTATCATTGGCGACGAACGCGGATGCCATTTCAATCTGTTGGAGTATCGCGGTCCTTTAATCAGCATTACACTGCGACATCAGGAGGATCAGAACATCCCATGGTGGTATTGCAACCGCCTATACATCACGTCAAGCCGAGTTGCATGGGGGCCAGTTGCCCGAAATGACAGCTGGTATTACCTCAAGCGCAAAGTTGAGCAATGCCCTCGGCCCATCGCTTTGGACAAGCAACTGGACGAGCTTGTCAAGCAGTTTACCAGCCTGGAAGACACCAGCCTCGCCGCTAGCAAATGGGGAGAGAATCTCAAGCAATGCCTGTCCAGCACTCACAACAAGCAACTGCAGGGCGTATATGCACAGCTCGAAGCTGATCGGTTCATACGTCAGGCTCAGCTTAAGGCTGAACTCCGAAAGCCCGTTGAACTGGAGGCCAACGCCAGCGCCAAACGATTGCGCACTCACGCCAGCATTGTGACCGAGTGGTCGCAAAAGGCATCCGAATGCTTAGCCGCGCCCAATTTGGCACGTGCTTGTCTAGAGCAGAGGCGAATGCAGAGCGGGCAAGGTGCTGAGCTGGTTTTTGACTGTGAGAATGAGCTCCCGACGGCACAGCTCGTCTTTGTCCCCGAGCTTTGGAAGGTGAGCACAGTCCAGCAACTGAGCGTGCGCTTGATCAACAATACGGGCTCTCGCCTGCGCTTTCGGCTTGTGGGATCTCTGAAGAACTTTTCACACGACTTTGCCGTGCAAGTTGGCTCCATCGACGACGGTGCTGAAGAGGTCCTAAACGTAACTTTTACGCCGCAGCATGCAAACCTTTGCGATGAAGTCCTGCAACTCGATTGGACGCTTGACGGCGGTGCGTTTGCTGAGGCATCTGCAGAGGTCAATTCTCTTGAAGAAGATAGCGATGATGATTTGTTGGCCGAGGCGCCAGCTGTCGCCTTCCGCAAAGGTTGTGCAACTGTTCGGCTCTTGGGAGCAGCAGTCTTGCCAGCTCTGAAAGTAAGCACGCAAGCGCTAGAACTGCCAGTGGTGCGCTGTGATGCAGAAGAGTGCGCCCCTGAGCCCGGGTTTATTGAAATTTCAAGCCAATGCCAACTCCCCCTGCAAATTGCAGCGGTGCTCAAGTGTGAAGCGGAGGAGGGTCTATTTGCTTTCGGGGAAGAACGCACTGCTGTTTCGACCGCTCCTCAGCGGCTGATCATGGCACCTTCCGAAAAAGTCCGTCTTGTCATTACTCCCCAAATCTCAAAGGCCTGGCAAGAGCGTGGTGGCACCATGCATGGCGAACTTCACCTCTACCTTGACCCATCCCAAAAGCAACATTTTGTTGTTGTTCCCCTGTCTTGTCGGATTCTGCGTCCCAGACTGCGTCTCGAGCTTAGAAGCCCAACGGGCACGGTGATTGAGATTGCAACAGATGCCACCACTGATGTCGAGTGTGCTCCCTTTCGACCGTGGGCACCGCAATCGTGGCAGCTGATGGTGCACAACGACGGTGATCTACCTCTGCGCGTCCACCAGCTTGAGTTGAGCGAGCGGCCTGGCCAGCTTCGGCTCCAAGCCCCTGTTAAAAGAAATGTGAGCATTCTACCAGGTACACACAAACTCACCGACTTGAAGTTGGAGGTGGATGGGTGGCGTCACTTTGTTTTTCCCATCGACCAATCTGTCAACGTGTGGACCAACGATCCCTCGACACCTCGGGTCGACTGGCGAATGAGGTCGAAATTTGAGGGCACCGAGCTTACATTGCTCTCACCACGCGAGAACGTGTGCAAACTTGAAGTGAATGATGCCCTGAAAGGTTTTGATCTCGAGCTGAACATCAAGAACAAAGGTGCCTGTAGCGCACAGCTTCTTCACGTGTCCACATCGCCTGGTCTCCAGGCTCAACTGCCCACATCCACGCGCACAATCTCCGCAAATCAGATGAGCAAGATTCAACTTCACTGCCGTCTACTTCAAGAACGCGGTGGTGAATTTGACATCAGTGTTGTAACGACCGCGGTCAACAAAGAGCTCAAGCTGAAGTTACGAGTGACTTTGCACCAACCAGAACTGGAAAAGTTACCTGAAATTTGGTCTTTGGGCGCCTTGACTCGCTCGTGCTCTCCGTCTTTGGCTCTACAAAACATCGGTGGCTCCCCACTTGTTGTCAAGATTGACTTGTGTCTCGAAGCTTGTTCAGCAAATGCCAGGCGCGCCCACGCGGAATCCGAAGCAGGCGACCACGCCATCAAGGTCACCAAACTTGGCCTGATCAAGTCAATCAGGCTGACAAACCGGCTTGAAATCCCGCCGCAAGGAAGCCGTCCGCTCACTATAAATTTGAAGCTGCCTGAGAACCAAAAGGAGTGGGAGAAACAACTGGAACGCGCCCTTGACCAGCTTCCGATGAACATGCTGTATCAAATTGTGCTGCGTTTGACCACGAATGAAGTGGTCGCAAATGAGCATGGCGAGTCTGGGCCAGCAATCTATCATCTTGCACTTCAGATGGCCGTCATGCCCCAGCCCAGCGTCCCACGCTCATACACGGCTGCTATTGCAGAAGGCAGTGATAACTTTGAAGACGGCGTCTTGATGGCTCTCAGTGGATGCAATGGCACCGTTTCCAAGGAGGCTTCGCAAGCCTTGACAAACGCCTTTGGCTTTGAACCCCAACGCTGGTCTAAGAGTACAACAAATAACTTGCTCGCTGAACTTACTGAGCACGACTTATCAACTGACCAGGCCATCCTTGCTTCTGCTGACGCTTGGAGTCCTGACAGCGTCGTTCAAGGCTATTTGCTGGCCTTGCAACTGACGGGCGCTGCATCTCCTCACGTCGATCGATGGCGGGAGAGGGATGAAGAGTTATCTCTACCACAGTTGAAGGAGAAAATTCGCGCGCTGGTCCTTGATGACCCGGGTCAGTATCCTTTGACTGCTCTAGCACTCAGTAACACAGATCGGCGCGAATGCTGTCTACGCGCTTTGCAAAACGATGTGCACTGCCCCATTACGTCAATTGCGCAAGTGCAACAAGCTTTGAAGCTGGACGAAAGTCGATGGTACCGCTTCATGGAAAAGTCGACGGAAGCGATCATTGACGACCTTGTTGGCTTCAAATTGAGCCCGATGTGGCCCCGAATCTTGGATGAAGCATTTAGCAAGGAGCTCGAGGCTGACTTGTTGGTCTTGTACTGCAATCGCAAGCTGGGTGTCACACTGACATCGGAAGAGGCCAATATGTTACTGGTTGCAGAGCATGAGAACTCACGAGAGAGCTGGTATGAAGCCATTCTGTGCATTGGTGGTGCAATTGTTGGGCCTGAATCTCACTTCTCGCGGTCTGTTGAGCTCGCTCGACGCGGTCTGAAAGCCTCAGCAGATGACCAGCTAGAGAGCATTTTGCGGGCACTATGGGTTGGGCTGGTCGGCCTTGGTGCTGTGAGCAGCATCCCAGCGTGGCTGGAGGCAGAGTCCTCTGACGTCGTACAAACAGTGTGTGAGTTTTTTAAAGTGGACAAGCCTCAACGCACCCTTCAAGATGTGCTCGTAGCGCTCAAGGACACAAGATTCTTGTCAGGAGAGGAGCGCGACAAACTCAAGGACGTCTTGGAAAATCGAAACTCACCTACAAGTCTAGCCTGGATGCTGTTGCGGCTAATTATGCAGTATTCCAAGCCCAGCACTTCACACGACGAGACGCTGTTGGATGAACTATTTGATGCTGCAGAGGCGCTGTTGGCCATAAACGAGCCGTGTCATCAAGCCCTGGCCATCGTGGTCGCTCAGATTTCGTCTTCACGATTAGATGAGGAGGACGGCAAAGACATCGAGGCAGCACATGTGGAAGAGGAGTCCTTGCTTCAAGCGGCTATGCCACAAAAGGCGGGGCTGAGAGGTTTGATGACCAAGGCCGTGGCAGCCGTGGCAAGCGCGTTCAAAGGCAGCCAACCCGCGAAAAAGGCAAGGAAAGGGAAGAAAAACCAGAAGAAACACAAAAAGAAGAAAATTGCAACTGCAGACCGGGGCATGGCCGCAGCTTTGCACTTTGTCATTGCAGTCCGCGGCCTCGACCACGAAGAGCTCACACAACAGCTGCAGCCGCTGCAAGCCTTCAAAGTGCACAACACAGCAAAAGAGCTTCTCATTTCCTTGCAACTTTTGACCAATGATACCTGGGAGGCTGTGACAAACCTGACTTTATCGACCAATGCTATCGATCAGGCGCACGCCTTGGCCTGCTTTTTGCAAGACAATATTGCCTTGCAATGCCTGGATGACTTGACCCGGCCATTATCGCAACTGGTTTCTTGCGATTGGTGGCCAGTTGATGATATTTGCCAAGCCACGACATTAATGTTGCATGATGTACCTACAATCGCCATCTTGAGCACATTTGCAAGCGAAGTCCCACGCCAATCTCCACACGATTTTTCGTCCGATGAGCTCAATGATCTCGAGTGCACCATCTGCATGGATATTCCAACTGATCCAATTGATGTTGCGGGCCATGTCTTTTGCCGCAAATGCATTCTCAAGTGCGCACATGACGGCCTTGCTCACCCCTTGACAGGAGCTCCGTTGCCTCCTGAAGCCGACCTGGCCGCTCAGCCCAAAATAGCAAGCTTCGCCAAGCTTTGCCAAGAAAAACAGCGCAAAGTCCAACTGGCTCAAATTTTCCAGAACGGTGTCTGGCCCGAAGTTCAAGCTTTACTTTGCGCAAGCCGCTGGCAATGGCCTAATGTACCTGCAACCGCGCGCCATCAGCTGCCCTTTTTACAGATGCCTGACATGCCGCACACAGATGCTTCAATGGCTACGCCAACCTTGCACAGCAACTGGGATGAGCCAAGCCATGATTATCACCCGCCAGACAGCAACAGTAATGATGAGAAACCGCTCCTCGTCGCGTGGGCCGACCGTGCCATTAGCGTATTGATTGCACCTCCGACGCAAGTGCATCTTGAGACTTTGCGCGAGGAGCTGGCACGCACGAGCGTCTCGTTGACTCCTGAAACAGACCTTTGTGGGCCAACCGTGCCGTGGCAGTCGACCGCTGGAGAGCCCCTTGAGTCTCTCAGCGCCTTGTGCCAGTTTATTGAATGCAATGAGCAAAGCATGCAGGCCCTTTTGCATAAAATGGACGGTCTCGTAGCCAGTACTCTGCATGATCGACCTGCTCAACTGCTATGGCAGCGGCTGTTGACATATCTGTGGAATACAAAGACGGCATTGCGACTCTCGCAGCTTCAATCAAAGCACCTGCGCGATTTGCTCGAGGGCTTGACCGCAACGCGAAGGCATGAAATCTATCACACTTTTTTGAGCCTCGCCCCACCGATGTTAAGCGAAAATGAAGCCCAGCAATTTGCACGGTGGCAAAACTGGCTGGCTTTGCCGGCCTCGCGTATATGTGCATCCGAAGGCTTTGCATGGCTTGATGCCGAAGCGTCGGAGGCTGAGCTCCCCGCCTTTGACACGCCCCGGCATCCAGCAACCTCCATCAAGCGAGCGCAGCGCCAGTACAAGCAGCTCCATGATGTGCAAAACTCACGCCTACAGAAGTTGGGAGATGAGCAGCGCGCCAAACAAGAGCTGGAGCGACTTGCAGGATCGCGCTCACACGCAAGGCCGCACACCAACGTTGCACCTCAAGATGATTTAGCGCAACCTGTGTCCCATGCGACCGTGCTGGAGAGTAAGGCCCTGCGTGCTGCCCTGAGTAGTAGCGCGCGTGTTGTGGAGGCTGTGAGCGAGCGAGCCGCGACGCATGCTAGCACTGCTGGACCCGCCGTAGACTTGAGCAAGGTGCAACACATTGCCTTTGAAGCATCGCTCGGCTCTGAAAAGCGTGCGCCTCAGCGCGTTGCAGTAGAGCTCAATGGAGATTTGCTTCGAGCTGCACAAGAACAATTTCGTCGCACACGAGGCAGGCAGGTCGTCCGGGCAGTGGGCTTGCTGGATCCGGACGCCAAACTGAACGTCATCGAGTTGGCCGACGCCATGGACGGTGATGATCTTTACCAGAGCTGGATTGCAAAGCTGAGTGGGCTTGCTCAGGACCAGATCTTTGATCTCACACGTTGCATTACACGAGCCCTTCAAGACAAGCCTGGCCGCTCCGTTGCTCTGGAGCTTGTGTTGGTCGTAGACAATTCTCTCTCCATGGGTGGCCAAGAAGGGGCTCTTGCACGTTTTGCGGTTGGCCTGCTTCTGGAAGCTCTTCGCCGCCTGGAGCAACCCACGGCCGTCTTACGTTTTGCCGGACCCGGCGCATTGACTCTTCTAAAGGGTTTTGACGTCCCTGCATCCTGGGACGTTATTGAGCAGGTCCTGCTGCGTATGTCCTTCCAGCAAACTGGTACGGCCATCGCCGACGCCGTGTCCAGTGCCGGTCGGCACCTGCGCAAACTGCGTGCCAATCGAGCTGACACAGCTGTACAGACGGAGTATGTGCAGTGTATGATGCTTGTGAGCGATGGCATTTCGGGACAAGCTCGCGTTTTGGAATCCGAGGCCGAGTCTAGCTTGACCAAGGTGTTGCGAGACGTTCGTCAGCAAGGCGTGCATTGCACCTGCTTGCAGGTCGCTTCCACGTCCGAGGATTCGAACTCAATGGCAACAGCTTTTGAAGATCGCATGGCACTGCAAGTTATCGAACCTGCGGTGGCAAACAAGCTAGGAGGAATGCTTGGTCAGCTTTTTGCTCATCGAATCAGAGATCACTTGTTGCGTCAAAAAGTCACTACTCAGCCGTGCCCCGCCTTTCCGAAGCCTCGGTTGAGCTCGGCCCACACTTCCACGAATGCACAGCTTCAGACAACGCAGTGGCTGCCCAAGTTCCGACGAAACGAGGGAGACACGCTGGTGCACTTTGAGCCGACCCAAACTGTACAGTCTCTGCGTCCAACGCCATTTCTAACTTCCAAAGAATTGGCACTTCTCGAGCGCGAGCATATCGAGCATCGACAAACGGTGGACGTAGATGCTCAGGCGCTTGAATGGTGGGCACAAGCACGCCGCGACTTATCGCTGCCCATCAACGCAATTGCCGATGTGCTCGAGGAACGCCTGAATGCCAAGTCATCCGTTCGCAAGCGCACCGGATTTAAGACAGGCAAAAGCATTGATCCTCAGCGCCTCATGCAGTGCAAGGCCACCCACTGGACTTCCCAGGACTACTGGCAACGCTATGTACCTGAAGGACGGCCGGCCTACAAGTTTGGGCTGGCCTGTGATATGTCAGAGTCTACCAACCTAGATGACATGCACGCTCGTCAAGCAGAGGCCGTGATCACGCTGCTAGAAGCCTTGACAAACTTTGGCATTCATGATGCACTCGTATACGGGTTTGGCAATGACGATGTAGTGCTGGCCAAGGAGGCCAGTGAGCGTCTGGACGACAAAGTGAAATCGGCCATCGTACACTTGCTGGCCCATGCCGGCACTGCTGGGGCTAGCCGAACACCTTTGGGCCAAGCCATTTGTGCCGGGGTAGATATGCTTGTCCAATCGACGCTGGCAAACGAGACCGGCTTTCTTTTTGTGCTGGGAGATGACGGCAACAATTGGCTCACCCCTTCGGCCAAGGACTATGCTGCCCAACACGGTGTGCAAGTGATTCGCCTCAAGCTCGGCACTAGCCCAAGACATCGTGAGGCCGAGGTGCTGAATGTCATTGAAGCGCCTTCTGTTTTTGAATTAACTGGTGGTCTCGACGCACTGTTATCGCAGTTCAACGCAAACACACCCATCAGCAGCACGCAAAGTTCTCACGATTCAGTCCTTCCACCAGCCCCCGACGATCTATTTGAAAAAGTTGAGCGTGTCTTGAGCCAGCCTAGCCCCATGACGGCCACGCTTGCAGCCCAGGCGGAGGCGAATCAGCTGACGGAAATCCATGTCGAGCTGACCCGGGGAGCTGACAGCACCTTCAACGTGGACGTCGACCTGGCTCTTGCAATGGATTGCACGGGATCGATGGGCTCATGGATCGCAGCGGGCAAAAGCCAGTTGGCACAGATTGTTCAGCACGTGCAAAATCAAGTTCGCGAGCGCTTTGGAGAACTGGCGTCACCCCGTATTCGTGTTGGCTTTGTGGCTTATCGTGACTACAGTGACGGCCCAAACTTGGTCGATTCGATCGATCTGACAACCAATGTGCAACAGGTCATCGCTAAAATCAACGCTCAGGTGGCCACCGGCGGCGGTGATGGCCCCGAAGAACCGGCAACTGCGTTAGAATTGATTGCGGAGACTTTCAGCTGGCGGGCAGAGAGCATGAAGTTGTTATGTCTCGTGGCTGATGCCCCTCAACACGGCCAACCGTTCGTGAGCTCGGGTGATAGCTACCCTGCTGGACCTCCCGCGGGCTTTCCCAAGCATGGCCAGTCCCACCTCACCCGAGTTCAAAACGCGATGCGTCTCTTGAAAGAGAAAAATGTGCGTTTCACCTTTGTGCACATCAACTCATACACGGATGCCTTCGAGACAGCCCTTGCTGGGATGTATCCCGCCGAAGAATTTCGCATCCTCAACCTGGGTGACAAACCTGAGGCGCTGGGAGGGTCACTTCAGGAGCAGCTCAGCATTATGCTGGCAGATCTTGGGTAGACTCACACAAGCAAGTTCTGCTTTCAAGCTGTTTCCCCAGCGTCGGCCATAGATGCATCCCCATAGATGAATCCAGCTCCAGGCAGTGTTCCCTTTGATGATGATGATTTTCTTGTGTGTTGTTTGCTTGTCAAAAAATTTATCACCACCTCATCAAATGTCAGATCTTTCCAAGCATTTTTTTTTTTTGGATGACTAAGAACGAGGGCAGTGGGTGGATGCGGTTCGGCGTCCGACCCCTGCTTCATAACGACAATGGCAGCAGGCGGGGCCGGGATCGCTTGGGGGTGGGCGTTGATGCTCGCTTTTTTGCTCATTGGTGCGGGGATTAGCATGTTTCGTCGATGGCCTCGAAGGTGGCGATTTTGGCCGCGCTGGGGGAAGAGCGACGACGTGCTGCCCCTGACGGCTCAGGCCAAAGCAGAGCAGGAAGATGCGGTGCGAGCGGTGCGACTGCGGCAACAACTAGAACATTGGGCCATTGGCAACCGTCTGCAGCGTGGCCAACAAGGCGGTACGACCGCGCCGTCTTGAGGCCTGGCCCGTTTGGATGGCTTTATTGCTCATTGGCGGGTTGAGCATTTGAGGCGCTTCCGATGACATTAAATTTTTAATTGAGAACCAGATATTGATTCAAGGAGAACCATGACCGATCAACTAGGCTGATGCTGCCAAGAACAATGAGCAAAGAAGGGTGACAGTTGATGCGATTCAAGGGCGAGAACAAACAGGAAAGACGCTTAGGGATAAGTGATTATTTCAAACGCCTGGCGCGCAATTCTGCACGCAGGCAAGAAAATTGTCGGATCCAAGAAGCTAGCTAGATGACGCGCTTCTTGTCGGCCTTGGCCTCCACCACGGTCTGCGCTTGGCGCTTGATGGCGTCTCGAGACATGAACTCATCGTCATCAAACTCGTCCTCTTCCTCTTCGCCTGTAGTACAAATGGGGACCAGGGCACAGCGGGCGTGAGGGAAAGCGTGGCGCGTTGTCAAGAGGCGATGGGCGATCGGGAAGACTGCTACCAACAACATACCGTCGACCGTGTCATTGAGGTTAACACGAGTATTGTGTTGGGGCAGGATGCGAGGTATGCTCTCGCCCTGCAGACCGTCGGGAAGCTCCGTTTTGCGGCTGGCGAGTTCCTCGTGCAAGGTTTTCAGACGCAGCTGACTCTCCACAAGCTTGTCCATGACGTTGTTGGCAGCGCGAAATTTGACGGGCTTGAGCACGCCCAGCTTGGCGTACAAGGCGTCAATGCCGGCCGTGAGAGCCACCAACGTTTTGTTCAGGCGATCTGATGTTTCCTTGGCCCCGCGGTGGCGGGTTTGTGCTGCATTAAGGTGGTTCTCAAACTCGTTGAGAATGCGTTGGTTGCCCGTGTTGCGGGCCTCTCCCGAATACTTGAGGGCCTCAAATTGCTTCTGTTTGCGAGCGTGTTCCTGCAGACCAGCACGCCCAGGTGCAAAGCAACAGCCCCTCCCATCAGCAAAGCGGCGCCAAGAATGACGAGGCCAATGCCTACCCAGATGTGTTGCCTCACCTCACGGAGCTCGGCCAGCTTGGCTTGGTTCTCTTGCTGAAGCTTTTGCAAGTGGCGTTGTGACTCTTCCTGGTTCATGAAACGCTGTACGACTTCGTGGACGTCCGATGCGCCCGTGGCGTCGCGGATGCGAGCCATCGCCTCCTCGTACGTCATCAAACGCTCCTGTGTCTTGGACGAGTCCGTGTCCGCTGGCAAAATGGCAAGGCAAAACATGGCACGGCGTCCAGCCAGCGTGAGTGACAGAGCGCTGAGACAAAACGGGAAGGACAGGACTGCGGCGCAACATGGCAAACACAAATACCCACCGGCGTTTTTGCGATTTTGACTGGCTGAGGCCATGCGCAAGCGCTTTTCCATGGCCTCGTATTGACGCCGCCGCTCTTCCACCTGGGCCGAGAGCTGTGCCTTTTCTGTCTCACGCGCCTTGCGCTGGTCGGCCAGTTCAATCTCCTTCTGGGCGAGGGCATTGCGCGCAGCATCCCGGGCCGCGCAGGCATCCTGGCACATCGCCTCGAGCTGGGCAAGCTCTTGTTTGCGTCCCTCGAGAGTCTTCTCAAGGCCTGAAATGGTTTGATCGAACTGAAGGCGATCCTTCTGCAGCTGATCAATAATCTTGAGATAGGTCTGCTTGATGTGTTGTGCCTCCTGTGCCTTGATGTTGGCCTTGTCGAGGTTGTTCTCCAGACGCCGAATCTGCTGCATCTCACTCGAAGCAGCCCCACCTTCATTGTTGACAAAGTCTCCCTCGACTTCGAGCTCGCGCAGCACCTTGAGCTGGGCCTCGTGTTTGGCCTTGGCCTGCTTGATCTGGTGGCGAAGCGTGTTGCGCTTCTTGACGACCGTCTGAATCTCGCCCTGGGTGAGGGCAACGGGACCTGAAGCTCGATGAGCCACAGCAGGCTTCTTGAGCTGCTTGAGCTGTGCAGCCATGGTTTTGTTCTCCTTGCGCAGACGAGTAATTTCAGCGCGGTTGTCGTTCATCTCCCGCTGCGAGCTCTCGTAAAACGCACGCTTGTCCCCCTCTGGACGAGTGCAGCAAAAAAAGTTGCATCCGCCGTGAGCACGACAGAATTTGTAAAACGGAGACCAAGCGTGCTCTTCCTGACAGGCCTTGGTACTCACCGAAGAGGGCAAGCTTGCGCTTCATGTCGTCTGCCGACTCGTCGGGTGGGGCAGGCATCCTGCGGGTGCTGCACAGTCACACAATGAGCTTGCTCCTTCGAGTTTGAAAAGGCACCTTTCCCTGCAATCCCTTAGGCAGGTCTGGAACCTGGGACCCTGCGGGCTTGCGCCTTGGCACGTTCCCCCTATGCCTCTCCCTTCCCCCTTCTGCGCCCCTGGCTCATCATATCATGAACCCTGAAGAGCAAGGGCCGTGGTACCTGGAGAGAGAAGCCATTGTTGGCTGTCCAGCGGTAGCAATGCGTCCTTTTCTTCCTTCTGTCAAAGCACGCTGGTTCGAGCCGTGCCAAGCTCGTATGGCCGAGGCGGCGACCGTCGAGATGCAGGTCAATCAATCAATCAATCAATCAATCAACAGAAGCGCGACCGACGGCACAAGAGAGAAACTGTTGTCCTGACGTTGCCAAGGCGGCCCGGAAATGAATTGTTATGATCAGGATTTAATTGTTTTCAGCCATTCAAAAACTCCCAAGATGATAGCTGATCTGAATGTCAGATTTATTGGCCTCGCCACACTTAAGCGGAGGAGGCAAGCATCGTGTGCTGGGCTGCAACGCGCAGGTTCGCATAGAACTGGAGGTCGTCGCGGCTGAGCGAGGGCGAAACCACGGTTAAGGCAGACGCAAAATCCTGCTGCTCCATTTTGGCACCACCCCGTCGCAGGCATGCCAATGCCGCTTCCTGACAAAGTGACTTGACATCTACAGATGGCAATCACAAGTCGCAGTCAAGAAAACCATGAGGATACTCTCTGTGTTCTCGAGCGCCAAGCAACAAGAAGAGGGCAGCAGACAGTCGCGAGACCATCGTCGCAAGCAACAATCCGGCCTGATACCTGCACCAGTCCAGTCTGCAGTCCGGGCCTCCAGATCAGCCAGATCGGTGGCGGCCCAATCCACGGGCATCGTCCGGCATACTGCGGTGATGATCGCACGACGTCCTGGCCCATCCTAAGAAAAAAAAAAAAAAAAAAGTAAAATCCCACAAGTCGTGTGCGGTCAAGCATCGCACCAACTCGACCTGATACATGAATGGGGTGCCACCGCGAGGCATTTACCGGAGGTGGAATGTAAATAGCGCGATCGATGCGGCCCGGGCGCACAAAGGCGGCGTCGAGTTGGTCGGGCCGATTGGTAGCCGCCAGCACCATCACGTTGCCTGCGCTCTCAATGCCGTCCATCTCGTTGAGAAGCGTTGACAAGACCTGTACAAAATTGAAGAGAGTAAGGGAAGACGGAGGGATACACCAGGCAGATGAGCTGGCGCAGGTGCATACACACACATGACACATGCAATCGGGCCGCTTCAGCGCGGATGGAAGAGGTGCGCATCATCACTCACCCGCGCTGCAACGCTTGAGCCTTCGCCATCTCGGCGCCCCACCAGCGCATCCACCTGGCCAACCGCACAGCAATGAGGGGGTGCACAAAGCCTCGCACATGGACTTTATAGTGAGAGCCCTAAACAATACCTCGTCAAAGAAGATGACGGATGGGGCTGACGCGCGCGCGCGCTGGAAGATGCGGCGCAACTCCGCTTCCGAGTCGCCAACATATGGGGAAAAGATTTGCGCGCCGTTGACGGCAAAAAAGGTTGCGTGGGCTGATGACGCCACGGCCCGGGCCTGTGACCACCCCAAATGCCGACAAAGCCAATGAGCAAAAATCATGGGTAAGCCTCGTGCGGAGCCGAGGGTGGTCGACACGCACCATGGTCGTTTTGGAACAGCCCGGCGGACCATAGAGTAGGATACCGCGCGGGGGTTGCAGTTGCAGTCGTTCGTAGGCCTCACGATAATGCAAGGGCCATTCTATGGCTTGGCGGATCTCCTCTTTAACGGCCTCCAAGCCGCCAATGTCTTCCCAGGCCGTGGGGCGAACATCCACATAGTCTCGGCGGTGTCCAGCCGGAACCACGACACCCAGTGCGGCGATGAAATCGGCATGGCCGACTGTCTGGCGTCCTCGGCGCGCGGCGTGTAGGCTCGCCTCTCGCACCAAAGCGGCCACATCGGCACCCACGAAGCTACATGTCCACCCAGCACAGCACAGTTGGAGATTGTCATGAGGCAATGTGCACCTCTGGAGTGATTGATTTCACACAGGCAGCGCGCTACACCCCGTACCCTTGGAGCCGTTCTGCTAGCGCAGCTAGTTGCAAGTCGGCATCTGTCGGCGTCGCCCTCAGCAAGCGCTGCAATATGGTCAGCCGTGCCTCGTCTAGCACCGATCACGTTGATCGCCGGAGCGCACCACGATGAGCTATCCTAGCCCTCTAAGCAAGTTTGGGCATCGCCTCGAGCAAGAGACAGAACGTACGGTTCAGGGGTGGGATGACAATCTCGCGATCCAAGCGGCCGGGTCGGCGCACCGCCGCGTCCAAAGCATTGGGTCGGTTGGTGGCACCGATTATGATGAGCTATTTCCATGGGCCAGGCGGACGCGGCCATGAATTTCGATGACTACTCAAGGTCATCTGCATGTACGACCAAGGTCATGACCGTGCACGTACTTGTTGGCGACGCTGACTATCAATCCCGTCGAGAAGTGTGAGAAGCTGGGCTACGAGGCGCGATTCGCCCGTGCGGCCATCCACGCGCTTGGGGCAAATGGCATCGATTTCGTCCAGAAAGATGACCGCGGGCTGCGCACCAGCCTGTGCCCGAGCCTGCTCAAAGAGCTGCTGAAGCTTGGTTTCTGCATCTCCAATAAAAGACCCAAACAACATGCTTGGTTCAATCTAGTGGGGTTTCAAGGTTTGGGTGCGGGATCATACGTGAGCGCATGATGGGATTCTCTCACACGTGCGCACAACCGCGCCAGTCAACGTACGACGAATAAGGGGAGGTGAAGCGCTTCTGCAAGTGAGCTGACAAGGGAAGTTTTGCCACAACCGGGTTCACCGGCAAGCAACACGCCCACGGATAGGCTTGTCGCTGCTGTGGTGTCTGCAGCCTTGGATAGGATGGGCAAACTATGACGGCCCAAGCGGATGACGGTGAGGCGGAATGGACCAAAGCAAGGAAGATCAAAGGGTCAATGGTGCTCAAATGGAGCACCCGGTGCAGTCTTACGCAAGAGCACTCAAGAGTTCGCGCCAGGGGCCATCCAAACCGGCCAGAGGGCAGCTGAGCGACAACAAACGGCTCGGGTCTGGAGTGCCGACCACGGACTGGGCGCTGCGCACACGCACTGCTGTCGCGGATCCGACGCGATAGATAACGGGCAAGGCCGTCGCAGAGGCCGTGGCTTTTGCATCGCGTGGATGGCTCACGCACAAATGCCTGAGATTGCTGCAGGCCAAGAGCTGCTGGTGAACGGTGCTCACTCTGTGGGGCTGCTCGCCACAGAGCAAGAGGCCATGGCACAGCGTCTGCAGGCGCTGCTCAAGGCGGTGCGTCGGTTCAGCTGCCTGACCAGACACGCTAATCTCTACCACTGAGGCAACTGAGGCTACACTGGGCAGCGCAGGCGTGGCAATGAGGAGGTCATCCGCCAAGGCTCGCCATGTGAGGCCATCCCGGAGCTCGGTGGACAGAAAAAAGGTGAGGCTTGTATCCACAGCACAAGCCAGCGCAACAGCGGCAGGATCCTGGGAGGGGGGCCAGGGATGAACGCGGCAGCAGCACGCCCGCCATTTAGACTGGGGCGGTTCCAGCCCACCCACATCAGCGCCGGCATCAAAGTCGACATCCCTATCAGGCCAGGCCACGACAACTAGGTCCAGGGGCTGCAGGCCCAACGCAGCCTGCACGTGTGCACCAAGACGACAGCGTTGCGCACCAGCATCACTGGCCGGAACGGGCAGCAGCAACGCTGCTGCAGCCTCCGCCCCCGCCATGCTTCTACCCCATCTACCAACCACTACGTCCCCACACGAGCTCCTATCCAAGGTTGACCAACCCGCTGCCGAAATGCCGCTGACACACACACAACTCGAATCACCTCCTCATGGGGCAGACCACTTTTTGCTGACAAAATTGTCAGCATGATTCGGTTTAGTGGTTTGTTTGTTGATGATTTTTTTTCCAAGAAAAAAGCTGAAACATGACATCGCAGCAGCACAACATGACTGTTCGGGGGTGGCCCTGTCGAAGCGGAGCAGGTGTCTTGGGGGTGGGGGCTGTCGTTGTGTTACTGGCGGTCTTGCAGATCCAGACGGTGCTGGGGGCGGCCCACTACAATTGTTCTACGTCTTGGGACGAAGCACGGGTCCAGCGCCTACTCGCTCTCGTAAACCTTTCGTACCCGGGCCTCGAGGCCGTGGAACAAGTGAGTGTGCAATCGCACTGCCGGCAGCTGTGTGCCCGCGTCTTTGATGTCAGGCTGCGCTTGCCAGATCGTCGCAAGAGTCTGGGAAACTATTCCTGATTCCTTCTTTTTGGTTGTTGGTTTTCTGTTTTTTTTTCTTGTCTCACCTGCTTGGTGTGTCCTTTGCCGAGCAGGCGGCCAAGGCAGAGCAGTGGATACTGGCAGCGGACCACCTGCTGGCCTACTATCAAAACAGCCCGGATGGTGCCTGGTGGCGGACAGACGTTCTCCCGTCGCCTTCACAGAACCGATCCGGTGGAGCTGCAGATGCAGCTTTGAATGACACCTACACGTTCTACACCGTGGCGGCCCACGTGCCTCGCTTGGCCGATGGCGGTTGGTCAGACTCAAGCTGGCGCTGCCTCGACCTTGATATCGTGCAAAAACGTCCTCACAAGCCCCATGCCCCACAGGTCTTGATTGGAACTTTACGGGCCCACAACAAGATGTCGAGTACATGTATGCCCTCAATCGACATGCCATCTTCGACTCGCTTCGACAAGCGTGGCTCCAGACAGGCAAGACACGGCTGGACCGCTCGACCATCGGCTGGTCTTTTCGTGCTGGTTGAAGCGTGCCTGCTTCTGAAGTTTTTTCTCACTGCACATGTATCATCTGCAATCAGGCAACACCATCTACAGCACACTCTTTGCGAACCTCGTGTGTGATTGGGCCGACCATGTCCCCGAGGCGCACGCAGACGTTAACTCGGGGCAATGGCGCACCATCGAGGCCGGCATCCGCATGTTCACAGCTTGGCCCAACAGTACGTGTGGTGGTGCATCGACGCTCTCTTTGGCTTGCCCTCAAGCGACCCGCATAGCTCACAAATGCTCTGTGGCAGACTTTTATGCTCTGTTGCGATCGCCACAATTTGGCAACGTGTCGCAATTGTCGGCGCTTTGGGTCATGGCTGAGCACGGCGACTTCCTCAGCAAGTACAGCAACCAAGGAAATGCCAATTGGCGTAGCATGCAATACAACGGACTAGCGACACTCAGCGTCGCCGTTCCTGAGCTTGCCAACAGCTCGAGCTGGTACGCCGGCACCAGTGCCGGCATTCTGGCCGATATGCAACAGAACGTCTACCCTGACGGCGTGGAAAACGAGCAGACGAGCAGCTATCACAAGGTACGGGTGCATCTCGGGGACCTGTGAGTTCGATGCCTTGGTAAGCTAGCATCGGGAGGTCGAAAGGACTCATGAGGCCAGGCGACTGGCCACGGTGGTTGGTAGGTTGCCACGGATAATTTTCAAAACTTTTACAACATTAGTCAACTCGGCCACCGACCTGTGGCGCCAGAAATTTATGCGACGCTAGAGCGCATGCATACCTACCTGGCCTACAACATGGACCAGCAAGGCAATGCTCCCATCAACAGCGATTGTGATCTTCAAAACAACCGCAACTACATCATCGAGGCCAGTGCCATCTTTAATCGCAGCGATTGGCTCTACGTAGCCACCAACGGTGCTGCAGGCACCCAACCTCCAAACGCTTCAAGGCACGGGCCATCCTCGATGTTCCCCTGGTCGGGGCAACTCATTATGCGTAGCAACTACAGCTCTGGTACGTGGGGCTGTGCGTTCTCTAATCCAACCCCGTGGCACCCCTATTCGTCGCGCGCCTGACCTTCTGCTGTTGTCAAACGTCTTGGGTTGGCTGACTTCAGATGGTACCTGGGCGTGGCTCGACCTTGGCCCTTTCTCCTCCTCTGGACATGGACACCACGACAAATTGCACCTGTCTGTGCGGGCCAACGACGAGATGTTCCTCGTGGACGCTGGTCGTTTCGCTTATTCTGGAGACTTGGCCGCCAAGTTTCGGGGCTATGCCACGCACGCACGGGGCCACAATATCGTTCAATTGGACGACGCCAATCAGGTGCAAACGCCAGCCGTTGCCACGACCCCGCTGAGCGCTGGCGTCGACTATGAACTGGCGCTGGACCATGACTTTGGGGCTGCAAGCACGACGTTTGCTGACATTCAAGGCAATGCCAGCCATGCTCGCAGCGTGTGGCATCAACGCAACGTGGCCTGGGTCGTGGTGGACCAGATTGTGACCGACCGTGTGCGCAACATGACGACGCTGTGGCACACTCACCCCAGCATGGAGGTGTTTCTCAATCAGACCAATCAAGTTGTCGACATTCGGGGTCGTAAAGGCCGGGTGCACGTGATACCATTTGCTGTGAACCTGACGCGCCAGGACGAGGCATGGCTGGTGGCAGGTCAAATGGATCCGTACCCACAGGGCTGGTTCTCGCCCGTGTATGACCAGTACTCGCCCTCGACCACCGCCATGTACTCTAGCCAAATACCGGCAGGCGTCACAACCACTGGCTGGATCATCATTTACCGACCACTGCACGATTGGGCGCGTAGCTTTCCCACAGCAACAGTGCAGCGCGTCTCAACGACCAGCATCGACATGCAACTGGAGTGGAATGACCAGACCTTTCCCATATCCATGCCCATTCGTCATTGAGTTTTCATGGACCATGGAAGAGGAGGGTAGCGTGCTGAGAAGTGGTATGAGAATATTGGTAACAGGCTTTGTGCATACACACGGCACCGTCTGCCCGTGTTTGACTGTGCTTTGGTGTGGAATGTGCAGTGGGCTGAGGTTTATGATAACGTGTGTTCCTAGTCGACATCTTGCTGCCTTTGTTCCAAAAAAAATACCACTCCTCTTCAAAAGAATCAGTCAATTCATTAAACAAATTCCATAAACAACCCAGACCTGCAAAGCGTTCGGCGCAGAGCTTGGCTTTTAATCAGCAATCTGATAGACAATCAAGGGTTGAGGGCTGTGTGTACGGTCGACTTCAATGGAGGTGATGCTAGACTCGTCGATATTGCGCTCGCCGGCGATCACGTAGCGAACTTGACGCTCAAACTGTTCCTGCGTCGCCTGGGTCTCGAGCTCCAGGTGGAGGTTGGACTGGGCAGGCACGCCCTTTTGCACGGCCTCGTATGTTTGCTAGCGATTGGGAAAAAAAAAAAAAAAAAAAAAAAAAAAAAAAAAAAAAAAAAAAAAACAGGAATAATGAGCTCAAGTCGACACAGTCGTTGTTCATACACACCGGCTCGCCAAACGAGCCTCGGTGCATACCTTCATGATGGCACAGGGGTCAATTGGTGTGGGGTCTTGAGATATAGTTGCACAAGCTGGTTTCTCTCGTCGTTGGCAGCTAAAAAATACCACCACTCCTCGCCCTGCGATCCAACACATTCGTTTACTTGTCTACCTCTGCCTTGATGATGATTGGCGCTGCTCAATCATCACCACACCTTGCTCACCGACCTCGCCGATGGCCTGCAACAAGGGCTCCAGCTCGAAATTCAGACGGAAACCTCCAAGGTTCAAATTGTCAGCATTGGCACTTTTCCAAATTTCGACACTGGGCGTTGTCACAATCTGTGGCAGGTGCTATCTTGGCGACGTGCTGTGGCGGTAGCCGGGGGACAAGAACCAGTAGCAGCGGAATAGTGTGCCTACACCCGACTTTGGAGAAGGTACACGCATCGGCGGGCTGTTTATTGTGCAAGTAGGAGGCTTTGTTGTTTAATCAGGAACTGATTGGCGTCGCGCCAGATCAGCGATTCCTGCTCGTGTTGCAGCAGGCATCATCTGCCATCACGCTAGCGTCACACTGGGTGAGGCGCTTGCCGTGATAACCTACTTTCAGCGCAGATTGCCCTGTTGAGTCTGGCTTCTACATTCGCAACGATGGCGCCGCGCTTTGCAGCCAATCTGAGCTTTCTCTTTACAGAGCTGCCTTTCTTGGAGCGATTCCGGGCCGCAGCCGAACATGGCTTCCGAGCTGTCGAGTTTGCCTGGGAGCACTATGAGCTTGATCCCGCCGCTGTTCGCACCGCTCTCCAAACTGCCAATCTCACGTGCGCCCTCATCAACACGCCCAAGAGTACGTATGGGCTGCCCGCTACATCTTGTTTGCTTCACCGACCTCACACATTGACATCACTGGTTCGCATCGCCATGTCTTCTTCTGCACAGCCAACGCTGGCGAAGCCGGCTGTGCCGCCCATCCGGCCAAGGTAAGAAGCTAGCTCTACCTTAAACATACATGCGCATATACCCAACCGCAGCCAATGCCCGGACTCCCGAACGCTCACACGAGCACCTTAATAACAGAAGCAAGAGTTTGCGCAGGGTCTTCAACGCGCCCTGGAGTACTGCAAGGCCCTTGATTGCTCCAAGTATGGGTGCTGCAACCACTCTGTCCAAACCGGGAAACATCAACAGACATGGGCATTGCTTGCGTGATGCCTCTGCTTACCTGTCTGCTGGGCCTTTTTCCAGGTTGCACATCATGAGTGGGCCCCGGGTAGCAGGTGCTGATTTGGCAGAGCAAACGGCTGTCATGGCTGAAAACCTGGCAATGGCAACTACTTTGGCAGCCGAGGTTCGTGCCAGATGGCCGACATGGGCGTAGACTGAGGCCACCACACCCATGCATGGTACAGAGATCACACTCACGCGCGCTCTCTTGAACAATGACTGGGCTGTTCACAGGCCAACGTGGTTTTGACGCTTGAACCAATCTGCCCAGCGGCCATGGCTGATTATTTCCTGCAGCACGTTGACCAAGCCCTCGATTTGATTGCGCGTGTGGGACGCCCGAATCTGAAATATCAATTTGTTCGTACCGCGCGCGCCGTATAACCCCATGACACTCTTCCCGAATTGTGAAACTTCCCGAATTGTGAAACCTCTTACCGCTACAACAATCTCATGTCCTGTTCCTGCGCCCGTATCCCCCTCTCTCCTTCTCTCTTCTTCTTTTTCTTCTTCTCCTTCTTCTTCTTCTTCTTCTTCTTCTTCTTCTTCTTCTTCTTCTCTCTCTCTCTCTCTCTCTCTCTCTCTCTCTCTCTCTCTCTCTCTCTCTCTCTCTCTCTCTCTCTCTCTGTACAATGACCACAACTGAATGACAGGATGTATACCATGCACAACTCACGCACGGCAACTTGACGGAGACGCTACGCCGAACGCGAGAGGTGTTGGGCCATGTGCAAGTGTCGCAGCTTCCGGGTCGCCATGAGCCAGTGACCGCAGACGGCGAGGTCAACCTTGACCATCTCTATCGCACGTTGGACGAGCTAGGCTATCAAGGCTACATTGGCGCCGAATACCGACCTCGTCAACGCACCGAAGACAACCTTGCCTGGCTCACCGCTGTCTGATGACGGTAGAGCATTCACATCGTGAATCAAGTAATTGAGCACAAAGGAAATCAAGCCGCTGCACCAACAAAAAAAAAAAAAAAAATCGCATGCGCGCATGAAGAAAAGGATCGCACAAAGAGGCGCGCCGTCAAACGAACGAGTCAGAGGAGGCAAAAAATAACAGGAGGCCAACAGCACCATGTATTCCCATCTGGTCACCCACGATAGTACTAGCATGGCCCAACATGGCTTAACTGCGGCGATCGGACGAGAGCCGGTGTATTCCATGTGGTATGACCGTTGGCGACATATTCGGGCTTAATTTTAAATATAGACGGCTGTAGCACCTTGCACCATCGATTTTCTGACAACTTTTTTCCAACAACACGACAAAGAACGATTTTTTTTTTTTTTTGGTCGCCGAGTTGTTGGACGTGTGTGTCTGACGGCGACTTTGATGTGCTCGAGGCAGGAGGGCACAGTGCTGGAACTCGTCGCGAAACCAGAGGCATGAGCGACTCGGGTATGTGGTAGTCTCAGATTGCGTCCATCGCTGAGCTTGTCTGCGCTTGACCTCTTTTTTTGCCTGTTGGCCCGTTTGCAGCGGCTGTGCCACCGGCAGCCACCGGGGCCGTGGTCATGAAGAAGAAGAAGAGGCGTGATCGCAAGGATGTGCGCAAACGCCGCCAGGCCATGCCCACCACGGACAGCGATGAATCGGACGTGGAAATTGGGACTGCCAAGAAGGTGGTCAAGCGTGGCCTCGTCGCATCCACCAAGTACGTATGCCAAGCCTTGGTGACCCCGCGCTGGACAACAATCACCTTGCCCATCTCAACGCTTCCAACCTCTGCCCGGGTCTTCCTTCCATTCATGCCAGACTCCCCAAGGTGGGCCAGCAAGCGGAGGAAAGCGAATTTGTGCGCAGCAAGCATGAGGCTCAAATGGATGGTCCACGCGATGGAGGCGCCACCATGACCACTGAGATTGACACCGCCCACGACAAGGATGCCCAAGCGCTCTTCGACAAGCAACAGAGACTAAATGCAGAGCTGGAAGGTACGCGCAACAGGAGCATGAGCGCGCCCGCCTTGCTTTTGTACATCACAACACAATCTCATGTTTGATCATGCCAACGTTGGTAGATGTGAACGACAACGAGTACCGCGGCCAAACGGCTTATCAACAATTCAACAAGATCAAAGACACGGTAGCTGGCAATGCCTTTAAGAGCGGTGCCGGCCGCGGGCCACAGCGCGCGCCCCTGCACATTCGCAGCAGCGTGCGATGGGATTATCAGCCCGACATTTGCAAAGATTACAAAGAAACGGGCTACTGCGGCTTTGGTGACACGTGCAAATTCTTGCACGACCGCAGTGATTACAAGGCGGGCTGGGAGATTGATCGGGAAATCGACCAGGGCCGCTACAACGCCGTCGACGTGAGGCAATACCAGATTGAGCACAGTGACTCGGACTCGGACGATGAGCTTCCGTTTGCCTGTTTCATTTGCCGCGAACCCTTCAAGAACCCCGTTGTGACTCCCTGCAACCACTACTTTTGTGAAAAGTAAGCACCCCCTCGGCAAACTTTGGTGGATGAGGTGACGTGTTTGCAGCCTGTCCCTTGAGAAAAGCGAACGTGGGCTCTGGCGGCTTACCCGTACACCAACGCACTGCTCACCGCGTGTATAGATGTTTGTTGGCACACTTTCGCAAAAGCAAGAAGTGCTATGTCTGTTCGGAGCCTACGAATGGCGTGTTTCGGCCAGCACGGGACATTATTGCCAAGCAAAAGGAGCAGGCCCAGGCCCAGGCCCAGGATGACGGAAATGGTGCCAGCGACGACGAGGACAGCAGCGGGGGTGGCATCTTGGTGCAGCCCAACGAATAGGTGATTGGCCCTGCGCAACGGCCTGTACTCCCTAACAATCGCCAAGATGAAGGCCAAAGTATCAAAGTGTTCCATAAACGCTCGACCGTTGAGTCTCAGCAATGACGCAAGCAGAGCCCTGAGCACGAGCTCACGTTGCGACAGCGCCCCGTGCAACATGGTCTGCTGCCGCAGTAGGCAAATCAAAAATTAAGGCGGTACAAAAATATTATGATTCTTTGACAAGCATTTTTTCTTTCAATTATGCAGCACCAGAGTGGCTGCCCATGCGCCACATCAACAAGGTTCGGTCGCACGGCACTCGCTGGATATAGACGCCATAATCGAGCGCTGCGCGCTCGCGCCATGTACAATTGGCGCGGCAACACAAGAAACAAACATGTGTTCGTGGCGGAGCAGCGACATGGACGGCTCCGATGAAGAGACAAGAGGAAATGATGGAACGAGAAAGGACCGGACACGCTTTGCCGGGACGTGAGACAAGATGGGTGCGCTACACCTGGACCAGCCGGTGGCCTTAGATGCCCAGGCCAAAGACACTGACAATCACGTGCATCGTCTTGTTTTCCCACCGAATCGTGCACGAGCCTAAAAAGTAAATCCCCGTCAACCAGCCCGTCAGCAAAAAAGCCGCTCCAAAACAACTCAAGAAGCCGTCAAGTTTGGTAGACTCAGAGAGGAGAAAGTGAAACAACATTGTAAGGCTACACAACGGTCAAAGCCAGGTGCTAGCGACTCACCATCCGTGGAGTTGTCCCAGAAGCAGGATGATGCAGTGTGCAAGCCTGCACCGTTCTTTTGCAAAATGACGCAGTGCACTTGTGTCATGCCAAAGACAAGGTCAGCAAGAAGAAGGGGGTGAGGTACCTTGTCCACGGCAAATTGTCATTCCATCACCGGACACGCAGAACAAAACATAATCTAGAGCCAACCAACGGCTCGAGACCAATCATCGTTGGCAAGGCCCGGGGAACACTTTGACCGTGTCGCCCAGAACCTCGGAGCCTCGGAACCTCGGACCCCGGAGTTGACACGCCATTTCTCAAACGTACCGATATATTTGAAGGGCTTGCCCAGCCCAGTCAGGCGCTTAAGGCACTGTTCCACCACATTGGATGTCCACTGGTTGACCTTGGAGTGTTGGTACGAGCTCTGGCCAATGCTCTGATCAATCGACTGGAGGCACCAGCAGCAAGGAAGATCGTACATCAGGCAATTGGTCATACCCGTCTCCACCGCGGATGCCCAACTGGACGACAATGACAGGGATAGACTGGAGACTAGTGGGCACACAACTACGCACCTCCTTGATGATGGCACTCACGTCCTCCACGGAAAAGGCAGTCTACTCATCCATGGCCAGAAGATGAGGAAAAATGACACAGCAGAGGGCACACTTTCGTCACGCAGACGAGGACGCCTGGGGCCAGAAGTCGGACTTTCTAGCCAGAGGGTGCCAATGTCGACTCACATCCTGTTCACCCTCAAAGTCTTCCATGATGCTGGCGAATGTTCACGACACGCGGCGGATCAACAGCGATCCTTCCTCGGAAAGTACACTTGAGGGGCTGCGACACACCCTACAGCAAAGACCCAGAGCTACAAGCAAGGACAAGAACCGACAGAACATCGATGAGCCCCCATCCTGGACAAGGAGCAAGGCTAGCCTGGGTCCATCCATGCCCAGACCCACTCAGACCCGTGGCGCGTCAAGAGGTGTGCCAAAGGCCCAAATACTTTCGGAAGAGGCGAACACGGATCTTATCAGTCCATGTCCCACCTCAATCCAACTGCAACAACCCCAGCCTGTCTGCCAGCAGAGAAGGTGTCGCTCACCGATATGCGCGCGCTGCTGGTGGCGATCAACTCAGAGCTTCTTCTCAAAGACAGAAAATAATCGAAAAAAGCCAAAAGCGACAAGGTTTAGTTGCCAAGTCTGTCATTTTGAATCATTTTGATGCCTGAAACTTACCGAAAATTATTCAAATATTCCCACAAGCGAAACAAGCTAGTTCACAACCTTTTGTCTTTGTCCTTCAACTCTCTCTCTCATCTCACTCTCTCTCTCTCTCTCTCTCTCTCTCTTACTCTCTCGCGCGCTCTGTCTCTCTGTCTCTCTCTCTCTCTTCTGTCTTGGCTCAGACGTCACCGACTCAACAGGTTGGACTTGAGGATTGAACGGGGTCTAATTTCTATTCTAGCCCAAAGCAACACCTAATATTCTCCACCTAGGCCTACGGTATGCCTACACCTACATTCCTAAGGGGCACAATCTCCTAGTACGGATCGAACACGACAACACCCTACGCCTCAGATCTTCACGTCGACCATATCAAAATACGCAGGATCAGACCATAGAAAGCTAACTAAGACAAGCAAAATACAGTGCTTCTCAACAACATGATCGAAAGACGCATACGCACACGCCCTACACACTCGCATAAAAACTGTTTCTAGCTCCTCTTGCTACCCAAGAGAAACAGCGGATCATCCAGGACAGCACAAACATAATGCCACCGCTCAAGTAAACGATGGCCAGCTGCATGACAAAACAGCACCGACTCCCAAGACAAAATATCACACAGAGACGGCTGACGCAATTGACAGCACATTTGACAAAATCAAGCGTCTGCGTCTGACGAGACGCGGAGAGAGGGAAAGCAAAAAAACGAACGCAAATGGAACACCCAATCAGTTGCGGCGGACGGGTGTAACGTCCTCTGTCAACACTGCAGTGGTAGTGCGTGGGCTACGCGCCTCGGAGCTCCGCTCCGAATAGGCACTGCAGTGCGTACTAGCCCGTCGACGAGGGCCCAGATCCTCCATGCTGGTGGCCCGACTAATCGGAGCACTGGACACCTGCACATGCGTGGCCGTCGGCCAGAAACTAACTTCTTTTGCCTCCTCATTGCTACACACACACACACACACACACACACACACACACACACACACACACACACACACGCACGCACACACACACACATGCGCGATGCACAATACAACTGGTCGTGAGCACACCGCCTGACACGATTGACGGCACTTGCCCACTCGCCCACTCGCCCGCGCTAGGATTCCCAAAGCAACCGCCAACACACCTCAATCGCCCATCAGGCGCTAAATATTGCAAGACAATGTGCAGACGTGCCACGTCGGTGTGGGCGAGCGTCTCAGCAATGGCTTGCTCAGGTAGGCAAGTACACACGTCATGAAATTCTTGCAATATGCCTTGACGAATGTTCATCGTGTAACGCTGCTCCAATCGGCCCCAGCCCGGGCGCTGCGTCGTGCGCAGCATCTCGCGCTGCGCAACACCCCACGCCGCCATGGGCGGAGCTAGCGCCATGGGCTCGGAAGACTGATCCACTTCAGCCAACCAGGCCCGCACCGCTTCACCATGCAGCACCACCCGAAACTTTTGCAACTCCGAGACTGCCGCACCACCGCGTGCAGCCTTGCTTGAGCCCATGCGCGAAGGCGCCCGGGTGGGGCCGCGACTGGTAAAGGGCGATCGCGTTCCCTCAGACAAAAAGTCTGACTCGGTGCCGCTCACGTCATCGTCCTCCATCGCATCGGCTTCATCATCGCTCACAGCCTGTGAAGAAGGCACAGCTCCCTCGCTGCCGTTGCCACCTGTGTTGAACCCCGCCGAAGGACTCCGTGGCCCGCGACTGACCGGGGGGGAGACAACTGGCGGTACCCAACCGCAGGCCTTGACCAGGCGCGCCTGTTCCAGCTCGATTTGAGCTAGAGCCGCCTGCTGAGCCATGAGACGTAACCAGGATGCCGTGCTGAGACCGGTTTGCGAGCCAAGACATGCCACACTGGTCGAGACAATGGGGTCTGCGCGCAAGCTCGCCGCCACGCGCTCCAGCCAAGCCACCACGGGAGTTGTGCGAGGTGAAGTTGAGCCGCTATCACCCAACGAGTCGGAGGCATCCGTCTCTCCCCCGTCCGTGCTTCCAACAGCTTCTCCGACCTCCCTCAAGGCACGTGGAGAAGGCGAGGGTCGACCCATCGCTGTTGGGGTCGCAGATGGGGCATCGGTAACGGTGGCAGCCGAGTCCGAGAGAAGATCCGAGGTGGGCACTGCGCCGCTGGAGGGATTCCGACTTGATCCGTTACTGAGGACGCGCGGATGGTGCAGCATACGACGAGCAGGCTTGGCCAGCATCATGATCAAGTAAGATCGGAGCACAACCAAGGCTTGGCGAGCGTGAGCCAAGGCCGGTGATCCCGCTACCTCGCCTGCTGCCTTGCCGTCGTGAGAGAGGACATCGACCAGGAAGCGCAGCGCATCGCCAGGGATGGTGGGCAGCGTGTCCAACAAAGCGTGGCGAACAAAGCTCAGTCCGACTCCTCGTGACATGGCCACCAGCGTAACCTGATGAAAGTTGCGCTACATCGCGACGAGCAGAACCAAGGATGGCCACCGGAAATGAGATGCTGGCAACACGAGCCGAGTCGCCTCCACCCCACGATTTGGCAGGAAGCGTCACACACGCGCACACACTGCGACAAACACGCACTTGAGCTGACGGCTTGCGCATCAAGGCACGCAAAAGGATGGCATCATCGCGGAGGACAATCTCCTGCAGCCGCGCCACCAGAACCTAAATGCAACGCAGGTGCAGACGACGTGAGCACAACTCCCATGCATGAACTTCACGGTAGGAAAAGGGGTCCGACTCCAAAACAAGCACGAGGAACGAGGTCAGCTCGGACGCACAAAGGTGTTGGAGGAGTCTGGAACGGTAGCTTGGGCTGTGCCCAAGCCACTTTGTCGACTCGTGCGCCTTGATGCGCCCTCAGACGATGCCCGTGATGCTGCCGCTGAAGCTTCCAGCAACAGTTCCTAGAAGCAAAACCGACCCTTTGAGCTCGAGCAGATGTACACATGTGCGGCCAGATGCGCCAAGCGACACCCGGCAAGACAGCAAACACCATACAGCCACAGCCAGTGAGACCGAGCAGAAGGCTAAACGGACCTTGGCAGTGAACGTGATGGTAGTTCGCACGGCAGGACGCTCGCCCAGCTCGGTCAAAACAGATGGCAAATGTGGTGCAATGGATCGCGCAACAATGCCCGCCGCCACATCGAGAGGATGACTAAACATTTGCCCCACCGAAAAAAAGAGACACGTGACTTGACGATCATGACGACACAAGCTGCAGTAATCCACGGAGAAGCGAGTCACTCACCCATGATACGAGCGTCGGCTTGGTTGATTGATCCAGGGGTGATGACATCGAAAACATTGTCGCCGATGCAGCCTGGATGACGGACAGCATACGCCATAGCAAAAGGGCATTGAGGCAGGAGTGAGGCGATCGTGCAATCACAATCACGGAAAGAGGCCTCTCTGAAACAAGTGTGGGCTCTCTCAGTGGAGGATATGCTCATCGATTGCGCGACTTGCTCTGAAGGGACGGACGGTACATACCGGTTGACCAAGCGACAGGCACTGCATACCCAAAGTGCAGGTTCGATGTGAAGGGCCATGCTGGCGTTGAAGCAGGCCTTATCGGGCTCGAGTTTAGCTTCACCATCCGCCTCGACCAAGTATTCCACAAATGACATCTAAGAAAGCAAATGGCCCGTCACAAGTCAGCACGAGGCACTCTGTGCTGAGGCGCAACCGGTGCCCGGTTCGAGTGGCGATGCCAGGGCGCAAAACGCAAGCACAAAACAAAACGAAAACGCACCATGGCAGTGCGATTTTGCAGCAAGAAATTGCGGGCTGCTTTCGTTTCCACTGAGGCCGGTACCTTGATGTCCGTGGTCCCTGAGAGGATCAACAACGAGCAAGGCGCGTGAGATTCGAGCGTCGTCTCAGCCTGAGCCTCGTCACGGATGCACGCGTGCTCGCACGCACCGGTCACATTGGCGAGTTGCTGCAGCAGCTTGGCAATGGCTGTCAAGGAACGAAAGTGAGCCCGCTCGGGGCTTCGATCCTGCGCGTGGGGAATGATTACAAGCAGGTGAGCGCTGGTAGACTCACTCCTTTTGAAAAACATTGCCTTTACAAGGCGAGGACTACGTGTATGTTCAGCTACGTCGATCAAGCGACAGTTGTATGTATTTTCTGTGTGGTTCCTCACAACGTCGCATGTGGTGACCAACACGTACAATGAGGCTATGTTGCACGGGATTGACGATGGCAGGACAGAGTAGGCGTAGAAAAATGACGGAACGGATGACGGTTACGCCGTGCCCGGGAAACTTTTCATCCACATAACGATACATGAGCGCCAGCAGATTGCGCATAGAGCCCGTGAGGCGCACGGCATTTTGAGTAATCATGTCGGCGATGGTCTAAGCAGAACGCAAGCGAGAGGTTTCCATAGTCAGGTTGGCCGCTGTGGCGCATGCATGATGGAAAGCAAAGCTCTGTGAATGCAGCTTCGTCGAACCTGGCATGCCGAAATGACGGTGCTGGAGAGCTGATTGTTGGCGTCAGCTGCACGAGAGGAAACAACAGCGCGTTGCGCGTGATAATGTGAGCAGACATGGCCATCGCTTGGAGAGAAACCCTTTCCCTCGCGCCCACAAAAAGCTGACAAGGGATGCTATCCAACAGTCGGCATCGACTCACCGTCGACAGGAACTGAGTTGCAGACATCCTGAATGGATGGCACGAGGGCGGCTTGCATGAAGGAGCGACCCGTCATGCGAAAATAGGCTGAGATGAGTCGCGTGGCTGCCGTGTTGGCACGAAACAGCATTTCGGCCTAACAGCATGTCAGCGTCATTGAAGTTGAAGCCACAATGAGACCTGTACTCGAGCATTGCCAAATATTCAGCAAGAAGGCAAGGGGGCCAGGAGCACGCAAGAGGTTGACGCACAGAGTGGATGCTCTGGAGTTCGTGTTCGATCAAACGCGTAAAGAAGGTTTCTAGACCGCCACCGACATCCAAAATGGCCAATAGAGCCCGGCAGGTCTCTGGCGTCAGAAATTCATCATCGTCTGCGTCCAAGGTAGCCGAGCATGCGCAAAGACCCAAAAAAGACAAAATGAGCAACTTGACAAGAGGTCACCCGGGAGGCAGGAGTGTGAGGTTGTGATTCCTTGCACCTACGCTGGCAAAGCGCTAAAAGAATGTCAAAGTCGCTTTGGGCCAGAGCACCATACAAGCTGGCAGCATGGGCTGAGGCTTCGCGCCAGCCTTGATCCGCACCCTGCAGTAGCACGGCATGCACGGCCATGAGCCAAGGAGGCCATCGAGATTATAGCAACGGCGCCCAGCAGAAGAAACGGGGGAAGCAGGCCATCTGGCATGTCCAGCCTTGGTGCCGTACCGATTCCCAAAATAGGCGAAAGCGCAGGGGGATGGTCACCGCACTGGCGAGGCTGCTATTGGCACGGGGCTCGGGCAGTTCCAGCAATAGAGCATGATCTTCGTCGTGGAATCGGGGCAGCGGACGTCGGCACAAGCCCGGCAGAGTCGCGTCCATTGTTGCGGAAACTGCCACGCTGTGCAACGCAACGTGCTGTATTGATTGAGCCGATAACGTCACGCTTCCTGTCGACCCACACGTCGAGGCCTTAGGCTTGACGCATCACTCTGCTCAAGGGTTTGTAGCCTTGAAACAGGTAGAGGATGAAGAAGGGGGAGTCAAGAAGAGTCAAGGGGGATGACTCAAACCGGAACGTAGCCCGTGGCTGTACAAGGGATCACAAGGGCAAAGGATGTGGCTATTGAACCACGCTAGGCCGGTCAGACTGTCACGTCCATGATTTGCGAGCGGCAATCATGCCACGTCGGGGCGGCACGGTGGCCGGCGACAATGGGTGGGGGATGGGGCTACACAACGAACACAAGCTAGAAATGGTGTTGGTGCGGTTTGAGATACGGGGCTGTCGACACGAGAACGAGAACGAGGAGCAGTGAGCACAAAGTGCAGGACGATCGGTCGTCGTCAACGAGCGTCGCACGCGGAACTGGTGGGGCTTGGGGCTCTTCCTCACCTCTTGGAAGCAAAGAGCCAAAAGCCCAACGCGCACGATGAGGAAGAAGAAGGGAATAGCAAAGACGACGCCTGCCCAGCCTGTTCAAGACAAGAGGCGATCCAGAAGACCGGGAAGCTAGCGGAAACAGCGCAAAAGCGGCGAGAATGGGAAAGGGCACAGGCACAAAAAATGAAATCGAGCCAACATGTGCTGAACAACAACGACTTTTTTTTTTTTTTTGGATTTTAGAGAGAGAGAGAGACAGAGACAGAGAGACGTTTTGTGGGTGAAACTTGCTAAAGGAGGAGTTTAGGAGTTGGACTCTCTCTCTCTCTCTCTCTCTCTTCTCTATTCATTCTCTCTCTCTTCTCTCTCTCTCTCTCTTGTCACATGGACGCCAAACCGCACGCAACGACGAACCGCTTGGGCACAACTTCTTAAAGTGTGGTTATAGTTATACTTCCATCTGTTGCAGACACACGAACAGAGCGGTGGTTGTCAGATGTTCGATTTGTCAGATATTTTGTGTCGATTGAGGACTACGACGACGACGACGACGACACGAGCGCGCGCGTTGGCGAGACGTTGGGGGGCGCTGGTGCATGGAACTATAGGGGGTCCCAATTCTTGAACGGTGGGATGGAGTCGCTGCAGCCAGAGCAAATCTTGAGCAGTGGGGCCTTGGTCCTGGTCCTTGATGTACCCGTGGGATCAGAGTTTGGTATTGATTACAAATCATGGCACACGGCAGCACGCTTCAAAGGGGTCAAACTCGTTCCCGCCGGCGTTCACTACGTCTTCTGCAGGTACCACCGTGCACATTGTCCTCGCTATGCTGCCCCCTGAAAAAAAAAAAAAAAGATGTACCCATTTTTGCTACGCCCTCTCCACTCTGACCTCACCCCTTCCAACGAACCCCCTGATCCGCCGTAGTGCGCGGCAGAGCCGAAGCGAGCACGGCCAACACTTGGGACCACGCATCGGCTACTTTGTCCACACAGCGCCAGGCGACGTGCTCATTTTCAAGTGGGACCCAACTGAAGAGCACATTGTCAACACACACGCTGACGCCGACCAGCAACAGCGCGTGCGCGATGATTACGTTGGCCTCGACCCCTACCTCGCTGCCTACCCGCTCGAAGAAACCCTGTCCACATGGATCTCCCTGACCTCGAAAATCACTCGCGCCACTCTGGCACGTTTGCAACCCACCTGCGAATACATCAGCTCGGCCACCGAGCTCGAAGGCGCGCAGGTCTTGACCAGCCGCCGCAGCGACCGACCCGACCAAGCCGCTGCTGGCACCGAGGAACAACCCGCCACACCCGCTCAATCCATCTTCGAAACCCACAAAGATGCTTGGCGTGACATGCGTCCGGCCTCGACCGTACAGATTCCCTTTGTTCAAGTACCCCGCCGCCTCTTTCCACCTGGAGCCACCCCGGCCCAGGTGACCCAACACAGTCTCGACCGCTCCTACACCCTCCAGCAAGTGCTCACGTCCCACTTTGCCCACGGTCAGTCGCTCACCCGCTCGCTCTCGACTGGGTCTCAACGCGCGCAGACACAGTATTAGCTGCATCGTTTTTGCTTTTTCTTCGTTTTGGTTTCTGTTCTTGTTTCACTCCGGCTTGCCTCACTTTTGGTGGCGAGCCCTGGTAGACCCCAACGAGCTGCTTGCTGAGCTCCAGTATGCCTTTGTCTGCTTCCTTGTGGGCCAAGTATACGAGGCGTTTGAAACTTGGAAGCAGCTCGTCGCGCTTCTCTGCAACTCGGGTCAAGCCATTGCAGATCACCCGCAACTCTACATTGACTTCATGGGTCTGTCACTTGCTTCTTCACACCCCCTGGCTGGAGGCGCTTGCTCGTCCTTCATCAACCGCCGCGCCAATGCCCTCAATGTCTTACCCTGCCCCTCTTGTCATCACAGGCGTCCTGCACTATCAACTCAAAGAAACCCCCAGCGACTTTTTTTTCGATATCGTGGCGAGCAACAATTTTCTAGTGCACGCCCTCGAAGCCTTCTTCGCCCATGCCGAGCACACCGACAACGTGGCCCAGCACGTCCGAACCCACGCACACCAATTCAAAAGGTACGCCTACACGTCCGACCGCCTCAAATCCCACCCCGCGGCCAGAGCCTCAACTGTCGCCGCCATGCATTGACCTCGACCCTCGCCATCATGCAGCTTGTTGTCTGCCTACTACAGTTGGAACTTTGACGACGAGGACGATGGAGATGGGCCCGTAGTTGTAGAAACCTGACCGCCCCCGCCCGTGTGTACTGTGAACCCGCCTCCCACCCTGAATCGACAAAAGAGAGAGTAATGTGTACGCACAGAGACCATGGTGGTGTGCATCGGCGTAACACCAGACCTGAACCATCACACTTCTTTGACGGCTTCCATTCTGATCACGCGGCAAACCGAAACAGTCCAGGCCCATGGCCCATCGCGCCCAAATTCACATCACCACCTTCCGGTTGGACTTAGTGCAAAAAGGTGCGCACAAATTCAATGGCCCGCTGGTCATCTGTTGACCATGGTACACACGCGCGACATTGTCAGCCAGCCGGCGACTTTCTCATGGCCTCACAAATCCGATCACACACTCACCCATGACGCTGTTTCGGTTTCGAACGCTTCCACTCCGTGGACTCTTGAGCAAAATTGGCGCGAACATGGCGGCTAGAAACCCGTCCGCGCAACGCAATGGTTAGCGATACTCTGCTCAGTGAGAGAATGTCTCTGCTAAAGCTCGACACAACCTAGCCAACCGTACCGAAAATGTTGATGACACTCTGCTTCTTCTCGTGGCTCGCGATAATCTCGCGTAGCAATGCCATGACGTACTCAAACGTGTACCGAGAAGGAGCAGGCAATTCAGCGACCAACTAGTTGATCACCACCATCAACCACATCAGTGACAAGACGCAATGATGAGCTTGTCCCTCAACAAGCATGCATAGTGACCCCAGCCTGTACCAAACCAACCTGCTGGCAGAGCATGGGCGCATGGGCGCACTCCATGCACCGCTGATACAGCTGACGAGGGATCACCGGCTCGCTTAAGCTGTTTAACACGTGCAGCAATGTCGTGGCTACGGCCTCAATGGAGATGTCTAGTCGCCAATCACCCACACACACGGTGGCAATGAACACCATTTGCCACGCCGAGTCATTGCACAGCCCGCTCCACAGTAGGCAAATATCACTTTCAAACTGAAACAATGCACATTGGCTCCCGTCCCCAACACTCAATCAACAAACCGGGTGGCAACTCAAGCGTTGTATCCAAGGCCTCAATGATGCTATCCACCTCCTCCGGCTTGCCTTGAATGTAAAACAATGATGTCTACCACCCGCCAAGCTCGTTAAACACCACAGCGCCTGCGGGTACCAAAAGACAAAACCCCATCCCAGGATTGCCAAAAGCGCGACACTCATAACAAGCCAGTAGGCAGAGCGTACGTTATTCAAGCCGTCCTTTAACAAACGATTGACGAGCAGCCAAATTTCCTTGGGCACGTGCATGCCCGCCTCCTTTCGCACAATGGGCTCAAGTGGATGCTGCCGTGCAGGAACGTTGAGATATGTCAAATCCTCCAGCGTGCGCGCCAAAAACGTCGGCACATAGGTGCCCCCGATGGTAATGAAAAAGTCTTTCCCATTCTTAACGCGCAGAATGAGGATGACGTGGATCGCATCCTGATAGGACAAAACAGATCCAGCGCAACAGTGTGATCAAACTAGATCCAAATTTACAGACGACGCCACATGTGCCAAACAGGCCTTTTGTGATACCCGCCCTTCCTCTATGACGGACCTTGCCCACGTTCAGGTCGGCTGCGGCATCCACGCTGATTCGGACGGTAAATCGTAACTTGGCCTACGGTGTTGGAGTTTGGTCCTGGTCAATATTTTGCTCAAGTGCTCGAGCTGGGTAAGCCACAACTCGCAAAAACTTTGCACACCTCTTGCCCTTGAAGAATAACATTGGCACCGCCATCCACGAGTAGCCACTTTGGTAAAGTGCCTGTTTCGAGATGATCTGTCACAATGTCAAAGCTGGCAGCCACCTGCGCTTGCATTTGCGATTCGAAACAAGAGCCATGACGCGGTTGTAATATTGGTGTGAGTCTCGAGAAAATTATGTGCCTGGCCGTTTTTGAAGCACGCACCGGCCCGGTGTTGCGAATTGTCAAGGACTGAGACTTGTTGAATCCAAATTTGCACTCGCCAAAGTCAAACTAATAAGCACCGTGGGTGTGAGCAGCCATGACAGCCGATCAAATGGCCTTATTCACCACGCAAACACAATCGCGTGGGTGGACGGATCACAGCAGACATGACAGCACATGCGCAAACCTGTTGGGTATCCACTTCGATCGTGGGCATGGTTGAATTTTCAAGGGCGTCCAGTTGGCGCAATACTGAAACGTAAATTTCTCGATACTTGTCTGCAATGACCGAGGCCACCTGCAAAAGATACCAGAGTTGCAAGAAAGGCGTTGAGCAGGCTGCTACACCTCAACGAACTTGATGGCGTCAGGATGGTGCCAAACCTGAATCAGAAAGCGCGCGCGAACGGGCTTATGGTCCGAGACGCGCAGCTCAGGCACGGAAGTGTACTCAATGTTAGCCACCTATGACCACGGCCAGACGCACGTGAAGAACCGGACACGCCGCACTGGGCCAACAAACTGCAACCCTCACGACTGCAGGACAACAACCATGCAGCAAGACGTGACCATCTCACCTTGTTGACGGAGGAGCGCTGCCCCTCATCGGGCTCATAGTAGAGGATTCGGTCCGTGTACGAAGGCGTGCGTTGTTTCTCACTGGATTCCACGAGCAGAGCAGTCAGTCAAGAGGCCAGAGCCGTTTCTTCGACCCAAGGCCGGAAGTCATAGCATGTCATTGGATATGGACACCCACAGAACGGTTGTGACCAGCCCACCTGGTGTCCCATGTGTCCGTGCCAGGATCAAACTTGTAGGTTGGCATGAATTCAATCGGTGGCTCTTTGAACCTCACAAAGGCAAGACCTGCAGTCTGTTGAGCCTTGAGCTGGTCGTTCTTGATGAGCTCTTCCATATTTTGCTGCTCCACCCACTGACGCACGCTGGCATCTGTTGTGTCCGACACGATTAAAACATTAACAAGAAAACACGAAACAACTCGACACAACTCGACACAACTCGACACAACTCGACACAACCTCGCGATGGGTCGTGCAGGGTCAAGCCGAAGAAAGGTTTACAAGCATCGGCAATACTCGACATACATGGGGCATCGATGCGGTAGTTGAGGTCACCCAACCAAAACAAATAATCGTGCTCTGCCGCCATACCAACACGCAAGCGAAACCACACATGAGGTCTCGACCATGACGCACAAAAACGCTTACGCGTTTCCACCCCTTTGCAAGCAACCTGTTCTCGCATTCAGCAGACTTACCCTGTAAACTGCGGATGCCTGGCCCCATGCGTTCAAAGCCAAGCCGACGGATGACCTCATGATGGTCCTGTGGGACGGCTCAATGACAGATTGTGGCCAGCGCCATAAGCAACTGTGCCATGCCACCAATCCTGCGCGAACAAAGTCAGTGGCGCATACGTGCCTGATTGCGGCGAGCGACCGCATCGTCGTGGGCCGCCAAATGTGTGGCAACAAAACAAATGTCAGTGTCTTTGATCGTCAAACTAATAGCAACACCACCCTTGTTGCCCTAGGGACAGCAACAAACCGGCGAACCGTGGATCAGACCGCGTACAGACGAGTTGATCAAAGGCCTTGACCTTGGATTGACCAATTTGAGAAAAAGCCGTACCAAAACGCCCATTACGCCGCATCCCACGGCATCAGAATGAAGACGAGTAATGTAAGGCGTCCAACGAGCTTTCACAAACACGACGATGAGCATGCCCACAAGCTGGCGTGACTTGAGCTACGTTGCCCGAGCAGATGAGTTGCCCAATATGAAACGATGAGATGGAGAGCGTGGAAGGAAAACAAAAAGTTGTATCACGGAGAGTTCGCCACCAAGCACATGGTGCGCATGCTGTCAACATGAAAGCATGAAACCAACCCGAACGTAGCGCTCGGAACGGGGCAGTGCCTTGGCCAGCGCCTCTGACCATTCCTATGAGCCACATGCTTAATGAGTGACACTAGGTATGCCGCTTCAAGTGCCTTTTGCACCAACCTCCTCGCGCTTGGTGTCTGAAAACACGAAGGCTTCTTTGCTCAAATCCAACTCTTGGAACCTATGATTGTGGGTAGAGCATGGCACCACACGGTCGACCGTGTGAGGCATTGCTGCGGGCGACAGCGTGTCCAAAGGCAAACCGATACCGACCCAAACACGTAGAGATCGGCAGGGTCGTCCTGGGCTACCCAGGGTGAGAGGTCAACAGGCCCATGTTCGTCAACGGGACGACGCCCATTCACGTTGTAAGTGCCTGAGAGGAGGTACCACCAGCGGTGCAGCTTTAGGTTGAGCACTTTATGGACGGCATAGTATGGCAGGCACAGTCGGCAGATAGCCCACAGAAACGACATACCAATGGCGACCGACAACGGCTCGGTCTGTGTAAACTCTGACTCTCTGGTCTGCATCTGCTTGCGAATCCACGCTTCCTTCCAGGATTGGATCTTGGTATCGCTCAAGGACAGGCCGCGCTGTGCGGCAAAGGAGAGCCGATCGTCCTCAGCCACGGCTGTTGTCGCCTCGGCTTCCTCCCCTTCGGGGTCATCCTCGTCCAGTGATACTGTCATGGAACATGCACGATCGCGCGATGGTGTCGGGGTCAACGGTGTTGGAGCTGAGCAGGCGGCCCAGGATTGGTGCGATATGACCTTACGCAAAACAGAACGGTGCCAGTTGGCATTGATGCTGGACGACGCCCGACGATTGAAGCGTCGGCAAATGCTGTTGTACAGCCAGACGTGGGTGTTGTCGCCAGCGACTTGGCCTTGTTTGGCTGTGCGCACGTGGGGACGTGAGACGGGTTTTACGAGGGACCATCAGGTCGAGGGGAGCCAGCCAATGCAGTGACGCGGGTACCTTGGGCAAATGCTTCGACTAGCCGGTCCACCATGGGACGGTGCTCCAGCGCAAATCGGTACAGCTTCTGCTGAATCAACCGAATGCCCCCTTGGAGTGTGTTATGTGCAAAGCGAGGTGTCGTTGCCAAGGACATGATCAGTTTATTCGGACGAACAACGACGCCTGGCTTTGCATTGATGCGATACGAACCAGGTTGGATGGTCTGGCCCGAGATGGTCAACAATGCCTCGCTTGCGGAATGCTCTGGGCGCCGTCAAATTGAGCATGTCAGTGCAGAGCCTGACTCGGGATTGGGGTGCCAGGTGGCGCTCTAGATTTACCTTCGATTTCGATCGTCGACTCACAGCCGATAGCAAGGCCATAGTCCAGCTACAACCACCAGGGATTATGCGAGGCGCGGCGTTCGTCTTTCCTAGGCGACTTAAAACATGCGATGTGGAGTGGGCTCGCCGTGTCTGGGTTGAGCTAGGCGTACCGTTGGGCGGATGGTTTCCGGCATGACTGCATCACCATCCAAAATGCCAACGTACAAGCCATATTCAATGGTGCCCCCTCTGTGTGTTTACGTGGGTGTGTGAGCGCGTGCACAGACGTGGGTGTGCGGCGTTGGTTCGGCATGAGATTCGATGCACCGAATATCCACAAGAGCTTTTTTTGCAGTGGCGTCTGCCTGCCGCACAATTGCAGAGGGGCGGGCCCAAACTCACGTGCTACGCAAAAGCTCGATGCTGCGAAACGTGTCGTTGTGACCAATCTCTTGGCAGGGCACGAGCGCCAGTGAGTCGGCCTATCGACAGCGAGCAAGGCAGCGATACACAGCCTCGATGAGCTGGGCGTGGGAGGCAGGGTCGAGTCGGCCCTCGAGTGTCAGCACAGGGGTTTAACAGCTTACAAGATCGGTCAGAGATGCCGCAGATGTGGAACTGCCATGGGATGACGCGAGCGCCATCCCACTAGTTGCAACTGCCGCTACTCCGCCGTTCTCACTGAAGCTAGACTGTAGCCCTGTGGTCGTCACCGAGCCGTCGACATCCAACGACGCTAGCCTCTGTGTTTGAAGCGTCCACGGGAGTTTACAATTGAGCACCCCCGCACTTCTTTCCTCGCCCTTAACCTCAGCTCTCCCTCGGGTTGGACACCGGGTTGGACAGCCACTGGCAACGGCGTCGCTCCCACCTTTCAATCCCGCGCGAAGCGAGAAGTGGTGTTGTGTCCGTTCGTGTCGGACGCTGGAAATGCTCAACTGGCGCGGCTGAAAATGTCAGCGAAATTTTGTCTCACTGCCATTTTTTCGGGGTTTTTGGTTGAATTTCCATCAAATTTGTTTCAATTTCTCGATTCATTTGGATGTGAGTGCGCGATGTTGTGGAGCGAGTCCGCTCTGCTATGGGTTTGTCTGTTGAGAAGTCCAACACCTGCATGGCTCTGGTTCTGGATCGATGACGGTCATACACGATTCGAGCAAAAACATTCAACAGGCAGTCAATTATTGTAATGTTAAAAAGTATGTTCTTATCGAGAGTTAAGATAAAAAAAAATCGAATCATTGATGAAGCGGATGCACCTGATCGAGAACTTCTCAAGATCTTGGTCTTTCGTTTAAAGCGAGCACACGGACACAAAGAGGATTGACAGCGCCGCGCAGATAACCTGTACAACGCCATACACACACTGTTGGCAGCGATCACTCTCAAGGACGCGGGGGGCGGGGACAAAAAACAAGCAAACAAGCACCCAAAAGAGAATACGTTTTGATCACGAGGTCACATTTGGGCGTTGTCCAAGTTGTTTCCAGTAGTTGTCAACCTCGACACCCTCCCACGTCTCTTTTCCATGCAAAGACCTAGGTCGAGCCGTTGAGCGCATGAGTACACGAGCACAGCGCGTGTAGTAAGCAAAACGGCGCAGCACACCGCGTGCAGCCTGATCCACGCACCCAAACACGCCAGTGCACAGCTCATCCAGCGTGCTAGTCTCGACCGGCGCCAACCCGTGAAGGCACACGTCCAAGTTGGCCTACCAACACAGGCCGGGTTCAGCACACACGAGGCGAGCGTCACTGAGTGGCCAAAAGCGCGTGCGCAGGCTTTACCTCCAGCTGCGCCAAGTGGGCCGTGGATACCAGCGTTGTGGCGATTCGGGGATTGGACAGACTGTAGTGTAAGGCCAACCGACTCAAGTTGACACCACGACTCTACAACGAATCAACCCGATTGCCGCAAAGTGAGGCTAGAGAAAGCATGCACAGCGCGCTCCAGCCCCAGGCCGGCGGTGTCATACCTGGCACAAAGCCAACGCGTCCTGACACGCGGCCTTGATGGCCGGCCCTGCCGGATGCCAGCTTGGTGGCCCGTCGGTGCTTAGTAGGCCCATCGAGAGGGCCTATATATATATTATGGCAAAGGCACGCCGAACAAGCGCAAGGATAGACGGGTTGATCGAGGGACAACAAGAAGAGAGATCAGAGTGATCGAGATTGAGAGAGAGAGAGAGCGAAGTAGAAAGAGGTGTTCAAGTCGAGCTCGGGCACGGGGTCGTGCTCAAATGACCTACGCTGGCATTGATCACGTCAATGTCGTGGGCAGCGTAAAAGTCCAAATGTTCCAGTAGCGTTGAATCATTGAGGGTATAGTGGCAATACGTCAAAGCCGTATCAATGCGCACAGGGCTGTGTTCGACCAGATAATGGTGCACATCCAGAGGATAACCTAGGGTAGACGCCCGCCATGCCCCGTCGGTGAGCATTCTGTTGTGCCAGGGGTTAGTCAAGTCGAGCACCACAAAATTGTTGTTGAGGCCTACCCGTGATGCCAATGTGGCGGATCTTGCCGGCCTCCTTGGCCTTGAGCAGAGCAGGAAGTGTCTCAGAGCAGATCAAATCAAGCGAGGGCGCAAATTCGGGATCATGCACCTACGATAGCAAGGGCAGATCAACACAAGAGGCCGCCCCGCATTTCGAGGCCGTGAGCTGATCCCCGGTACACCAGCCCTGGTGTCACGAGGCAAACATTTACCCAGCTAAGGGCCAGCGTGGACCATACCTGCCCAACATCCAAATAGGCCACGCCAAGGCGCTCAAGGGACTCGTCGATGCTAGCAAGGACGCGCTCGGCGCGAAAGTCAAACATCTCCTGCACGTTGGGCTTGTATCGTCCCACCTTGCTCATGAGGTAGAAGCTGTCGCGGGGTAGGTGGGGCAAAGTCTGTCCCAGGACCCTCTCGCTCTTGCCGTGACCATACCAAGGTGCCGTATCGACCAGATTAATGCCTGAGTCAGGCTCGAACAGAATGGTGACTCTGAGATCGGATGTCGCACGGTACAGCTGTCAAGACATTGCTTTAGCATTCACTGATGCAAACAAGTACCTCGCTGTATGGCGGAGCGAATGACAGCCGCACTCTCCGTATCAGAGGTGTCTCCAAACACGGAACCAAATGCCGATCCACCCAGAGCCAGTGGCGCCACTGTCCACCCGGTGTGGCTCAGCTGCCTGTCATGTCCATGTCCATGACAGCAAACGACATCAGATCCGTACTCTGAGACTCTCTGCCAGTCAAGCACCTTTCATGCCCTTTCTCGCGCGATACGACCCAGACCTACCGATACGGCATCTTCTTCACGGCCTCCTCATCATGGAAGCCCTCCACAAAGGTCGCTGGTCGCCCGGGCTGCATCGCCATGTCCACAACTCGATCCCCAAGTACAAATTGTCTGACAAAACCGCAGGAAGACGATTCGATGTTCTCCGTCTTACATCCGGATGTACATATTAAACGGATCTGCTCTGGGCATACGCGGCCTCCCTTCCTGAGTTTTGTTGGACTGGGTTGAACTTGGGCTGCGTAGCTGTGAACTCAAACGGAAAAAAAAACGCACAGCGCAGCACAAGTCATCTCACACACACATCAATTTTAACTTCCTGGGATGAAGATGTTGCCCTGTAAGTCCGTGCAGCGATTTTGCAAATCTGCATCGGAGGGCCGGTACCTCGCGCTTCGTTATGCTTATATGAACATGTGGCATTTGACAGTGTCGTCCTTTAAAATCGAAAACGAGCGCATCCTGTTCGATGGCCATCAAGTCCACGAGCCCGCCTGCTGTTATCCCAAAAGGTTCTGACTAAAGAGGCGTCGAGGGGACTTGTCTGCCTCAGCACTGCGGGGAAGATAAATGCGCACTTTGGGCAGGATGCGAGGGTGCTCAGCATGCACCCGGGCCATTTGACAGAGCGTGCTCCAGCGTGGCGCATGGGACGGTGTGAGGAAGCGCGGCGGTTGGGCTTGTGCTCCATGCTGAGTGGTGTATGACTGAATTTCACGCAAGAGCTGGTCTTCGCAGAGCATGATGCGAATCTTGGTCTGGGGCACTTGAGGGCCACGCTCACAGGTAAACGCCATGATGAGGGTGACGCAATGAGTGGCATTGCCTGCCACGCGATGAAGTGCGCCTTGGCCGAATCGGCAGGCGACTGCATTTTGAGCAGCCTTCATGATGGGGGTGTAGAGCTGCTTTCGCTCGCTGTCCTCCATGCCTGGGTCAGCAAACATCAGGCAATCGTCCTCCGTTGTCTGAGCGGCCGCCTCCAGGACGTAGTCGTTGACTAGTGGGTTATTGTAGGTCATCTCCGTCAGATTCTGTTCAAGCAGGGTGGAGAAGTAAAGGGTGCGCTCGCCACGGGGATGCTCAAACCAGTTGAGGGAGAAGTTGATGCATTTGTAAAACTCGAGGCGGGCAAAAGCCATTTTGCGTTTGCGATCGGCATATACGCTGAGCAGATATGCGGGTATGGCAGCGACGGTGGCCAAGATGGCGTCGGGCAAGTGTTCAGCAGCAAAGTGGAGAATGCCGTGCTTCTGATAACCCTCGGAAGCCAAATTGAAGTGCACCATGGTTTCCATGGCAAGGATCAAGGCGATGCCAGATAACACCAGCCCCACCAGAATGAAGAACCAATCTGTCAAATGTTGGGCACAGCATGGGACACAGAAGCAGGCAACATGTGTGTGAGCTATGCAAGCACACCAATTTGTCAAAGCAGTATGTATCGGTGCTTCCATGAATCTATGGCTTAATATGGCGCTGATGTGGATGCCTGAGCTGTGGCGAGGCTAGCGAATGACAAAGGGATGTGCGGGGAAATGACGCACATTCATAGTCCATGGCATAGTCCTCCAAGAAGCTGCGTACGGCTCGCCACCAGCCACGCCGCCGGCGAGCCCGGGGCGAGGGGGTAGCGCTTAGTTGCGCAGGAGGTGGAGACACGGGCGTGGGCGTGGGCGAGGGTGTGGTGGCCGGTAAAGTTGCGGGTTTGCGCGGGGTGCTAGTGATGGGTGCCGAGAGTGGTACAGGTGGGGATGCCGCTTCTTCTTGTTGAAGCGGGCTAGCTTCAATCGGGCTAGGTTCCCTCTTTCGTGTGGGCGTGTGATTCACGCGCACGCGCGGGGATCGTCCAATCACAACAGGGGGATCATGAGCACGTCGCTCCTCCTCTAGGCTGGTGATGGCGCGTGTTCGACGTCGTGTCACGCGCTGCTCTTCCATGTTGCCGACTAATGCAAAACGATAGTCGCTTATATGCTAGCATCTGACTTGATATTGGGCCAGATGAGCATGTGCGCTGCCAAGCCTCGAGAGCCCAGAGCGCGACGAAAAAAAAAAAAAAAAGGTGATGGCCTTTGCGCCAACAAACTGTAAGCCCGATTCCTGGTTTTAAAAGTTGGCGGGCTTAACATGTAACGCGTCAGTTTAACGTGTTTCAATCCACACCCTTAACCACCTTGTCATCGTTTTCTTTCGCACACAATCGCACAGAGACACAGACAGAGACAGAGAGTCTTCTGTTCTTTTGTTCATTTCTTTTGTCTCCCTCTGTCTTTCTCTCTGTCTCTCTTTGTGTTGTTGTGCTGTTGTGTGCACAGTGGGTCCTGTCGTTATTTCTTCTCTCGGCGGCTTCAAAAGGTGAGCGGCCCTCGAGGGGGGAGGGGTCAACAGGGCAAATGGGGGTGATGCGTTGAGGGGGGATGGGCGACTCTTGAGGAGGTTGAAGCGGTGGGATGGAGGTGGCTTGGTGATGGATTCAGCTAGCCGCGGGGTGTCTAGGTGGCTCTGGAGTTTTGAAACGAGGGCTGCCATCTTTGTGTTGTTTTGCTGCTGCTCAGGTTTCCTTGCCGACCAACGCCGGGCCCTTGTGTCTCACCTGGGGTCCCTCTTTTGTAGTCAGAGTACAGTGTTATAAACTGCAACCGTCATCATGAAGATTGAGGAAGTGCAGTCCACGACCAAGACGCAGCGCGTCTCCCATCACAGTCACGTCAAGGGCCTTGGTATCGGAGAAGATGGCAAGGTGCGTCTGTCGGCCGTCAATGGAATCAGATTCGCGTCGGGTTCCGGGTTCTTGCTCACACGCGCTTATGTGTTGCTAGGCGTTGCCTGTGGCCGCTGGTCTGGTGGGCCAGGACAAGGCCCGTGAGGTATGTTGTGCCACAGCTGCTCATGCCGTGAGTCAGCGCTCACCACTTTGAGACTCATCTCGTTCTGTTTGCCGGGGAATTTAGGCGGCATCCATTGTGGTCGATCTGATCAAGGCCAAGAAAATGGCCGGTCGCGCCATGCTCTTTGCCGGTCCGCCAGGCACGGGCAAGGTGCGAGACATCATCGTGGCGTTGACCTTATTCTGGTGGCTTTTGTCAGAGTTTGCTTGCTGCCTTTTTTTTTCCTTGATCCTGCATTGACCCGGTGTTCTTTCCATCCGATGTCAATTCACGTGTTGTTTAGACGGCTCTTGCTCTGGCCATTAGCGCCGAGCTCGGACCCAAGGTGCGATATCCGAGCATGCCTGCTCGCTTTGCCTGAGCTGGGCGGGCACGTACGTCGTGTTTTCGTACGGTCGCTGATATCTGCTCGTGTGTGTGTGTGTGTACATCCACACGTAGGTGCCGTTTTGCCCCATGGTTGGTAGCGAGGTCTACTCGGCTGAAGTCAAGCCCACTGGTGCGTATTTTGACAGTGGATTGGAGAAAAAATATCGACATTTCCCTCGCGAGCTATCTCACTTGCTTGACTTGCTGTTTTTGTTCCCTGCTCAACAGAGGTTTTGATGGAGAACTTTCGTCGTGCCATTGGCTTGCGCATCAAGGAAGTGAAGGAAGTGTACGAGGGCGAGGTGGGTTGCTCAGCGCTTTGCCTGCCGTGTGCTTCCAGGTGTTACACCCTTTTGGCTTTGATGCAGTCTTACTTGTTTGCCGATCGATGGTGACGGCAGGTGACGGAGCTTACACCAGCCGAGCAGGAGAACCCCGTCGGTGGTTATGGCAAGACAGTGACGCACGTGGTGATTGGTCTGAAGACGACCAAGGGCACCAAGCAGCTCAAGCTGGACCCAACCATCTACGAAAGCTTGCAGAAGGAGAAGGTTGAAGTGGGTGACGTCATTTACATTGAGGCCAACAGCGGCGCTGTGAAGCGTCTGGGTCGCTCAGACAACTTTGCGACCGAGTTTGACCTCGAGGTACGTGCGTGCAACTGATGCTATGCAAAGTGCTTTGCAGCAGAAAAAAGAAACTCTATTTGGATCCGTGTAACAAGTCTCGGGGACACAGGATGCTTCTTTTCTGATCATTTTGGCACCCTATTTCGTCCGCTCGATAGGCGGAGGAGTACCTGCCGTTGCCCAAGGGGGATGTGCACAAGAAGAAGGAGATTGTGCAAGACGTGACGCTGCACGATCTGGATGTGGCCAACGCGCGGCCGCAGGGCGGCCAAGACATCGTCAGCATGATGGGCACGCTCATGAAGCCCAAGAAGACAGAAATCACGGAGAAGCTGCGCAAGGAGATTAACAAGGTTGTCAACAAGTATATTGACCAAGGCACCGCCGAGCTGGTTCCTGGCGTCCTTTTTGTTGATGAGGTGGGTTTTTGCTTTTGACTCTCAATATGCCGGCGAGAAGGCGAAGTGATGATTGTCAGGGGTTTAAAAGCCACCAAAAGATTTTGGTTGGGGGAGTCGGAGGCACAGGTGTCGACTTCATGCCAAGAGGCATCAAGGGCCCCTTTTCTTGCACTCAATCACTCGTTGCCCTTTTTCAATGCAGGTGCACATGTTGAACTTGGAGTGTTTTACCTATCTTAACCGGGCGCTCGAGTCGACGTTGTCACCCATTGTCATTTTTGCCACCAATCGTGGTCATTGCACAATCCGCGGCACAGACATCCTGTCACCGCACGGCATGCCGCTTGATCTCTTGGATCGCGTCATGATCATCAAGCTCATGCCCTACGGCCAGGAAGACATGAAGCAAATTTTGAAGATTCGTGCTGAAGTTGAGGGTATCACTGCTGATGACGAGGCCCTAAACGAGCTTGCTGCCATTGGCGTTGCCACGACACTGCGGTCCGTCATCTTTGCCCGTTGACATGCGTTTCGACCAGGGGCTGCTGCAGCTTGCCGAGGTGACAGTGCGGATCAGATATGCCCGGCCCACTCGCTCATGACACGGATATGACTCAACTGCTTTTAGGTATTCGGTGCAGCTGTTGACGCCCAGTTTCTTGCTCGCCCGCATCAACGGTACGTTTGGCTTGTTGCATGCAGCGACAAGACCTGTTCAACTGGCGGCGTGCTTATGGGTCTGGGCGGTGGGCTGGTGTAGGTCGCGACGCGTTGTCCAAGGCCGATATTGCGGAAACCCACGTTCTCTTCAAGGATGCCAAGGCCTCGGCACAGATCCTGATGGAAAAGGGAGCCAAGTTCCTTCTCTAAGTCTGTTTCATGTCCTCATGCTCCGTCGTGCTTCACATGTCAAGAGCAAATCAGAAATAAACTTGAAAAAAAAAAATTCATCGAGAAAATAAAATCTGACAAACCACACTGATTGACAAGTGGTAGCATCAAGTGGCAGAAGCGAACGTGTGCTGGAGAGAGAGAGAGAGAGAGAGAGAGAGGGGAAGCTTGACGAGTAGTTTTGACTCTTGGGCGAGCAGCAGGTTGGTCTGGAGGAACAAACGGCAGCCCGTGTGTAGTGGCACTGGAGCCAACATTGGTATCGTGATATGTGTGTGGTGTGCATTTGTGAGTGAGGATGGTTGGAGCAACAGATTTGGACCACCAGAACAGAGGCGAGAACACCCTGAAGTGTCCTTAACAGATTGATTTTTCGGCTTTTTCGAGTGTGCGCGCATGTGTGAATGAGCGTGTTAGCGCGGCCACGAACCACGATGTGCAGATGACTGATTGCTTGGCACTGCCTTTTGCTGTGCCCGCTTTAGATCTAGTCAAGGCCCACATCCCTCGATTCTCGATTGCCTTCTCAACCAGCACGATGGTTCGTTTCTGCCCGGGGAATGGTGCATCAGGCAGGCGCAGGCAGGGTCACTGAGGATGTTTGCCTGGTCATGGCCTCACAATGCCACATGCTAGGCGTACGATTACGATCCCCGTGGCCAGGATTTCAATGTGGCCTTTCAAGCGGACAGCGAGTGGGTCGATGCACAGTGCCGTTCTCAGTCGCGTTGGGCCATGTCTTCGGAACATAAACTTACGAATGCTTGCCTTGGGTCCCCATCTCTCTCTCGTTCATCAGCTTTGGTGCAAGCAACGTGCGAGGCAACTTCAGCGACACCAAGCCCCGGATATTGCTCATGGGCCAAAAGCGGTAAGGTTCAGGACAAGGTCTTGGCCCGCAAGCAGGAGTTTCTGCTAGACCGCCATCTGTCTGTTCATGGCGGCAATTGTGTTGAAGTTCCAGCATGTGGCCAGCCTTTCATGTCCCCTCTTTGCTTTTTTCTTGCCCTGCTCGCATAGGTCGGGCAAGTCATCCATCCAGCAAGTTGTCTTTCACAAGATGTCTCCGAACGAAACCCTGTTCCTTGAGACCACCAACCATGTGGTGAAGGACGGTGCGTGACCACCATAACCGGCTGCTCGCCCTTCAATTGGCCTTTGAATTGGATCCTGACCCCAACGATCAGGATGCCACGATCATCCTCCATCTCACCTGGTCAATGCTGGGTCTGGTTGTACCGTATCAATAGAGATTTCCAACAGTTCGTTTGTCCAGTTTCAGGTGCGGCTTGGTTGTTCAAGCTGCGAGACGTCCATCTGCGGACTCTCAATGCTTGCTTGCGTGTATCTGGCTTTTTTTGGAGGCTTGGCGTGACTCATTTATTGACTTGGCCGACGCTGCTTTCGCGCAGATTTGGGATTTCCCTGGCCAGATTGACTTCTTTGACCCAGCTTTTGATGCTGAAGTCATCTTTGGTGGCTGCGGAGCACTTGTCTTTGTTATCGATGCTCAGGTCCGTTCTTTCATCCTTACCGTCCATGGCCACCGTCCATGCCAGATTGTTGCCTCTCTGGTTGGCTCTCAATGACTGGCCTCTGTTGATCACCCATGCTCTGATACTCAGGACGAGTACATCGAGCCACTTGCGCGCCTGCACCAAACAGTGGTGCGGGCCCACCAGGTACGCAAGGTGCTTGTGCGTTGGGCCAAAGTTTGCGTCGCCATCTGTGTCTAGCTCATTTCACTCTGATGCACAGATCAACAAGGACATGTCCTTTGAGGTCTTCATTCACAAAGTTGATGGCCTGAGCGACGACAACAAGATTGACGTTACTCGCGACATCCACGAACGTGTCAAGGAAGAGCTGGAACATGATGGCTTGGAGGATGAAATCCACATGAGGTGGGGGCTCTTGACAGCACCTTCTTCTTGCCACGCAGGATTTCCGATTGTGTCCCATCTCGCCCTTGTTGCTTTCCATCCTACACTCCCTTTGGCCCCAGCCCCTTGTTTTCGAATCCCGATCGCTCACAGTGTCCGCGGGCGTCACAACAAAGCTCACAATTGTGTGATTTTTTTGCCAATAGCTTTTACTTGACCAGCATCTATGACCACTCTATCTTTGAGGCCTTTAGCAAGGTGGTTCAAAAGTTGATCCCCCAGCTGCCCATGCTCGAGAACCTCCTCAACACCCTCAACAACAAGTGTGGCATTGAGAAATCGTTCCTGTTCGACGTTGTTAGCAAAATTTACATTGCGACCGACAGGTAAGACCTGTATTCTTAGCGTTACACCCTGTGGTTGCCCACGGTCATGTCCTTTGCACTTAGCCCGAAGGAAACAAAAAAAACGTCACATCTCATTGTGTGGCCTGCTTGGGCGTGGCTAGCACACCCGTGGATATGAAGTCGTATGAGTTGTGTTCAGACATTATTGACGTGGTCATTGACGTGTCTTGCATTTACGGGTGCGTACCTGGCGGACAGCTGGTTTCTATGCCTGCTGCTCCTTGTACTCGATGAGGTTCAGTCCGTCCCTCATCTTGACATTTCCTTTTTTTCTCTTTGGATCGGTGCTCCAGCACGGGCGATGATGGGACCGCAAGTGCATACGACGTCAAGTCTAGCTCCGTCATCAAACTCAGCAACGGCAACGTTCTATACTTGCGTGAAGTAAACAAGTGCGTGGGCAGAGCTTGCAGGGACTCTTTGCATGGGTACATAAAACAGGAAGGGTAGCGGCTCGCATGGAAGGTGGCCGAGACCAGGATTGGATTATAGCCGAGATGTTCTTCAAGGTCCTCGAGCTGCGCCCTCCGTTTCACTGACCGTTGTGCACTTGTAGATATCTGGCGCTGGTCTGCCTGGTGTCCAAGGACCCGGCAGAGAAGCAAGGGATCCTCGACTACAACTTCCACTGCTTTCGCGATGCCATTCAGCAGGTTTTCAAGGTTCACCAGCGCGCCATTGAGAGCCGCCAATAGAGCCCTTGTCCCGCTTGCTGGTGTCTCCTCGTTGGTGTCAAGTGTTTTTGTTCTTTCAAGGTAAAAAAATTGAACCTAGTCAGCTGACCCCGTATGCCTCGGCGCATTGCGCAGCCACTGCCACTCTGGAGGAAAGTCAGCTTCTTGGTCACCTTGGTGCCATCGGCGAGCCCACACATCCTGATCAACAACCATCGCATGCCCGAAATCAAGATTTAGCGATGTCGTTAGAAATCTGACATTTGATCCGCTCGCGCGGCTCGGTCCGATTGCTGTGTGGTTTTTTTTTTTCTCTCTCTCTCTGTCTCTCTCTCTCGTTTTTTTTTTTTTTTTTTTTCAAAAGTTGAGGGCTTGAATGGTTTAGAGACAGAATGGCAGAGACGAGAGGCGACGCGCAGCGCGACGGCGGGTGCTGAGAGGGCGGTGACAATAACGTGGACAGCTTGGCGGAACTACCGTTGTCTGCTTCACTTGGAGTGTTTCAAGGCTTTGAGGATCCGGGCTGGGATTCTCTGTGATTTCCCAGTTCAACTCCAGCGCTCTCCGCCGCCATGTTGTTGAGCTGTATCCTGCTTCGATGGTGCCGCCACCTGCTCGACCATCGGGGTGCTACAACGGACGCCAGCGCTGATTCCAATGAGTGCGCGCACAGCTTGCGGGTCGACCCTATCCAAGTGTCTGCGGCCCCTGTTTCACTTCTTCTTGCGCTGTTCCCTGGACATTCACTCTTGTAGGCTATCGCTGGTCGAGTTTTTGCTTCACCAACGTCGTCTGATGCTGCTGGCCAAGACCCTCAGCGAGAGCAAACCGACTCGGCTCAAGGCGCGCTTGGTCAGTGACATAGGCGACACACAATGCGGGTTGTGTGGAAAGAGTGGGATGGACGGGTAGAATCAGACTATCTGGGTTGCCGTGCGTAGACTCACATGCCTTTGCTCGTTCACAATCCAACCTGGGTTCCATGTCCACTTGTCGGCGTACCGCCGCGGCCTCCGTTGCATCGCACCAACTCGCCACAGACACAAGAGGAGGATCGTGATCAAGCCTATCTTTTGTTCAAAATCGATGGTCTCTTGCTGCCTGAGCTGCGGCACCCCATTGTGGATGAGCCCACGCTCACGGCCGTCCTCTTCAAGGTGATCACCCATTATGAGCTCTATCAGAATCACCACCGCCTGCGTTTGGCCATTGAGCCCATGCGCAGCGGACCAGAGAAGCTCATCCTGGCCTGGATTCAAACCTTGGCCCCAGATTCGCCCCTAGCACAGGTTCGCCTCGCTGGTAACGCCGTCTGACACCCTGTTGGTGCCGTGGGCGGTATCCGTCAAGCTGCCTCTCGCATGCACTGCTCTCATCAGCCACCATGCTCAAATACTTTGCACGTCTCGCACTTGAAATCTTCAGGCTGATAACCTGACTACAGCTTGGCGTGATGGTCACTTGTTTGAGGAATTTCTCCGTGTGGCCCTGCATGTCATCGAGGGCGGCCCAGGCGCCGATTCACCCGCGGCGCGTTTGCAATTTTGCTTTGATGTCCTTGCCTCCCATTTGGACATGCCCTTGCTGCTTGCTCCAACGGAAGTAGCCTCGCCGGCTTGTGACAACCTCAGGTTTGATGCCGCCCTTTGTCTTAATAGCCCCAGCCCACACGCGACTTCCACGCAGCCATGTTCTTGAGTCCTCGGCCTATCCGTACCCATCTCATGCTCGATCTCTTCATTCGACGGCCTTTGCTCTGTTCGTTTTGATTGGATTGGCCTGTTTAGTATGGTGGTGTTCTGGAGCGTCCTTCGGTCTCGCGTCCTGCTGCCTTTTGAGATTATCCGTGTTGACAATGGCCAGGACATTCACATTGTGGATACGCCACTTTTACAACACATCCGAGGCCTATCAAGCGTAGACGCGGAGAACGACCGACCTCCCTCAGCCGATAGCCGGCCCAGTACCCCATCGGGATCTCGCGACGCCATCTCCACCTCCTCATCACGGTCCAGCGATCGCTCACAGGCGTACGTCCTCACCTTTTTTTTATTGTTATTATTATATTGGTCCTTTCGCAGCGCTCTGTCATGATGGCGATGAGAACCGCTGCTCCTTCCGTTTGGCTCACGTCGCAGATCTTGCTTCTCGCCTGTCTTACACGCCTACTAGGCAACCTACGGCACCCACCAGTACATCGCAACGTCGTGGGCTAGTCAACGCATTGCTTTCCCCTCCGCGTGCCCTGCGAAGACAGGGGCGCCGTCGGACAACCATCAGCATGGAAAGCACCGATGATGACAGTGCAGAGCGCAAGCTGCTACCGCGTCCCCCGAGCGCCGACTCGTCCCAGGCCCGCGATCACCGTCTACAAATGTTTCATAATCTCAACTCTTCTTCTTCGCCACACTTGCCAGCCATGGCGCAACCGCGAAGAATATCGTCACCGCAGCTGCCACAGCGGCGCTCGCTGACCGATGTTCACCACCCCGTCTTGCAGCATGCCAACTCCGACTCGGCAGCTCTGGCTCCTCCAAGTCCAGCCTCGGTGATGAGTGCTACTGCGCGGAGCACCAGTTCACCGACGCATACTTCGGCAATTCTTAGCCCGTCCAGCACGCTAAGCCCCTCCAACTCTTCCTCTCTCAACCTATCGCCCTACAAGCCGGTTCGTATTCTGCCTTGATAGGATGTCGCTGACACCACATGCGGGTTGCTCCGCGTGGCCACTACGAGCCAACTGTCGAGAGAGGGCACCGGGGGGCGTGGGGGGCAAGGGCAAGAGCGAGTTTTTGCTGTTTGACACCGTCTTATTTCATCTCGACTTGCTGGGCTTTTGGTTCATGTGCTGCCCTCTGCATCATTTCTCCCACCCTTGCCTCAGGTGATCAGTGCCAATGTTTCCATGTAAGTTTGCCCAGTTTTACTTCTAACGTGCCTTTTCGGCCCACTGTCAAGGCTCTGGCCCGTATGCTACAGTGTTCTTTTTTTGCTCTCACTGTTCTTTTGTGTAGGATGCTATCAATACCTACTGTCGTCTTGCGCACTGCTACATCTGTCCAGCACAGTAAGTTGGCGACGCAGTGTGATTGTCAGAGGTATAGGAGATTCGTGTGTCAACTGCTTTTCTCGTGCCTGCTCGCCTTGACGTGAACTCGCGTCGGACATCGTCCCCCGGTCCCTCTCGTGCAGATTTGCATGGGAACGCAATTTTGCATGTCACAGACAAGCTTGTACGGTTACAACGCAAAACCAGCTTCCACGATTGGTATCTGAGTGGCATTGAGCGGTACGTTGTGAGGCTAGGGAACCGACTTGAGCTGTTCTGCTTGCTGGAGCGGATCGTGGAGGTCGTGTTTGCAGCAGTCTCACTTTGTTTTTTTGGCTTCCTTATGCTCCAGCTATTTTGCACGCGATAAGGAGCATCTCGAGTTGGCGGTTCACAGCTCAAAGCACAATGGCCTCTTGCAACTCATTCTGCGTGTGGAGGACGCATATGCTTTGCAACGCATGATTGCGGAGCGACTGACGGACGAAAGTGACGCGTGATGTGTCCGAGGTTTGCAGCACTTCAAGTAGAGCACGAGGCTTCGCTGGTGCAATCTGCCATGGTGCCGTTTTTTAATTTTCTTGACTGAAGGGATCTTACGGTCAGATCAGGCGTGCTTGGTCTGGTTGCCATTTCATGCGGATTTACAACCGAGTTGTAATTGAGAGTGAGCTGTCAAACAATGGGATCGTTTCTGACATCATGACAATCTGCTTTTTCGTCAAGTCTTTCTGATATAAATTGTAATCACCTCGATCTTGCCCAGTCAAGCCGTCGAGGGGCCTCTGGGTAGGTCAATCCGTGGGAACAACACACTGCAAAACAGCCAAATCTGACACACAAATGCGCACCGACCTGGACTCACTCATGCGACTGAGCAAGCCAGATCACAAGCCTCGGGCTTTGGAGCAAGAACAGAACCGAACAGAGAACGCAATACACACATACACACTCAACTCATTTTTCATGTGCAGTGGATTTGCGCTGCTCCTCGAGGCGCTGCATGCGTTGCCTCTTGATCTGCGCATAGCGCCGCACATATTCGCGGGTCGAAGCACGCTCATGTGCCAGCCAGTCGGACAGCTCCGCAACGCGCAGAGTCTCAGCATGAAATCGCGAGCGCACGTACAACATCCATGCCCCACAGACGAGCAAAATGGGGACTACCACGCCGCGGCTGAACAAAAATTCCCACAAACTGCGAAATCCCCTATCACCACGCGCAACAGCATAGTCAACAATGTCATACATGCGTTTGATCTCGACCCCCGTCGTGTTGAAAGTCTCTTGCTGCGTGACTGCGTAAAATGGCCCACAAGACCCAATCTCTCGAACAAAAATGAGGAAGCAGCCGCAGGCCATGGAAAGCAACGCCACGACAAATAAATAGCTAAGCCAGCCAAGTCCAATCCCGCCAACAGCGGAGGGCAAGCGTAGAGGGCAAGCATAACAGAGTGGCGTGAGTGCGCAAGCCTACGAGAAAAAGTACATCCGGGTGGTTATTTTAGACAACAAGGTGCGGCGCCAACGTACGATTTGTACGTGAGGTCCGTCACATGGAACAAACGGATGGGTTCGGCCGGGAAATTAAAAATCTGTTTGAGAGAGCAAGGGCAGCCCCCCACACAGAGTCGAAAAAGAAGCAGGAGAATCAGGCAGATGTCTGTACATGAAATCTCCCTTGCTGCATCACACAGCCGGTATAGATTGCCAGCCTTGCTTCAAGTTGACGCATGGCAACTCGACACAGACCTGGCGCTGACGAATGAAAAACTCCACCAAGTACACGAGGAGTGCAAGCATGGGCAACAACGGACTCATGGCAAATCCCATCCAAACGATGGCCTACCAGCGGTGCCCAAAGGGTGAATGCAAAGCGGACGGTTTGCATTCCGGCCAAAAGCTTAGGCGTTAGCCACCATGGCTCGTGGGTTTCAGCGCAGCACACACAAACCTGACGGTAAAAGATGCCCAAGACGTAGCCCGTCACATTGAAGGAGGGTGGGTTGGCGCCAAAGCTAACGGTGAGGGCTGACCAGGCTAGGAGCAAAAGGTCGAGGCCGACTAAAGCAGACAGATACCCGAACGAGAGTCACAAATTCACGCAATCTTGCATGCTCGGCCCCTTAAACAGACATGGCATTGTGTCAAAACCAACCTCGCACAAACACGTCGAGGACAAAGAGCCGATAGAATTCTTGCCCTGTCCGGGTCTCCCAGCACGTGGTTGTGGAGACGGGGTGCAGGCGCAAAAAGTTGACAATGTATGTGCCCACAATACCCGCGCAGCCCAACAATGAGACGCTCAGTTCCCAGCTGCACGTAGTGGAGCATCACCGAATGAGGCAGTGGCACGTCACCAAAAACCATGTCAATGTCGGCCCAGCGAGTAAGGGGCGCGGCATCGTACTGCAGAATACGGTTGGGCTCGTCAAAATATACAAAGGTAGACAAGATGCGCACGCAGATGGGAAAGGCCACCATCGCCATTGTCAAAACAAAAGGCACTTTAATCACCGTCCACAGCCCATCGACTTCTGATGTACGTCCCACATAGTTCTAGCAGTATGTAGCATATCAGAGGCCATGCATGTGAGTGCGCTCAAGGGGCTTGTTGGCTTTGTTTCTTCGAGTATACACGGCAAATCCTACTAGGGTTGACGTACCTGAAGTTCAAAAATGCCAAAAGCGCCGGCCCCCGAGACGCCCATAAGCACAGCAGTGCTGAGTGCCGTATATGCTACTTTCTACCACGTAGGCCCGCACATCAGCCGCCCCACAGTTTGTGGCGAAGCAGGGACGATGAGGCAAGGGCAGGGAGGAGCGCATGGTGGCACGGATGCGATAGCTAATTGGCTTACCGCCAGGCGCGTTGTTGGTGCAGGGATGCAGCCCGCCAGCATGGGGGCGACGGCAAGGTTGATGTGTTGGTTGAGCAATTCGCGGGAGCGGACTCTGCAGGGAACCAAGGGGCCCACAGCAATGGATCAGGCTGGCCGTGCACTTGCGCAGAAGACAAGCGATGAAGGCGGTTTAATTCAGGCCGGTTGCCTCGCCCAACGCACTTGAAGGCAGAATGTGCACGGCGCACAACGTCAAGTCGACTGATGGAGTGGCTCCAGGATGTAAAAACCAACGCCCCAAAGGGGTTCAGCGAGGAGCTCTCGTTTGAGGGGCTGTCTTTTTGGAAGGAACGCTCAAGCGCGTACAGCAGCTGAAGCAGAACGACGACCATGACAGTGGGCAGGAGAAGGAAATATGCCAAGGCCAAGTTGAAGTTTTCTGAAGTCAACGAGTAATAGCTAGAACGAGGAGCCAAGACGACGAGAGACATGTGGCCAGCGTGAGGATGAGGAATCAAACCAAAAGCTTGAAGAGCCAAAAACATGAGCTTCAACAGAACGAAATAATTGCCAATTGACTTGGCGGGCACGATGCTCACCCATAGAAGAGTTCTGAATCTTGGAAGGCACCGCGACCCGTCAGAATCTGGTTTCCGACACTGATGTGGACATCGGTAGTTGACGTGAGATTGTCCTTGTCCCGAATGCCCAGCCAACCCATGACCAAGATCATGAGCAACCCCGATGACACCAAGGTCAACCAAAAGACGTAGACGTGGTAATAAAAGTAACCAATGATGGCACTGCCTGCAGCGGCGGCAATGCGGTCCAAGGATGCTGCACCCCACCAAGAAAATCAGGTGAGCAATTGGCTCTCGGGGAGCCACTTTGGTGCTTTGGTCGATCGGTGACAGCTGCCTCACCGCGAAAAAACGTCAAGTCAACAATCCACTGCAAACGCAAAGCGGTATCACAAAGAACAGTGCAATGAGCGCCAACTCGGACTTTGCTTGAGCGGTGGTGGTCGAGGGGCTGATGGGCCAACCAACTTGGAACCATGCATAAGGCTCAACATCATTGTGCCCAAAAACGTCGTTGTTAAGCCACAACTGCTCATCGCGAGCTCGTCGCACACGATCCAGACGAAACCTGAGCCACGAAACGTACAAGCATTGGGCGAATGGGCGATAAATGAGTCAAGTGCAAACCGCCAAGGACGCCAAAAAGCCTGTTTTGGGTTGGGTGACATGGCATGTTTCAAGATCTTTTTGTGGCCTCTGAGAAGATGGGCCAGCGCATGGGGAGAGCAAATTGAAGGGAAACAAGGGGTGCTGCAGAATGCATCGTACCGGATGGGGGGGTATGGAGGCGCATTGGGATCTGAAATTGAGGGGGTGTGCAGAAACATAAATGAGTCACTCCTAGGGAAAAGGGCTGAAGTACACGGTAGCGTGTGAAAGTGGATGAACGTACTTTTGCTGAGAAATGTAGGCTTGGCGGTGGCCTGGGATTGTCGCCGCTTTGTGTCCATTGTCCCAAGAGCAAAGCCCTGGCTCTTGCGACGGACGGTGCGAGAGGTTCGCCCCTGTGTATGGTCGGTAGAAAGACGGCGGCGCCTGCATGTACAATGGTAGGCATCGACGGTGAAACGCTGGTGGAAGATTGAGAGACCAGTGGCGACTAGAAACGCTTGCCTACCGGGTCATCGCAACGGCGACGTGATCCTCCTGCTGTTCCGCGCCATCCAACGGTGTTTCAGCCACGTCATTGCGTTCCGCTGCGTCCCGGCAAGAGGACACGTACAGCGTGGTGAGTGCGTGTGGGGACTCAAGGTGTCACAAGTGACAAAGGTTCGCTTTTCGCCACAAAAACTCCAACACAATTATTGTTGAATGGCCATCATCACAACCAACAGTCGAACTTGTGATCCCAAGGCCGGGGGACACATTTTAGCACGCACCGTCGCTGTCATCCTCGGCACCGAGCGACACACGCTCTGCCAAAAGAAGCACTTCTGTGCCTGGGCTATCGGCAAAAACTGATGTCGTGCTCTTGCGAGGGGAGTGGGCTGGGACGATGTCGGCAGGTTCGTCGCGCGAGGTGCGACTCTCGAAAACGTCCATGTCGTCAGCACCGTCTCGATCGTCCGAGTCTGTACCTTCCCCCTCTTCGTCTTCATCTTCCTCATCGTCATACTCAAACTCTTCCTGGTGTGAGGCTAAAGCTTGCCCGGTGTTGCGTGCGTGATGGCGCATGCTGTCTGCATCATCCTCGTCGGCTTCATCTTCATCGTCGTCAAAAAGAATGATGCTCTCATCATCTTCGTCATCCGTGAGCTCGCCTTCGTCAAAGACCTCGAGTTCAACTTCACGCATGGTGGCCGCGGCAATTGGCATGGGCGGACTCTGAGCACCATCACCATCTTCCGATGAGCTCGCCGCGTCCGAAAGTGCCTCAGCTGCTTCAAGACCACCGTAGCCGCGGAACTGTTGCAGTAATCGTGATGACTCGGCAGCATCACTTTTGGTCGCAGTGGCTCGTGATTGCGCCCACTGGCCACCACGCTGTACCTGAGCGCCCGGAGGCGGTTGCGACAGGGGCTCGTCATCCCAGCGCAAGGGTACGGGAGGAGCAGGTTCACGCGGGGGAGGGGGGAAATTGTCGCGCGAGTCCTGAAGAGAAGACACACCGCGCGCATGCCCATATGTGTCATCATCATCTGATTCACTGGCAAGGTGACTACCCATCAAGGGTGTGGGTGGATCACTCAGCTCTGAATCGGACTCCTCACTCATGGCTTGGTCCTGAAAGGCCACTGATCTGTGGCGGCGCGAGGAGCGTGTGCGTTCAGCTGGACGCGTCATGTCACGCGGCAGTGTAGGAGGACGACTGATCGAGCCTGCATCACTCTCGGATGAATCTTCTTCAAGGTGGTGCCTTGAGTTTGGCAGGGGGGGAGGCGGTTGGCTTGGCAAGGGGGGGATGGGGTCAAAGTCATCATCATCCTGTCGGCGGGTGGGGCGATGCCGTGCAGCACGCGCCGGTCGTAGGTGAATGCTGTCGCTAAAGATGCTTGAGGCAGGCCGTTGACGTCGAAAGTAAGGTTCTACATGTGGGACATCCACGGGGCGAAGGTCGCTGGGCGCTGGATCCATGTCAAACCACCTAGAACAAAACAAGTTGTGCAGTGCCATGGTGAGGTCGGTGCTGATAAGCGAATCAGGGAGGGGGAGAGTCTGTACCGCTCTGTGGGTTCGAGGCCCAGAGCAGGTGGTCGATGAGCCGGCCCGCCCTTGCGGCGCATGGGTGGAGGAGCTTCATCAGCTATGATGTCGTGGTCCATGAGCCACCTGTTCCACGAGAAAAACGCATTGCAAGGCTGTCGAGATGGGTTCATGGCATGCCAGGCGCACCAGGAGAAAGGAGATCCGCCAAGGGCACGGATTCTGTCGTTCGGAGAGCGTGAATGTACACGGTGGCCTCTCCTCGATCTGATGTAGGTGTTTGTGTTGCGTGAGGATGATGCGCGGTCAGCTTCCCGGTAAATTAACCCAGGGTCCGAGAGACTGGGAACAGGGCAGTGTTGCCCACGGTCTCGACGGCCAAAATGACGAGGATGACAAAAGTACAAACCTTCGTCTACGTCGTCAATGAGACACTCGAAAACACGGCCGTCGTCGTTGCGTAGCCGTGCCGCATCCCCACGTTGCCAGCCTGCAAAAAAACCCAAGTCAAAGCCAGGGATGAATAAAAGCCAGGCGATGGAAGTGATGAGCACCCAGTGCAAGGTTTTCGCGCTTCTCACCGGAGGGAGCATAGGCACTGGGCCGTAGCCAGCTCATGGTGTGCGATGCCGATAGCGTTGAAGGGCCAGCGGGCCGAGTCAATGCGAGTGAGCGTTTCACGTGCGACCACTTGCTAGCTGCGCGTTTTTACCGGTCAAACTTCAACACCACCACTTGGCAACCAGTCCAAATCGCAGGCCACCAGCCCCACGCTCCACCCAGCACAGCTTGAATTCGCTGCCACGACTCCTGCCCACACAAGAGCAGCAAGAGCAGAAAAACCCAAAATTTTCGCTTGTTCTCCGCCCCCCAAAAAAACTTTGTTGTTGAAAGCACACACACACAGAGCAAGGACGACCTAAATGTCAGAAAAACATGCCCCAGTCCCACGTCTCTCTTTCTCTCTCTCTCTCTCTCTTTTTTTTCTTGTTTTCTTCTTTTGAGGTCATGTGGCGAGGAGGTGCGATGAAGTTGGTGTTGGCATGGCAGGCAGTGGGTCGGGGGTTGCGGTGTGGGCCAAGATGGGTGAGGCAGGGCTGGCGTGGTATGGCGACAGGCGGGGCTGAGGCTCAGCCCGCCGTGTTTGACCGACACAGCAAACGCCTGCAACGAAACCGCGCTGTACGTGCTGCTGGCTCCAGCCCGTGCATCAGCTCTTTCTCGCGTCTCACGGCTCACTGACAAGAAATCACCCCGTCCCTCCCATGTGTGAATAGAGCGTTGACCCTGAGGTGGGCCAGTACGAGATGCTGAAGCGCGAGGTGGCCTGGCGTGTGTGTGACCGCGTCTATGACATCAAGCGTTCTTTTCCCCGAGCGCTAGACCTGGGGGCCGGTCGGGGCTACATTGGCGAGGTGTGTTGGGTTTCAGGGTACCCGGCACGTATAAGGCCCAATTCCATGGAGGCAGCAGAGTACAAGCTTGCACAAGGCCGGCGTTGCCTTTGCTCAGATGGATACCTTTATCTCGCTTTCCTATCTCGCGTGCCCTTAGCACTTGGATGACGAAGGCGCCGGCGAGCTCGTGCAGCTCGAGCTGTCCGAGGGAATGCTGGCCCATTCCTTGCCCGAGGGCCGGGATCAACATTTGCAAGTACACGCCGACGAGGAATCGCTTCCCTTTGCAGAAAACAGTTTTGACTTGGTTGTGAGCTCGCTCTCGCTGCACTGGGTCAATCTGCTTCCTCAGGCCTTGGGCCAGGTCCATCGCGTGCTCAAGCCCGATGCCCCCTTTGTGGGTGCCATGTTTGGCGGTGACACCCTCTATGAGCTGCGCAGCTCGCTGCAAATGGCAGAAATCGAGCGCCGTGGCGTACGTGTAGCTTAGCATATCCGGCCCGCGCCTGCACCTTTTGGTCTATCACCCACAACCTCATAGCTTCACTCTCGTCTGTGCGGTCTACGCTACTCTACTCCACGCCAAACAGGGATTTGCTCCCCGCGTTTCACCTTTTACGGAAGTTCGGGATGTGGGCAACCTGATGCAGCAAGCCGGGTTCAACCTTCTGACCATTGTCAGTTGTAACGGCTCGGGAAATGAGGGGGCATGGGTGCAGTCACGGGTGCTCGATTGTCAGATCTGATCCCGAATTTGATTTTGGACATCTTGCGCTCGGCAGGACGTCGATGAAGTTGTCGTGGCGTTTCCTTCCATGTACGAGCTACTGGAGGACTTGCGTGGCATGGGCGAGAGCAATGCGGTACGACCCTTTTCTTGCTCTGGCTTGAGTGGCGTGGGCTCAAAGCTCCTCGTCCAATGTTGGCAAAGTGTCGACTGCGTACCTCAGCCCAGCTGTCGTGCCTTCCACGTCCGTATGCTCCAGGGGCTTCGGCGGCAAGCCCATCTGGGCCGTGATACTATGCATGCTGCAGCTGCCATTTATCAATGTGAGTCTGTCTTGATGTTTGAAGCAGCGTTGGTGCAGGCCTCAAGGCACTCGACACGCCGGGTTGACTCTTTTGCGTGCACATGGTAGCGGTCTACGGCAATGAAGATGGGACCATCCCTGCAACTTTTCAAGTCATTCATATGGTCGGCTGGAAGCCCGCACCCTCTCAGGTGCGTCTTTATCTTTATTCCTGGCCTTTGCTCTTCATTTGTTGGGCTGCCGTATGGTCTGACGTATTGTTCGTGCCTCGCTGCTGGTCGTTCAGCCCAAAGCTGCTGCTCGCGGAAGTGCGACTGCATCGTTGAGAGACCTTGGGGAGCAGTTCAATCCGACCAGCAACCCCGTGGCTTGAGCTTTCCTGGCTTGAGCCAAGCCAAGGAAGGAGTGCTCTCCGCACGGCGGCAATTCTCGCATTTCTTCTTCTGACTAATTCCTCATGCACCAACGAGATGCTTAAAATCGACCATATACTTTTTGAGCACGCAATGACGGTGCTGTGGGCGTAAGCTTGCGTCTACCCGAGAGTCACCTCCAGCTGGACACGAAAAAAAGAGGACGGTTAAACAACATTAAATTCTTTTTGTTTCACGATGGGTCGCCGCCTGCACCCTTGTCGTGGGTTCGGCGCCACCGCAAGTTTGGAAGATGCCAGACGACAGTCGCCAGCAGAGAATCGCAGATTCCAGCGGGTTGCAAGATGTTCATAGCACGACGTAAGGCTGAATCAACACCATGGGCTTGGTGTTGATGACGGCGGGGGTCACGTAGGGTAAGGGTGGGCGGGTGGGGTCCACGTAGCGCAGGGCCACATGGGAGCGCCAGGACTGCCAGCGATGTTCGTGGTAGTAGCCGTCAATCCTTGGGCGTTGTGTCGGTGGTGGCAGCCCTGAGATGGCAGCACGAGCGTCTGACCCCTGGTAGCCAGCTCCACCTGCTTCTGAAGTCGCAGCTGCAGGGCCAACTTCAGCGGGCAGGCTGGCCAAGTCGTCATTAACCTGCTCCACAGATGTGGGCGAGAGGGAGCGTGGGTACGATGGTATGCCTAGGGTGTCATCGTGATCAGCACGCGTCAGGGAAGACAAGCCACAGATGATGGCAGCAGACATCACCACGAGCAGCATGGCGAGCTGGCGGCAGGTTATGTCAATGCTAGGGGATGCATGAGCCTCCAGAGGAACTGAAAACATAACGTACCACGCAATGTCAGCTTGATGCCGGCGCGCCCGAGCTCGTCCTCGGGAAGCTGACGGATCGCAGTCCAGCTGATGTCGGAGCGCGGCGAACTGAAGCTGTTGGGGTTCTAAAGCGACATTGCATGGACCGGGGAAATTGGCAAGGTCGAGTTGTGAGGGGAAGGCATGCACCGCGTCTCACGGTCAGTAAGGATGTGTACTCACCCGGCGATATTCTCGCTTCAGCTGGCGAAAGTCATGCTTGAGCTGTTTTCGCAAGTCCCCGGCACTGTAGGACAACCAGGATAATGCAGGCAACAACAATCAAGGCGTGCGCTTTTGCCAGGTAGGCAGCAACAATCAAGGCGCACGCTTTTGCCAGGTCGAGCGCATCAGGGAAAAAGTACGTACTCCCGGGCAGTGGCAGGTATCCGTGCCTTGAGCTCGTCCAGAGTGGTGTCAATCTTGGTAGCGCGCAGCGCTTCAATGGTCATGGGAATCTTGGACAGGTCTCGCAGAGCTTGGGTGACCGCGGTCTCATCAAAGGGAGTTTCTTCGTCGGCCTGTGGACCCAGAGTGCAGGGGTGTTGAGCGTTCGGAGGGGTGATGCCCAGCAGCTTGGGCGCGAGTCGGAAGGCAGACAAAAGGCGGGGCAATCCTCGTGGTCCACTGCACATACGTTGGCAGCCACGTCCAAAACGGCCTTGAGGCCAAGGACATGGTTCACGGTTTCCTCCATTGGGCTCAGCGCAGCTTCAGCATCACTCTCTGTGGCCAACGGCGCAGTAGAGGTGGCGTTGCCGAAGTCGACCTCGACACGACTTGAGCTCAGCTCAGAGCAGGGTTTCTCGCGTCGGGTCGCCTGCAACTGCACCGGTACGGAATTGCGTACGAGGACCTGCTAATATGAGGCACGCAAAGAGCGTGTACAAAGGCACCTCGGAAGTAGAGAGACCGAGGGGCTCGACCAACTATCGGGGCATGGACTGCCAAACGCGTGCAGCCCGTAGCCAGTGTGCTTGAAGAACAAATATGACGACGTTTCTGCCTTGTCTCTGTCCCGGTTTCAGTTTCCGTCCTTGTCTCTGATTTTGCTTTCCTTCAACACGAAAGCAGTTTGTTGCGCAGTCGCCTATCTCTGCTTTTGTCTCAGTCTCTATCTGGATCTCTGCGTCTGTGACGTTTGCCTTTTGTCTTGATCGTCTGACTTGTGTTGTCTCGCATTTTTTTTCAAGCTGATGACTCGACTCGACTTCAACTTTTTTTTTTTTTTTTCTCGCTTTTGGGGGTGTTGGTGGAGTCTTGACCCTGGTTCATGCCGAGTTCGATCCCGTCTGGTCCAGTCTGGTGTGGCAGTGTGGGTGCTTGGATGCCTTGACTCGGTAAAGGAAGAAGACTGAGGCGTTCAAGGCTTATCCTCTCTCTGCTGGAGTGTGACCAGGAGACATGGCAGACACCGTTCCAGCAACCTCAGTTGACGAGGCGCCCAAGGCCCCGATAAACGATTCGCTCGAGGCCATAACAAATCTGGCGCCAGACGTCCATGCGTTTATGGCCTGTTGTCTCGACCGTACAGCTTTGCCTTCTGTGGAGACCAAGGTAAGCATCCCCGTTGTTGCTGACCGTGCATGCGCTCGACCCAAGTGCTGAGGCGGCCTCGTGAACGAAGCGAGGTTTGAGGGTTGATGGCGGATGGTATTGCTCTCGGCTTTTGTTGGCTTTGACACGGCTCACCTGCTGGACATGAATGGTCACCATCGGACCCTCTGCGCAGCGGCTATGGCTTGAGGGGCGTTTAGATCAGTGTCGGGAAGCACTGGCTGGCCTAGATGTGGATCACGAAACCTTGGAACAGCTCGAGGACGAGGAGCGCGAGTTGCGGCGCATGGAGCTGGACTTGCAGAGTAGACTACAGGCGCTACGTGAGACAACCTCCTTTCACAATCTTCGTGCACAGGTAACAGCGCAAGCGACTACAGCCGCATCGACAACGGCAGCAACCACTGCGAGCTAAGAACGGCACGGCTGCTAGAAGTGACGGGAAGAATTGATTGACTGAATTGACTGAAACGGATGATGAAAAGTACAAATGACAAGGCACGGCAGGGTGTGTGTGCGTGTGTGCGCGTGTGCGTGTGTGATCAACGTAGGGTGAATAGAGGAGCATCTCCCCTCGTGGCTGAGCCACGGTTGTATTGGCCCAGAGCGGTGTGTGGAATGGCGCGCATGTCATCAGGGTTGCGAGGGTGATGTTTAAGAATGGATCACAAAAAGTAATCTTGAACCGTGCGCTGCCCGGCGTGGCGTATTTCCTGCGAACAAGACGAACGTTTGTTAGGACGAGTCCCATCTCAAATTCATTCACCAAACCAGTGGCAATGCTGGCACCCACCGTTGGCGCGGCTTGGAAGATGACAAACTTGTGATCAAGGTGTTCGTCGATGCGCAGCACCGACGCAACATTGCCGCACCTAGCACAAATAAGACCCGAGAGGAGTGAAGCCGTTTGAGGGTGGATACCACACGTGCAAGTACGACAGGTGGAAACGAGTCATCACAAAGGCAAGCAAGATCGCCACGAAGACCAAGCGTATACCACGCCGCTGGGCGTACCGGTAGCAATAATTGGGAGCCGACCAGACAGTGCAGGCTTGTTGTTGAAAATGCCACTTGAAACCCTCCATCACGAGCTGATGAGCGCGGCAAATTAGACCAAGGCCATTCTGTTGATTGAATATTTCCACCACGTCTGGGCCAAACAAGAATCCAGCACCCCGTGGACTGACAGACCAGCCACTTTGCTCTAATTGGTTGAATGGGGGAGTGCCCAGGGTGGGTGGTTGTGGGCAAAGGATCAGATCATGTGCAGGGGCGGCGGACGGCGTGTGCGTACGCGCACGTGGACTTTGGGGGACCAGAACCTTTGATTCGGCAAGAGACGAAGAGGCGCACCTTCACCATGGGGATCAGACCAAAGCAGGTCACACATGGGGCCTTCAGAGGGAACCTCCACTTGGCGCTCAATAGTGCGGATCTGATCCAAGGATTGGATCGAGGGTGACAAGCCTCCGTGCACACACAAAATCTGAGGAACACGGGAGCAATTAGCGTGTGCTACAATGGTTCTCGCACACAAAATGCCGGCCTCTGACTTGGGCACGGACCTTATCGTCGATGACTGCAGCCAGGCTCAGGAGGTCAAAGACCTCAGTGCACAGTTGCCACACGGTTGGGCTGCCGTACTTACGCATGCACTCATCATAGAAGCCGTACACCTGTATCCAACATCACCACGCCATGTCATGGGCCAAGAGTCAGGTCCACCACGGATTGTGCACCACGCAACAAGCCGCATTGCGGTCTTATTGAGGAGGACGTATGCAAAACCAGCTCACCTGCGTGATGGTGCGGCTCTCATGGTTGCCACGAAGCAGAGTCATGCGGTTCGGATATCGCACCTGTTGGTTCGGGCAGAGTGGATCCACAAAGTCGCATGTAAGTTTGAGTGGCGCCGAGGAGTCGGGCGGAACAGGGGAAGCAAAGCAGCACACAATGGTTGCAAAAGGCCATACCTTGAGAAGGAGCAGCAAAAGGAAGGTTTCCACCGAATAGTAACCTGGACCCGAGGACGGGGGCGTTGACACCAATGAGGGAAGCCATGGCAGAAGCGGACGATGGTATCAGACACATCGGTCAACATTCTCGACTTGGCTTCGGAAAGAGGCATCAGTCTCGCTCAGCGTCTCGAAAGTTGATGACATACCACGATCGACAAAGTCACCCATGAACAGATAGTTGGTCTCTGGCATTTGGCCTGCGACCTCAAAGAGCTCCATCAAATCATAGTGTTGACCATGGATGTCTCCACATATCTATCATGGATACCGAGAGATAGGTGGCAGCACAGGCCAGCGGAACGTCACGCGAGGCCAGTGCAGAATGGGCTCGAGGGGGTTTGAGGTGAAGAGCAAGGGACACGGGCAACAGCGCGGCCCAAGAGCCAGGCTCGATGCCAGTCTCGAAAAGCTCGGTGGGCGTACCGTAATAGGAGCACCAATGTGCACAATGTTGCCTTCGGCTAAAAGAATCTCACGGGCCTTGTCGCAGACAAGACGCACGTCGTGTTCGGGAATGATTTCGCAGTTGCGCAGCGTCGCAATGTGTCTGTGGGTCGCGCAAGCACGGTCAGCGTGAGTGGAGCGAGCACAATGCCTGCTCACGCGCAAGCAAACCCCGAAAACGGACCGATCTAGGTCTTCGACGGAAGCCATGGAGATGGTGCGTGGCTGCGAGCAGTGGCAAGTGCTGGCTATCAATTATTGCCAAATACACAGTTCAACGAGGTGGCGAGAACCGGTGTTGAATGCACTCGCGGTCTGGTTGTCTGGTTGTGACTCTCTGAGGGTGGGTTGGCGCCTGGCGCTCGCATTCACCAGCCAAATTCCCGGGCCTTGTCCGTCTTGCAGCGAGTGAGCGAGTGGCCTTCAAAAGGGGGCCTGGTCTCGTCCAAAACTCGAGGCAGCACAAGCGACGGCTGCAAGTAGCAAGAGACAAGACACAGAGAGAAAGTTGAGATGAGAGAGAGAGAGTTTGAGAGAGAGAGAGAAGAGAGACAGAGAGAAGAGAGACAGAGAGAGACAGAAGAGAGATTAGGAGAGAGAGAGAGCAGTACCAAACGGGTTCAAGAGTTCAACAGAGTGACATTTTCACTGCTTTCGTGTCTATGGAAAATCAAAAACTCTCACTGTTTTCGCTTTTAGTTAGAAACACAGTCATTTACTGACGTCCGAAAAATGTGGGATATCCAACAAATAAGCATGCACGAAAGCATCTGTATCAAAGATGCAAGCGTGCCGCCACCGTGCGGAGATACACCGCGGAGCCATTGATTCCCTTCCGCACGTTCACAGTGGGACTGGTGACGCCCGCCCAAGCGCAAACCTACCAATGCCTGGCTCAATTCACCAGAAATGACGGCACCTGCACGTGGCTGACCTGTCCCATAGAAAATTTGCCGCGGTGGTGCCTTCCATAACGAAGTTTCCCGCCAAAAAACCAAACAAACCCATTCACCTGCTCCTTCACTGCTCCTCCTTGCCTTGTTCTACTTCATCACTACACCACTACATCACTACACAACTGCAGCACTACACACGCTCGCACCCACAAAAGTCAAAGCGTGAGCGCCTTGCAACACAAGTGATGCTTAGTTTACAGAACACTGACTTGTTTTCCCCCTTCCACCACCCTGCCACATCCACAACACACATCAATGGCGGGAAAAGCGTTTGGTTTGTCGACAAATGCTCACTGTCGCTTTCCCGCCTTTTTCACTCGGAGGCTGGAGGAATAAATGCTATTCTCGCTCATCACACGGCCGTCTGGGGGGCATTTTTCACAGCACGCCTTGCGCGTCAAGCATTCGAGTTTGGGGGGCGCCCCGACTGGCGATACCCATCAAGACTTGTTGTGCGCTGCCATCGTCTTTTCCTGCTGGTCACAAAACCATCTTCATGGCTCAGATGGCCACTGCCACCCCGGACTACGGCGCAGAGCGTCATCAACACTCGTTCGTGCCATCGCCTGTCTCGCCACTCCCACCCGTCACTGCGCTCATGAGCACCCTGGCCTCACTTCCAAAACCTTTTGTTGCAGGTTGATCTGTGGCCACGCGAGTTGTCATCGGCACTACAGTCTGCCCAGTCGCCTCATCCCTGCGCTGTGCAAGACCAAGGCCAGTCTGTGGTACTGTGATTTTCACCCCGATCCTCAAGTGCAGCGCACCTGTGGTGTTGACCCCCAACAAGATGCCATCTACCAAACGCCACCCTGCCCACGCGATCTCTTCTGTTGCCGTGACCAAGGACACAGTGGAAAGTTCGTCCCTGCTTGATGCGCCCACCTCCCCATCTGCAGCCACCCAACAACTTCTGCCTCTGGGTCATCTACGCCCCATGCTCATGCTGTCTGGACCTCCACAAATGCAGATGTAGTACTCGCCATAATCAAGCGGTGGCCGAGCATGCCCGCAATCTTGGCCAGGGCATTGACATGATCCTTGTGAGGGAGGTTGCCACCAACCCAAAGCTTGCGACCGACACCAAATACGCGCCCAAAGCTAAAGCTAAAGCGCAGGCGTTCATCTCACGACGCCCTCGCGTGCATGGGTCGACATGCCGACCCCAGGCTCGCCACAAGTCTGGACACTCGTCTCTTTCTGCCAAAAAACGGGCCCATTTCGTGAGTGCCAACGGCTCTGAGCGCACTGCAAGAGTTTCGGGCTCCAAAGACTCTCGCCTGCCACCACCCATAGCCCAAGGCTGTCATCTGAGCTCGGGTCCAGGCACTTCCCGCAAGCGAGCCCCCAACCAAAGCATCTCTGGAGCCAAGCGGCCCAAGCGGTCCAAGCGGTCCAAACCTAGCGCCAGCAAGAAAGCCTCACCTTCAGCCTTTTGCGCCAGCAATAATGCCTCACCTTCAGCCTTGTGCGCCAGCACCGTGGCACGCACTACGTCTCTCGAGGAAGCCAGCCTCAAATCAGCTCCCACCGACCTGTCACACCATGATACTACCAAACTGGCAGTGCGTGTTTTGCCCGTTGCCCCGAAGAACCTCAAGATTTCTCATCGCAGCATCTCAGGTTGACCTGACAAGGATGTTCTTGGTCTGTTTGTGCTTTTGCCCACTCACAGAGAGGCGTGTGTAACAGCCCAAAGCCGGACAACTCGGGCATGATGACGCCTGTATCGCTCGATTACGTTCAAAATCTGATCATGACGCCGTCACCAAGCCGGCAGCTCTCTTCCACTGACGCCGAGGGGGGCACTGAAGCCCTAGGCACCAAAATCACTGTACAGGAAGCCTTGCAGACCTTGCGCAGGGTCAATTCCCCGAACACCACCTGTGAGTCTGGGCCCACATCCAATGCGTTGCATTTGAGCATGGCCCGTCACTTTGAGCTCACATCCAGCCACCATGCATTTGGTTCTAGGCACGCCAGATCGGCCACCAACCGTTCTTTTGACCCGGGTGCTGGCCAGTTCCCCATGGAACTCGCCTCGACTGACAGTGCGCTCATGCCTTGCATCTCCTTCCCATGCTCTGAGTTCTTGGCTCGGCACCACACGCGGGGCTGTTTCTCCGCTTCGAGCGCCCGAGACGTGTGGACGCGACCTGTCTCTGGTGGAAACTGAGAGCTCAGTTGGCCCGAGCAGTTCAGAAGATGATCTGACTCTCTTCGAGGCACCGTACAGCCCAGTTGGCCACACAGGCCATGCGGCAGGTCGTGCATCGTCGTCGCTGCGGCTGCCCGTACCTCTTTTGAGTCCATGCACAAAACCCATGACGCAGGGCTCTTCGTCCATTTGGGCTACGCCCCCACTGTCATGTCCTCGTCTACGCAGCGTATCACCGCTCGTCAGCTCGGCAGCAGAAGTCGGCTTGAAGATCGCCCACCAACATCGGGCTGTCAAGTCACGTTCTCGGCGGCAGCCTCGCCGACGCACGGTCAGCGCCCTACCTTTCTCATTGCCTCTTTTCGTGTGTGTGTGTGTGTGTGTGTGTGTGTGTGTGTGTGTGTGTGTGTGTGTGTGTGTGTGTGTGTGTGTGTGTGTGTGTGTTGCTTTGCCAGCACATACGCTAGCTCAAACTCGCTCACGTTTGCCCAACTGAACGTCTGCACAAATCTTGCACTTTAGGCGGCTACTGCACTCTTTCAAGATTGCAATCCCACGTTATTACGTCTCCGCGCCAACCAAGTCCAGCCTGGAGATGCTGTCTTCTGCATCCGGGAAGGGCTATTCAATCGCGTGGAGCATATTCGGACGGTGGGACAGCAGAGTAGCGTTGGTAGTGTATCCTATTTGTCAAGCTCTCAAATCAAAGGCCCAGCCGCCCAGGTCGGCCAACGCCAGTAGTTGAGTCCGTGTGCTTGCTTGCATGCCACCGGCATTGCAGGTTCTGATATCTTCCTTCCCTTTTACTTTGGGCTGTGCTCGGAGCTGGCATGGGCAAGAGTTTGTGCTTCAAGGCCGTCATACTGGACCTCAATGGCATTGTATTCTCCCAATTTGCTTGAATTGAGTATACACGAGGCCTTGGTTCTTCACCGGGAAGTGATTGTAATTAGTATCAGTGCTTTGAATCGCTTGTCTCAAACCAGGAGCACTCGAGTCGGGCGCGAGAGGACGGGGAAAGAGGCCTGCGCGCATCGAAAGCTCAAACACTGAACTGTTCATAGCAATGTGCTGTCAGAATAGCTCACACAGTCAGTATCACAATAATGAAATGAACTTTTGTTAGTAAGAGATGCCCGGAAGGCGGACAAGGACGTCACCCAATCAAGTGTGGGAGCGCTTCAATGCAGTCATATGATCTCGGTGTTGGCGGCAGCCATCATCAAGGTGCTCAATGATTTGTTGCATCTCAGCTGTGTCCAGCTGAATCATCTCCATTGCTGTCGGGTTTTGATCCTGCTCGTCCCTAGATGCGTGGAAGGTGTTTGCAGGTACAGGCCTGAGCCAGAAGGCAAAATCGGCCGGGGCGTTGTGAACAAGATGATAATCGTTCGATGCGCACTCTTCCAATCTAGCCGGTAGATGGGTTGCGGTTGATGTACTTGGCGGTGCCATCGGGGTATCCTCGATTGCTTGCGACACTCCCGCTTCCGAGGGAGGCATTCTGGCCATGACTGCTGATGACGCAGCCGCCCGACGTGCAGGGCCAGGTGCAGTTGCGCGTTGAAGACTAGGGCTAAGATCAACCTGCAAGTCGGTTAATGCCACGCGACGACTATCCAGTGCTTGTTGGAGCCGACTCGCAACAGCTTTGAGTCGCTCACACGTTTTGTTCAAGCTGTGTGCTTTCACAATCTTTCGCGGAGTTGACATACTGGAGCTGAAGGGAGTCGAGTCAGATCCAGCCGAACTTGGAGGCGTTGGCGTTCGAGGCATGGCCTCATCGATCTCTTGACTTGCTTGACCTGTTTGCAAAGGCGCTCGCGACCTCTCTGCGGTAACGGAACGTCGTGGACTAGCCGAGTGCGCGCGCGACAATCTGGGTCGACTTGACATGTGCTCCGTGCCTCGAGAGGCTTTGGTAATACCAGCATGGCAAAACGCTGATTGAATCCGGCTTGGACACTCTCGTTCTGCATTGATGGCACGGTAGAGCGCCTGTATTTCTTCATCCAGCGTTGGGGCATGACCAGACACGACACCGGTTGAATGCAAACACAGGTCCCGCCACTTCTGATGGATATAACAATGCCATTGGTCCAATGGCGCAAGGCCATGACTGGTGTTGGGTGGTAGTACAAAGAGAAAAATGTTGATGGTGCGAAGATATGCAACGACATCCACATCAATGCAAGTGGGGTGGCCGTGTGAGAGAAGAAGCAAGGGCTCGCAATCGCCGACGTATGCCCTGAGCCGCCGACAGAAAGCGACGAAAATGCGCCGGTTGACGTTGCCCGAATGGGTGCTGCAATTCAAAAAGTGGGCAAACGACGCGTCGGATGCAGCTGCAGTCGGGCCGTTGGTGGGAGCAATGACTTGTGGGCCCAAGGTAGGCTGTGCATGTATCATCATGGGCGGTGCCATGTCGCCATCCATGCATATTCCCAAGACGGCTGTGACTGACTCATTGTGTGTATGGCCACGGAAGACATCAACACCCTCGCGATGAGCCATCGAGGCGTGCACCTGCGTCATGCCAAGTCCAGTGCGTAGGCTGGGTATCTCGCCCACACTCCAAATGCGCGATAAGCCTATGGCCCACATTGAGCATAAGATGGCCGAAAACAGCACGGCATGGCTAGCAATGACCAGTCACTTACCTGATGACTTGATGCAACCAACGTCCCGCCCAGTCTGATGCACAAAATCCAATCGAGAGAGCACATCCTCTAGACACGTAAAATATGCCTCACAGGTTTCTGGTGTCAAAGCCAAGGCTTTGGCCTCGGTCTGAGCCTGAGCGCTGATAAGTTGCAAATCGAAATCCTTCTCAAGGGCTCGGAACCACTGCTTGCTAATTGTCGGATGGGGAGCCTCGGCTGGCGATGCATCGTACGCCTCCTTTTGTTGCAAAAGTTTCCGTTCTGGTGCCGACAAAGGTGCGATGCTACCTGCAATAGCCGGTTGGAGGCGTGTTTGGTCTTGCAACGCGCGCTCGCGGACTTGAAGAATCTCACAAACGGCCAGCGTTGCCTGACGCCTGGTTCGATGACTGTGCAAGTCGCTCATGGTCGACATCCAACTGGCAAGAATCCCACGTTCTGCCTGTGTGCAGAGCTGTCGACCATCATGCATGACGTCTCCTCTCCGGCGTCGACCACGGGCAGCCACGATATCGCAGCGGGTAACACCATACAGGGCAGTTACATGCCCCATCTTCACATGAGTGGGTCTGTTGGGGCAAAGTATCTTAATTTGGGACCGAGAGATGCGCCCAAGGCCATCTGCATGTGCCTTGTTCCTCACATCATTCTCTGTGGCAGTCCCGTGGCGAACCAGCTCATACATCTCCAGAGCATGCGTGGCTTGTGTTCGTTGCTGTGCCTGTGCAGGAAGGACACAAGGTGTCTGAGGTGAGAGGCACAGGATCCACCCAGCCCTTCATCGGTCTCGATCTCCACCTTGTTTGCACCGGTTCCACAACACGGCTGTGCAAAGGCAAGTACCTTGTGTTGCCGCATCGGCCCCCCAGCGATGCGCGAGGAAAGCTGGGCTGCCATGATTGGCCAGAGTGCTGTGTACCGTCCTTCATAGACTGGAACACGAAATGGCAGCGCCGGATCTCGTCACTCATCCGATCATTCAGCAACGTTCAACCGCCCAACGGCTTGGTGTGATGGTCGTTTGCTGACAAAACGATGAAAAAGCGTTTGTTGACTTTCCCTCTCTCTGTCTGTGTCTGTGTCTGTGTCTGTGTCTGTGTCTGTGTCTGTGTCTGTGTCTGTGTCTGTGTCTCTGCCACTGTCTCTGTCTCTGTCTCTGTCTCTGCCACTGTCTCTGTCTCTGTCTCTGTCTCTGTCTCTGTCTCTGCCGCTGTCTCTGCCGCTGTCTCTGTCTCTGCCTCTGCCGTCTCTGTCTCTGCCTCTCTTTTCTTGTTCATTTGTGCGCAGCAACGTCTTTTTTCTTCTTCTGTTGATTGAGCTAGATGGCTGAGGAGGAGGAAGAGCCGTCAGCCGGAGGAGCTGTGCGCTTTCGAATGTCCAAGCGGGCCAAGCGGCAGAGCTCTGCAGCGCCAGTCCCCTCAGTGTTTGCTGTCAGTCTCCGCTGTCGCTGCGCAAACCTTTGCCGTCACGGTGTGCATCAGCTCATGCCCAGGCCATGCCTTGACGTGCGAATGCACAGCCTGAAGAACAGGTGGATGAGGATGCCGAGGAGATAGACGATATTCACGCGCCCACAGTCGCGGGCGCTGCCATTGCACTTGAGGATACACAGGCCAAAGCCAGCAGACTCAAACACGAAGGTATTGCCAGTTCGTATGCATGCAATGGTAGCGCCGTGCATGTATACTGAGCCAACGCCGGCCCGCGTGACTCTGCTCGCACAGGTGTTCTGCTGGCCAAAGCGGGCAAGTTTAACCAAGGTACGGTGCCTCTTGTTGGGTGTCTTCGAGTCTTCATCCGGCGATTGTGGATCCATGTCTCTACGCTCATGTTAATCACGCGCACCTTGCGTGTTCTCGACCACGATCGCTTAGCCTTGCGATTGTGGCGCCAAGCCGTTGAGCTGGTGGCCTTGGAACCCACGCTGCATGAGATGATGGCACAGGCTCTATTGGAAGTGGGAGACACCTTTGCAGCAATTCAGAGTGCCGAAAAGGTATGTGGTTGTTGTGGCACTGGTTCTTTCTCATGTGATGTGCGTTTGCGACCAGCGTATCTGAAAGCTTTGCTTCGAGCAAACCCATCATCCTCACCGTGGGTAATTTTTTTTTTTTTTTTTTTTTTTTTTTTTTTGGTAATGGCCAGGCTGTGCAGGCAGATCCGGGCTGGCCCGAGGCACGCTTGACTCTGGGCCGGGCGCAGGCCATATTTGGCGAGCTTGCTCTAGCAGAAAGAACCTTGGCGCATGGGCTGCAACTTGAACACGATCACACCGAACTCCTCGCCGAGCTTCTCAAAGTACAGCAAGCACAGGCACGCCGGCAGGCTGCAGGCGAGGACGTGACGCAGCGAGCCGAGCGGCGTGAAGATCACACACCAGGTTTTACCTGATGCGCGCGCGGTGCTATTTGCCATGCCTTCCCTACTGGTTGTTTTCCCAGCTCTTGGGCGAATGTTCAAGAGGAGTGAGCTGCTGTGCGGTGGTCAAAAAGGCCGGTTTGGTTGTTGGGTATTAGCGTCTTGTGTTTGTTTGTTTGCAGGGCACATTAGTGTTTTATGGTTTAGGTAGAGTTTGCGTTGGAGCACGTGGCAAAGCAAGTCAGCAAGGCGCTGTGATCAATGTTGCTGGCCGCCGACGGGTGGCTTGAGTAGTGTTTCAACAAAGCCTCAATTCAGCTCGCAGAGCGACCCGAGTGGCAACGCACGAAAGATATCGACGCACGCACATAGCGAGTCGGCAGGCAAGTTGAGGGAGGGAAGGATCTTCATGGGCATGCCAATGCTGTTGTCTGAGGAAAGCAGCCACCAGGTTCAGCAACACGTGGGCTGAGGATTTTTTGAATGACGCCGTTCTTCGTCTTCCAAAAAGGGCTACCTCATCACGTGTTGAGCTGAGCCCTGGCTAAATCGACCGACGTTGTACCGCAAGGTTTCACAACGCAGCTTCACAAGGGCTGGTCCTCTTCAAATAGGCCAGTGGCAGTTTGCCACAAAGATGCAAGACGGTCTGCACTCAGCACGTCTGGTTCAAGAGTTGATCAATGTCGGGCGACAGGCTGTATGGATCAACGGTCTCATCGTTGACATACTTGATGTGGTTTCCACACCTGCAAGGCATGGCGGGCACCAAGCAAACACAGGTGAGCGGGTCAATTCTGACGGCAAAGTGGGTGAGCGGTGGGACGGGAAAAGCCGCACTTGTCAAAGAGATGTTTGCCGGCAAAGTTCCAACGCGGAGCATCTTGTTGGGTGACATTGTTGTACAGCCACTCCCAAACGATTTGGTTGTTGGGGCAGCAGTCGCTGCTGCTCGCCGTGCATGAAGAATTGCTTTCGGTGCACCAGGAGGGCTGCGGGGCAGGGCCAGGATTGGTGAGCGATGGCTGAGGTCACTCAAGCGCGGGAAATAGGAAAAGCCACACAGGTGCCAACACAAGGGCACCACGCGATCGTTCGTTTCATCAAAATACGGCAGCAGGGCTGACCTTGACATTGGTTTTGGCAAAGAGCGGGTACGGGAAGTAACCAGTCCAATCGCAGTAAACCAGGCCACAATGGTGGGTGCCGTTGCCACGCACAAACTTTTCAATGTTGGCGTTGCTCTTGGGCTCTTGCTTGTCATACTGATTGCAGGGAAAAGCAAGAATGGTGAACGGTTGGTGCGCGTAGCGCGTGTAGAGCTTCGACATGCCTTCGTAGCTCATTTTGGTCTCGCCTCAGAAAGACCTGCAAGGCCAGGGGACCGTGGGCAGCGCCATGAGGAAGAAGACGATGACAAGGTCGAGCGATCGACAAAATTTAATCTCTTTGGTCAAGCAAGGGATGGAGGCGGGGTGCGAGGCCGTACGCGACATTGATGACGAGGGTCACGTTGCCCGCGTAGCGATCGAGGTCCACAACATGGCCCTCAATGTCGACCAGGTTCTTAAAATCAAAGAGCCCAAAGCCGTTGACCGCCAGGCAGAAAGCCAGGAGGCAGGCCGCCACCGGGGCGACCGCTCGGTTCGACTTCATGACACTTGGTGATGCCCGATCGAAAACTGCACACGAGAGAGAGAGAGAGGGAAAGGGAAAGGGAAAGGGAAAGAAAGGGATTTGGCTTACTTGCTTGCTTTTTTCCGCTTACACGCGATGTTCCTCTTTTGTTCTTTTTGAAGATTGCAATTCTTGCTTTGTGTGTGTGTGTGTGTGTGTTTTGGAGGACTCGAGCGTGTGTGTGTGTGTGTGTGTGTGTGTGAGTGTGTGTGAGGAGGCGTTTTTCTTTGTTTTGTTTTCTTTTTGTTCTTTTCTCTTCTTTGTTCTGGTCTTGGCTCTTGAAGATTGCTTCATCTTCTTTATGGCGGACATGACATGACGGGCGGGGGGAGGAGGCTCTGGATGGATTTTCTAAACACGGTTTGATTTGGGAAGAGGGAGGGCGGCTTTGATTAATCCTCCAGGTCCAGTTCATCAAGGTCCAGGTCATCCAGATCGTCCAGGCCAGAGAAGACGGCCACATCGATCGGCTCGACACTGGCCTCTTGTGCAGGCTCATCCTCGCCAATGCCCAGCGGCTTGCCATCTGGTTCCACACCGAATCATTGACCATTGCACCCCAGCAAAAAAACAAAACAAAACAAAAAAAACAACAACGGCAGAGTGAGGTGCATTAAGGCCATACACCACGACTGCTTGATTCGTGGCAACATCAACAAACAAAGCCGAGGCTTTGACCTACCATCGCCTTCCTCGTAAGTCTTGCCCGAGCGACGATACTGCTCGAATATTTCGCGGCCTAGACGGCGGTGCCAAGCCACACGAATACGCGTCAGGGCAAGCATGTCATTGATCAAGGGCCAGGTGGTCGATCAAGTGCTGCAAGGGTCTCGACTTTCAAAGCCCTTGGCCTGCCTACTAACCCGTGAGTTTGCGAGTTTCAGCACCCTCGGCTTCTGCCGCCTTTTGGTCTCGCTTCGCCCGCTGTTCCTCAATAAAAGCTGTGTTCCACTCGTCAAAGGTTTCCGGCGTCAGGAGGGTACCTGCTGTCAAACGCTCCTATACGATACGGCACGAGTCAGAAAGCAGCGCCGTCGCTCAAAAAATTATCACATTGCCACCTCGTTACACAGTCATTCGGATAGAGACCGTGGCAGGCGGGGGGAGGGAGGGAGGCGGATACAGAGACACAAAGACAGACGCCGACAGACAGGTAGGAGGACAAGCAGACAGACACAGTCGCACATGGGCTCCCACGTGTGCGTGGCGGAACAAGTGGATGCCTTGCTCAATGGTGGCTCACTCATCACAAACTCACCAGTTCAGCTTGCTCTTCAGCTTCCTTCTGAGCTTGACGTTCCCGCACAGCGGCATCACGGTTCTCAGCGTTGTAATCGTCGACCGCCTCCTTGAGTGCCGCTTGCATGGCAAAGGCCATGCCCATACCCAAGTTTTCCTCAATCTGGCGGTTCAGATGGTGCAGAAGAATGTGCAACAAACAAAGAGGCATTCAAGTCAGAATATGGCAAGTTGCAAGTTGAACGGTCGGCATTTGCACTTCACGGATACACCAAGGACGGTTGCGCACCGTCGTCAACATGACTTCATCCAAACGGGTGGCCAATTCATCTGAGATATTGGACATGTCAATCAACTTCCAATTGGGGCCTTCCTCGGGATAGGTGGCTGTGTATGTGATGTTGAGCGTCACTTTGGCTGTCCATACACCGCCCCATATTCAGATGCGTGGCGTCAACAGGTTTCAGGCACCGGGAATGAGATTGCGCTCAAGCTCATGGTTATCAGGATCGATGACCGCCAGACCTACACGTCAAGTTCGGGTCGTCTGCCGAGGGTGACTCTTCCGAGACAATGTGGATGTTGTAGCAAATGGGGTCACGTTTGAGAACTGGATCCATCAGGCGGGAGTGGCAGGCCAAAATGAGTGTCTAACAATGCCAGTCGTTTCATACACGAGATGCTAAAGGGCGGGCAAGCATTCAGAACAGCAACGCACTCTCTAGCTCATCGATAAAAATGGATTCGAGCGCCGTCAGCTCGTCAGCTTGTTCTTGTGCGTAGTCTGACCACAGGAGAAATGATGAGGTATCCTCCGCCAAGTAAGACCGACCGACCGACCGAAAGCTGTTTGTTCTGCGCCTCAGGGGTAATCGGGCGACGACGGCCAAGCATGCCCTTGAGCCGGATACTCACCCATTTTGATGTTGGTCGGTCGGAGGCAAGGGGGACCGGATGTGCTTTGCTTCGCTGCCACCCGAGCCTTGTGTCTGCAGCTACGATGTGCTGCACGGGCTGGCGTTCAGCTGCTACGACTCACCCAGCAACAGCGCTCGCGCTGCATGCAGCAACAACGGGGAATCAAACCACTGCCTGTCAACTGCAGTGTCAAGCTCAAGTCGAAGCACCGGGAGGGAGCAAAGCCGGCGAGGGCACAAGGACGGAGGCGGAGAGCCGTAAAATGCAAGGAGCTCAATGAGGTTGTCCCTCGTTGGTGGCCGTGTGTACGGAAATGTCTTTTATGTTACACTTTGCTTTGAATGTGGGATTCTTTTGTTTGTTGCTTGTTAGTTCTCAATTGGAGAGAGTGAGCGTAAGCCTGGTCGCTCTTCAAGAGTGCGAGACAAGTGGCACTGATTATTCATTCCCGTTGGTTGGTGTTCTACTTTGCTGGCTCGGTTGGGGTCGAGTCGGGGGTCTGGAGATGAATGCCCACGCTGGCGAGGGCTTCTTGCGCCCAGTCAGGATAGGCTCCGTCGGGATGAAGCGTCTGCATGTAGTCGATGACAAATTCTGGAAATCGGTCCGCGATGATCGCGTCTCGGGCGTCGCCCATGAGGCGCAACTGCGAAGCGCAATCAGGAAGCGACACGAAGTGTCGAATGCAGGGAAGCAGAAAGGGGTCAAAGCGCAAATACGGAAGAAAGAAGGAAGGAAGGAAAGACCGAGAACAAAATGTCAACGATAATCGCCGGGGGGGGGGGGGGGGGGGGGGGGGGG